CCCGTCCCCATCCCCACGCATCTCCAAATGCGCCGGCACTCCAAATGCTGCAGCAGAACGGGCATCAGGCAGAGGCGCTGACTCGGTGCCACTCAGTTCGGAGGACGCGGTGCAGGCCGTCGCCTTGCTTCCCTCTCCACGGATGGGTGGGTGCTATCACTGCCTCGGGCGGCCTCTCCCGGTGGCCCCTTCAGGTTCGGGCTGGAGGGACTTGGGAAGGAAGCCAAGCTGGGGTTGGCCCGGCTCTTTCGCTTGGCAGGCGGGCGTGCACCACGGCTCACTTTCCCAGCTCTGCCCAGCCCGTGCGGCCCTGGTGGGATGAGCGGAGGGCCCGGCGGGGAGGCGCTCGCTGCCTTGGTGAGAGGTCTGCCGCCGGGAAGGAGGGCCCATCTGTCAGCTGTGCTGGGCGCCCCAGGCGAAGCTCTTCGTGCTCTGCCCGGCGCCAGGCAGGGATGGCGGCTGGGTGCTTCTCCCGGGATGAGCCGATCCTGCGCTGCAGCCCCAGGAGATTCGCCTCCCCATGTGGGGTTGGGCTGCCCTCTCGGGCAGGGGACACTTTGTTGTAGTAGGATGTCGTTTTTAAAAGAATTGGCTTTACCTTCGAAGGCAAAGGGAAGGCGGTGTCAGGAGCGCCTGAAGCCAAGTGTCTCTGTAGGGCTCCGGTTGCAGGGAGGAGCCCTGGCTGGCCGTGCATGGCTGCGCCAAATGCGACGGCGTTGCTCTTAACGCTGTGGCAGCAAGGGAGAAGGGAAAGCAACGGTGGTGGAAGGTCTCCCAATATGAAGTGCCCTACCAACGCAGGCAGCACCATATCCGGGCATGCAACAAAAGTACTTCCTAACGGCAACCCCCCCCCCCGCCATTGCCCCCCATTTCGCATGTTTCATATGGGCCTTAATTTGGGGGGAGGGGCTTAATTTGATTTTATGCCAATAAAACATGGTGGGGCTTCCTATTGGTGGAGGCCGTATTGTTTGAGAAACACGGTACATTTTAAGAAGATACTTGGTTGATACCTATAGCAACCCATATCAATCATCAGAGCTAGTCAATGATATTTGTGATACATTTTTAAATGTTCAGTTGACTGAGTTTCATGTTTAATGAAAATAATAATAATAATAATAATAATAATAATAATAATAATAATAATAATATCATCATCATCGTCATCTGGCAGTGATCCCAGTGGTTAATGAAACACTGGGTGCCTATCAAAAAACCTGAAATAGTATTTAGGAAACCTGTGCATTGACAAAATTTCCATTTGCCAGTAACAAAAGGCATACTGCTTAATCTGCACATATATTACGCTGATACATTACGACATCCTGGGTTTTTGAGAAGAACTCAATGCAAATGAAAGCCAGCTGGCAGTTGTGATTTCACATTATGAATAATAATACATTTTTAATCTATCCATCTATTGCCAAATCAAGGTAGCAAATATACCTAATATTCTGCCTATTTTCCCCACAACAATCCTGTGGGGTAGAGTGGGTTTACAGAAAGAGGCAAGCCCAAAGTCGCCCACCCAGCTTTCGTGCCTAAAGAAAAATATACTCCTAGTTTCTAGGCCAGGACATTCACTATTACACCAGCTCTTACATCCTGCTTTGCTTGCATCGACCCCTTTAAGAATAAGAATTGCAAACCTGATGCTAATGCATTACCAAGCCTGTTGGATTTACCCTAGGAGTTCTTATAATAGTTACAGAAAAGGGAATTTCTCCTATGAAATAAATAGTGACAGGATACCACACAGGACACATCCTTGACCCTTCCCTCTCTTGCTCACACATATATATTCTCTTTGCATTCTCATAAATGCTGCTTCAGCTCAGTGGAACTAGATACGGGCACATATCTATGTTAGCTCTGTTTGAAAATTTCCTTTCTAGCCAAGGACGGTGTTTATGAAAGCTTCAATATATTTCAATCATTCCTCAAATGTAACTTTATTTCTAGCTAAACATGTACCCAGTAACCACTGAAATGAGTAGTATCACTGTAGTTGGCATGAAGCTTAGAACAAAAATATTTTCAAGTGGAGCTGACCTCAGCTTGAATCTGGGATTTCAGAAAGAGTCCAAGCATCAAAAACACAAACAGCAAGAAAGGAACAGTGGGTAGGAAGCAAGAGCAATGCAATGCAGTGTGCCAAATAATTTGTTTCAAGACCTTGAAAATACTGAATATGTGAAAAACACTCAACTGTGCCTCAAAAGTCTTGGTTTTGTGCTTGTTAGCAAAGTATCGCCAAATTTAAGGAGCAACATGGCTGCAATTTTGTTAGTGGGTGGGGGCGGACAATAATAGGAGGGAGGTTGGTGTGAGCAGGGACCTAGAGGCAGGGCATCTTGGTGACTGCCCCACCAGTATGAAGCACTTTGACTTCAGAGATCAGGATGGACCTCATATTTTCCTTTTTTTTTTAAATGGCAGACAACTTCATTTTGCTGGTCCTAGGGAGCATAAGCAGGTATTTGTTGGGTTGCCTTCCCCCCCCATTTCTTTTTCGTTTTACATTCAGTGTGTTTTTCCTTTTATGGAGTTTATTAGAATGGAAGGGTTTTATGGGATGATTAGTTCTTACTGATTACAAATCACCGGAGTCTGGTGATTGAGGGTAGTCTATGAATGTTGCAATAAATAAATGGGATCCCAGCTGGCTGAATCACAGAACTGAGAAAAATGCCGCTTTGAACAGAAGTTAAGAAGTTGCATTTTTCTTTGCTCCACTTTAAGGCTGCATAAATAATGAAGCTTGATCAAATCAAAAGCCTAGCTACATGGACCTCATTCATCCCAAATTCCCAATTCTCCTGCTTGCTGGCTAGTAGCACCACAGAAGGAAGTTGGACCAAAATTACTAATCTTCTCCTTTTTCCTGCATGTGTATGTGTTGGGGGGGGGGGGGGGGCATATCTTTGGATGAGTATTGTTTTCCTCAGTGATTTCCTCAGGTTTTTTTTTCAGAAAAAAGAGAAACAGTCTTCTGGATAATTAACATTCCCTGCAATCAGTGCTTTTATCTAAGGTAGGAATTCAAATTGATCATGCACTAGGGAACAATGAGCAGCTCACAAGAAAAATATCAGCTGAGGACACATTTGTCAGTCTTTGTTAGCTGGTGCCTTATCCTTTTCTCACCCAAGAAGGCTGAAGTGGTCATACACTTGCACTCCTTATATATTTTATTTATTTACATACAAATGAAGTCACTGCAGTCATTGGAGGTTATGAACCATCATCAACCATCATGTGAATTAATAGATTCCCCCCCTCCCTTTCCAGTCCATGGATGAGAGAAAGAAAGAGAGAGAGAGAGAGACTAGCTCAAACCCAACCAGTTTTCATGTCTAGGGAAGCACTGGAACCTGAATCTTTTTCCTCCTATTCCAGTTCCTGAACCACTATGCCACAGTGACTCTCACCCATGCTTACACATATATCCATATATGCCTGTGTTTTAAGATTTTTCAGCTTATGCTCTTCTGTGACCTGTGTACTTCCAAATGGAGACAAAATTTAACTCATAGAGTAACAAACCTGACCATAATGGAACCTGCTCTTACTAGAATAAAGTTTTTGGAGTCCCAGTTTGGTCTAGTGGTTAAGGCACCAGGCTACAAACAGGGAGACTGTAAGTTCTAGTCTCACTTTAGCCATGAAAGCCAGCTGGGTGACTTTGGACTAGTCAATCTCTCTCAGCCTAATTTGCCTCATAGGGTGATTGTTTTCGGGGAAACATGAGGAGAAAGGTGTGCTGGATATATTCTCCACCTTGAGTTATTTGTAAAAATAATAAAGGTGGCATACAAATGAATATAAAAAGCACCCCTTCATTATACTTTTCTTTCCATTTTAGCTCCCACTCCCACATAGCCATGGAAGAGATCAGTTCTGTTTTGACATACTCCAAGATTATGATTTTCCAAGGCTGTAGAATTAATAATGAGGAAAGAAAGGATACCAGTGAGTATAATTTTTGCAAAATAAAAATAAAAATTGTGATGTTTGCATGTTATGCACATTATTTCATTTTCTATTTAGCTTCAGGCAAGGGGATACAAGTGGGACTCCTAAAGGCAAAAACATGGGATGGAATAGTCAAGTTCATTCTCTAAGAATAAAATGCTCTAATCCATATCACAGATCATCCCTTCTGAATGATTAAATGTAGCAATTAATATTCAGTGACATTAAAGTTATCCATTAGACTGATTTTTACATTTTACTAGTCACGTCAAAAACTCACTAAAAAGCCTTTTTTAATTTAAGATGGAAATTGCAACAATCATATAGGGAGACATCTCCATAAAGCAAAAGTCGTACTGGGTTAGAAGAACATATACAAGGAGGAATTTCTACTGAGTTTCTTCCAAAGAAAAGTCTCTCAGATCCCAGTTACATCCAATTTTGACATCCTGTGACAATCTGATTCAAAAAAAAGCCCCCATCCAAAAAAAAGATTGTCTACAGAGTTGGAAAGACAAAAGACATCAGAGACAAATATTCAACAATAAAGAAAGTTGTTCACTAAATGCAAAAGCTTGGATTTCAGATTATTCATATACAAATATAACCAGTCTGCTCCTTTCCACATCTCTAAGCTGATATTCCTATTTTCTCCAAGTTGATATCATAGGAATGTGCAGTTTGAAAGCATGCAAATGCAAGTAGGTAAATAGGCATTACATATAAGCTTGCAGGAAGGTAACAACATTCTGTGTTTCGCCATACAGTCTGTGCTGCGGCACAATTTCATGTTGGCCCTCACTCCAGGCAACACTGGTTTTTTGGCTTAAGAAACAGAGATGAGCACTGCCCCTTAGAGTAGGTCACGACTAGTGGGGTAAAACCCAAAGAGACACCTTTACCTTAATTTTATTTTCATGTGCAAGTTTGATTCAAGAACAGACTTACATCTTATATAGAAAATTATATTAAAAGCCACAAAATGAAGTGCTTATTTTTGGAAAGGGAATTATGCTTACCTCTACAGCATGACTTTCCGTGTTAATTATAAATATTTGTCCACCAGAAGCAGCCCAGATGGATTCTTCCATCACAAGAAGACCTCTGACAGGAAGAACTCCCAATTTCACTATTTTCTGAGGTTCTGAGTTCCATGTCCCATCTTTTGCAAAAAGAAATGAAAGATTTATTTTTTTTAAAAAAATCACTTTATTTATATAATAATTACCTTGATATACTTATTAATGATAAAATATTCTTGCCTCAAATGGATTTTTTTCTACCTTTTGTTCTAATTCAAAACCATTTTTACCAAAGCCTGTAGCCAGAGGGTGGGTATCTTTTATATATAAATAAAAAGCTAATTCTGGACAGTAACTCAGGATTTGTCATTAATTCCATTTAATTAAATATAATATCCTTCCCTCTGCCCTCCAGCAATGGAGAAGAATTCTCTTCTATTTGATTTAGCAAGTTTTCATCTTACTGTTCAATAGCTTCCTTATTTTCTCTATTGTGTAGCACCATTGGCATTTCAACAGAGCTGCTAAATTGGCCCTGTAAACAGAGATTGTTAACTGAGTAGTGCAATGGTGCATAAACAGTAAGAGAAATGATTACATATTGACTTGTTTTTATCTCAGCAGAGCAAGACTAAAAATACACAGCAATAGTTAAAAGGAATTCAGTTTGAACACTTTTGAAATTAATGTTTACTTCAGTGATTATTCAGAATAACAGCTATCAGCAACAATTGAAGATATCAATATATACTAAGAGCAAAATAAAAACTTTTCATGATGTTATCATTGTAGCAATTCCTCCTCAGGAAAAGACCCTATTCAGTGTTTTAATTCTTCAATTGACATAGGTAGTTGGGAAAGAATTACCAAGAGCAATAGAACTGTAATTATTTTATTTATTATTAAGCCTCTATGCTGCCCATTTCACCAAGGTGACTCTAGGCAGCTTACAGTCACATAATTAAAAGACAATATAAAACCTTAAAAGAATAAACAAAAGCCAGACATTTCAAATCAAGTTTAAATTCAATTGTATTTGCCCCTTTCACCATTATAGTTCTCTCTGAAATATAAGGCTCTTTAACCAGATCATTTTACTGAATTATAAATAGTGAACATTACCCAGTTCAAGATGCCAATACTAATATATAAAACTCTGAAGAAACTGAGATACATGAACCTGCCTCAAACATACAAAATAACTTCTAAAATAATTATCCCTACCTAGACAAATGAGATTGGTGAACTCTAAAAGTGACAGACTTTTTGTGACAGAAGCGCCCTGAGTCCTCAATTCTTCCAAGGGAGATCAAATTACCCTACCTCAACTCTGTACACCAGATGACCAGTACTGCATTCTCAAGTTGAAATTCTACTAGTCTTTAAAGTTCTTTTCTGGTGTCATGATGTCAAATACTCTCCTTTCCATCTTTATGGTGTAAGATTCTGTTAATTTTCTTTTAATTAATACAAAATACCTGAATTTTGTACATTGCCCTGAATGACATTGCATGATTTATCAATTATGTCAAGTCAGTAATGTTATTTATCAATTATGTCAAATCAATAATTGATATTGGAAACATCGCAGGAACATGGAATTACTACCCCTGAATCAAATAAAAGGGCTTTCTGGGTAGGACATTAAAGACTGACCAATTTATTTTCTCTTGGTCATGGGAACAACTGAAATATAACACATCAACTCTCTGAATGTGAGTGTTAAACAGCATTAGAAGCTGAGAGAAATATATCTGCATTTCATTTTTTTTTCTTTTTCTGCTGATACTTAAACAAAACTGGCAATGCCAGGAACTGTTAGCAAACTTGGGATGAAAAACATTTTGACCTGCAGAATTAAGTAGTGCAACTTGGGTTTTCCAATGTCAACTTGTACCAATTATTATTGGATCAAATCCTCTGTCCCAGCCTTTATTATCTATCTGACAAAATAGGTCAGCTTTTCATTAAGCTGCCTCTTCAGCATGATTGGAAAAGCAGCTTGAGCTGACAAAGATTATAGTTACAAAACTGGGAGAAAGAGTGAGATTTCCTTTGTAATCTAGAGTAAGAAATAATTTTGTAATTCTACTTATATCTGCTGCAAAGAAAATTGAAAGCTTCATTTTATGTCATGTTAGTTTTTTCCTTCCTTCCTTCCTCTCTTTATTATGACTTTCTTTTATGCTGTTTTAACTTTTGACTGGGAGCAGCCCAAAACTGGTACAAATGTTTTAAATAAATAAAATTAGTTTGTAATGTTCTTGTAAAACTTTCAATAAAATTTGCTTAAAAAATGTTACAAAGTGGGAGGCAGCAAATGCTTATCTGAGAAGAAGGGAACATGGAGACCACTGTATGTGCTTTCTTAAGACCAGGGCTGTCAAATTCCTGGCCCATGGGCCAGATGCGTCACATGCTAGCCACACCCAGTTTAGTGAAGGGTGAAAAAGTCCCGTACATCATGTGATGCCGCCATGACGATGCACGTTTGACATCCCTGCTTTAGACATAAAAAAAGCTACTATCACAGCAACCCGAAGCACAGGCAAACTCTGCTGAACAGACAGCTGCATTAAAGAGTCCATCACTATGTAATGGATGTGTGCTTTGATCTCTCTTCTTAATATATACCCAGCTATTTGTGATATAAAAAAGAAGTTTTAAATATATGATGCTGATAACTGATTGCACTATTTGCAAAAATATGCCATCCTACTATTAAGAAGTTCAACATCCACAATAAAAGTAATAGAATTGAAGCAAGTACTTAGGAAAACCTTGTCCTGTCTTAAGATGACAACCTACCAGGCAGGTGTTTTACTATTTGTAATCTTGTTGCATAAAGAAACAAGAACTGCACATGTGTTTGGTAGATGCCAGGCTGAGGGAGTCAAAATTTCTCCTCTAATCCTTTCTCCATAAATAAACAAGATATTTCATAATTTTAAACTTAACACTATACTTAAGATCATTATTGCAATAGAAGAAAATGTATGTAGCTCATGTTTAAATTGTGGAGTTCTTGGTGTTCTTTGATGTGGTTGTTTGCTTTGAGACATTTGATTACCCAAGTTGGATTCAATTGATGTAGTTAGCTAATTGGGTAATGAAATGCCTGAAAGCAATCAACCAGACTTAGAGGGCACCAAGGAACTCCACTGATCATTATTTTGATTTAACTGTATTAAAAGTTAACAAATAGTTACTCCTCTTTAACTTTTAATACTTTTTAATAAGGAGCTTCATTTTTAACAAGTATATACTAGACCGTTTTGAGGAGATCAATACATGGAACAGGACAAACTACTAGCATAAAAATTTAAATGTACATTATTTTTCAATTAATATTACAATAGTTAGTTTAAAAATAGTGTGCGCGTGCATGCACAAGATATAGCCTTAAAGCTATTTTATGTTACATCTTAAAATAGATATATTTATGTCTCCTCTTAAGAAAGACTTGGAATTAATTCCTTATGAACTAACATGCAGTATCTACATAGACTTTCCCATCCTACTGCTCCCCAGCAGTGAAAAGGCTGCAGTTCCCCCAATTTTCAGGCCAGATGAACTAAAACTTACAAGAAATGGCCAGCCCACCCAAATTCTCTTCAATTAGAAAAGACTATGTGAACTCCTGTGAAAACTACCATCAGGAATGTCAATATACATAGGTTTGTGGTTCAGGAACCTGTTTCTAATGTAAGAGTTCCTATTCTCAATCTACATGGAAAAATTGAGACATGTATTGCTAATGAAATTAGAGACTAAGCAGATTTTTCAAATATATATGCAATTTCCGATGACCGCTGGTACCACAGCAATCCAAAATAAAAATGTGAATATGAATGTAGGAAAGAAAACACAGTAATGAAATCTATGTCTATAAATATTGCAACTCAGAAATCCTTCTGGATATCCCATAACATTCCTGTACCTTCCAATTTGGTGTAGATTGCAATATTTCCATTGACTAGGCCAGCAAATAAATTATGAGTCTTGTATGCTAAGCTCATCACAGTAGACTTCTCGGGAGCAAAGAAGTGTTGAAGACGGATTTTCTTGGACCCTTGACTACTTTTGTAAACAGAGATGCTATTTAAAAAGAACAGGAAATAGTTTAAAAATCATGATATGAAAAGAAAAACGGATTCAACATTACATTCAAGAGTTTCTTCCTCTCTATGCTATTTTACTCTTTGTTTCTCTTTGTAACACCTAATACAGACCTGTGTGTGTATTGCACATATACACACACATATACAGTACATATCATAGCACTGATATGCTGGGTGACTGAACACAATGATGTCATGCTGTAAATTCTGTATTCGATGAAACAAAACCTAATATATGACTTACTTAGACACTCATAATTCTACATATATCCATAGTCTCAAAATAACATTTAAAAATTAAGAATCCAAACCAAAACCTAATAAAGCTTAAGTCAATCTACAAACTCTATTTCTATACTATTTCAGAAAGTACAAGGAGAGAATTTGTCAGCTACAAAACACAGTGTTCACTTTCTGAAACATTTACACAGAGAGACTGGGGAAAAACAGAGGGAACAATACATTTCTTCTAATGCAGGAAAAAGAATGCTTTCCACTTGGAATATAATATTTTCTTCATAATGCAGAAATTTTCAATATCTAGACCTACGTATAATGTATCTGATGCTTTTCAATAAATATTATTTCTTTTTTTTCTTTTTCCTTTGTCTACAGAACAACTGGAACCATAGTGCAAGGAATTAGTGAAAGAATGAGAATGAGAGACTAAAAGACTGACCAACAACACCTAAAACATTTCACTGGTTTAAAGCCATATTACTATAAAATACTTAATATGTTTGCCATTATTTATTTGTGGCAAATTACCAATGATTACTATTTATTTTATTTCTGAACACATCCAGCTGCTTGCAAAGAATGGGAAATCATCCTCATTTATTTAAATAAAACATAACATTTCCTATAGGGATGTGCAAAGTTTTAAGTAAATTAGATCTTTCAAAATAATTGTGATTTTAGACATTTGCTAGAAATAATTAATTTAGTGCAACACTGTATTTTCAGCTCCCTCCCTCTCCCTCCCTCCCTCCCTCAGAGCTAAATAATCTACAGAAATGAGACACAAGTATGAAAAATACCTTCCTTCTTCCATGCCTAGACAAATAGTAGGCACACTAAGGGGTTTTGTAGCCATGTCTCCAGATTCAGGAAACATATTATCTGATTCTTTGGATTTCTCATCTTCTGGAATGTAGACCATACAGAGAATTCTTGACTCCACATTGAAGCATTCAATAAGCTTTGGACTGGAGTTTTGAAATGATACAATGGCAATTTGGCCCATTTGATTAGTACAGCTGCCAATCTGTATTATAGAGAAAATTTTTACTTTATTTCATAAGCAATCTATCTTTAACAATAACATTCATAGTTAATATTTACCAAAAAAATCATTAAATTTTAAATAGTTAAATTAAGGAGTTTCTGGAAACTGGACATTAAAAGAAAACAATGATATTACGTGCCTATCTTACTGATTGAAAATACTGGAAAAATATTTCACTTGCAAACCAGTTTTGTTCTCTAAAAGAAACAGTCTATTTCTTTAACATTTATGTACATACTTCATAAATGTTTAATGTACAAGAAATAGTGAGATTTCCAGCTTTTATTTGTTAATCCTACAATATAGACATTATTCTATATCAGATCATATTGCCAATGAAATTCATAACAAGTGACTTTTTGCAAGCAATGATGATGATCACCAGGTTTTAGGAATTTTCTTTTTTTTAAATAAAGTTTTATTTGGGTTTTCACACACACAAAATACAAGTAAAACATCTTTTTTAAAAATAGCATGGTCCCAGGTTGAACTTCTTTATACAGACACAAACTGAATTTCATGCTAATTTTTGTGTTCTATTCCATACCTTATACTATTCTACATTTTCTATATAGTTTTTTCCCTCTTTTAATTTTCTCAATTTTATTTTAATTATCTCATCTCAATTCAAATCATTGTATTTATACTTTTGTCTGTTCTGTTTCAATTTCATATTATCTTTTCTCAAACAAATTTTCTCCTGTAGTTACTAATTGGAGTATGACACCTTTACATCTTTTAATTATATCAATTCAACTCTTATTTAAACTTCAATATATACCTTAAGGTTATGACCTTCAATATAATACATAATACATAACTTCCAATCGAATTCTGCTTGGTACATTCTTATAATACACACTATATTCTTTAAAGAAAAAAGGATTACAAATATATGTAATTATAAACCCTCATTCCAATTCAGTTCTATCATTAATAATCATTAAAGTCTTAACATCTTTAACATTTCTTTTCAATTAAATATCATACTTCCTTAAAGACACATATAATCTCCATAATTAATTTTTCCCTTATTTCTCTTCACATGTTTTGTAAATCATTAAATATTCATTTTGTTATATTTACTTATTGACAAGCATTCCACTAAGTTACAATAACTATTTTATCAAACATTTTAATCATACATTGTTTCATATTTTCTAAAATTATTTCTATTTCTAGTATAACAATACTATCTTATGTACCTTTGCAGAATCCCTTTTTCCATTAGATTTTTCACCCATTATCTCTAAATAGGCCCTGTTTCTCTATATTTTGTTTCTGTCCTTTATAACTTCTTTTCCTTTCCTTCTTCCCTCTCTTCTTCTCCCTCCCCTTTTTACCCCCTTGTCTCTCTACTTCTAACTCTCTCTTCTGCATTTCCCTCTTCTGTTGCTTTCTGATTTTACACTTATTTTTCACTCTATTCTTTTTTGGGGTTGTTTTTCCCAATCTTAAACTTTCCATTCCCTTTCCCCCCTTTCCTTTTTTCCCCCCACCTAAAATTACTTGTTCATTAAAGATGGCTTCCTCTTTGTCCCTATCTTCTTGTTCTACAGGTATTTCTTGTCGTTTCTCATAGTTCCAAATCTCCATTTCTAAGAACTGAAATACGAAGCCAAAATAACCTCTCCCTTCTTGTGAATCTTCTTTGTACTTTTTAAGTTCCATTTTCAATTCTTCTAAAAGTGGAGCCATTTTAAACAGTTTTAAACAACCACCCGATTGATTTTAGTCATTCAAATGCAATAACCAAGAATCGAGGAATCACCAAGTAATCCAAATAGTCCCAAGCTGTTTCTTCTTATTTCTTTTTTCACTTTCTCTTCCTGGGATTTTACTATTTTGTTGCGATGTATCAGTTAAGATGTATCTTTTGGAAGTGCTGTTGAGATTTTGCTGTAAGTTCTTTTTAATTCCAGGCAGTCTCCTCCCATCCAGATCCTGCCCTTTTATTCTTTTTCTCTCCTTTCCTGTTTTCAAAAGCTTTTAATTATCTAGAAATCTTTATTATCCCTTTGACTTTTTATTTTCAGCATTAAATGCCTATTAATGTCAAAGTGGACTTTTTTCCAATTTCTTGCTTAAGTCTCTTAGCTGTCAGTATGGGAAGAGGAGAAAAAGAACCAAATCCTTTCCCTTTTCTCTCTCCTTTGCAGCTTAGAAATCTTCTTTGGGAACAATGTTATTGGTTTTTTTTAATAGTTTCAATTCCAGGGTACCTTTTTTGTTGCTTTTGCTGTTTGACCCAGTCAACCAAAACTTTTTCTTCTTATCTTCTTCCTGCACATTCTTTTTGGGTCGAGTTCTTCTTTGTGGTGGCCATTTCTGACCACTGCTACAACCACCTTCGGGAAAGGGAGTAGTGGCCAGCTGGGGAGGAGAGATGCGGCTCTCCTCAACCCTGTAGGCAGTTTCCCCCTTCTTCACCACCTCTACGGGGTGGCTTAGCCCCGAAACCAGCCGGCTCAGGGCACTCCAACGGCAAGCATGAATCGAAGCTGTGCAGGGTCGCGGTTTCGGTCTGTCACCGAAGCAGCTCAAACCGGAAGTCCTCAGGTTTTAGGAAATTATTAATTTGCATGATTTCATGTTGTTAAATATATTTCATAACCTTTGTTAAGATTAAAAACATCTTAGTCTTCCTGTACAAGCAGCATACAAGAAGTCACATGCCCACAACTATTTCTGATTTGTGAAATTATTTCCTGAATGTTCCCCATTCATGCTCAGGACCAAAAGTCTCAACATTTTAAAGTGTTAAGAGGGAGTACACTTTGAGAGCAAGTGATGATTTGCAAAAATTAACATAGGTGAATATTGGACACAGAAATCAACATCAGGCCACAAAATACATGGCTGTATAATGTCAAAGGGTCCATCTATATCCCTACTTTCTTGTTAATATTGAATGTCAAGGGCCAAATTAGACAAGATACTGGGAAATCATTCTCTACCCTTAATTTTTTTAAGTGTTTTGAATGGTTTTGATATGCCTGATTGTGTATTATGCAGAATGGATGCTTAAATGTTTCCTAATCTGGCTGTACCTCCCATTCTAACAATTTCTAAGAAAAGAAGTCTCAAGAAAGGCTTATGATGAGAAAACTGTCCTGCTGTTTTCATGCACTAAACATCACCTGTTCTTCATTCAATTTTCATCTTAAAAAAGCTAAAACCAAATGAACAGGCTTTTTTAAAGAACACGGAGTCATCAATATGTAATCCAGCTTGGTATATCTATGTCTGTTTCCCTATCTGTATCTTATCTCTATTTTTGTTTCTTTTTATGACTCTGTAATCACTTTTTATCAGGGTGGAGACAGGTGACTGAATGGAGTTGAGCATTTACTGGCCAGATGCCCTCCTGCAGATATTTTCTCTTTAGCCCTGATTGAGAAAAATCTGTCATTGCCTAGGATTGAACTCTCAACCTTCCGAGTTGGAAGTGAGCAACTTCACATCTATGTCACCATGCCGCATATCTATATCTATAGCTCTATATCCTATAATATCCGTACCTATAATTGTGAAACTGAATTTGCAAAAGTGAATGGATTTCTATTCCATTCTGTATAAACGTTATTATATGAACTTGGAAAAAAATTAAATTCTTACCCATAGAAAACCATACTCCGTAGAAAGAGAATCGGGATCACTTTCTTCACATGAACAAGGTTCAGGATTATAAGCAGCACATTCAACCTTAACACACAAAATAAAGATTCTTAGCAAAAATTTCATATATTTTACTATAGCAAAAAATAAAATAAAATAAATAAATAAAAGAAATGAAAGCTTTTCTGCCCCCCTGCTAGTTAAACTGAAGCCAATGAGTAAAAGATAAATGGTTTCTATTTTGCAACCTTATGTGGCTCTAATGTATATACAAATATATATAATTAACCATTTTTAACAGTTCTTATTTTTATGTCATTTTTGGATTTTGACATTAAATAAGTTAGTAAAATTGTTTCCAGACCAAATAACTGATAAAGAGGAAATAAACTTAACTTTAGGTAAAGTCAATTAGCCCATGCATGTTTCAATCTGTACATTAGTTATTTAGCAAACAAAATCAATGATATATACCTTAAATTCCTGTTGTTTGGCCATCATAACAGGCATGTGTTTCATAAGGAGTGGGTGTTTCTCTTTTTTAATCTGATTTCCGTCATCATCTATACAGAACCAACCCAGCAGATTTTCATCAGCTGTAATGGCATAAGGGAAAAAATGTCATTGTTTTCAATAAATTATTGCTATGTTTTTATGCTACCAAATAAATATGAATGACACATATTTTCTAGTAACTGTCTCTGTAGAATAACCAAGTAATCAAATGTTTTCTTTTAAAGGCCCCCAAAGGTGTTTAATAAAGGTTAACAATGGGAAGTTCTAAAGAAACATTGCAGTCTTATCTGGTTTATTCTAGAAGACAACATTTATGCATTCAAAAATTTAAAAAATAACATTTTAAAAGATAACCAATATTTATAAAATCTCTACAGAAAATAATCCCTCATGCAAATATCTATTTAAAATGATCTTATATATACATATAGCTTCATATTTTCATTAGAGGATTAATTTCTTCAGTATTGCTGATCCTTTTCCAGGACTGAAATGGTTGGTCTTTAGCAGTGGGAGTCAGCCATGGAGATTCCCCTGCAAATAGAGCTGAAATCTTTCTTCTCTCAACTGATTTTTTTAGACTTTGAGTTTCCTAAGTTTTGCCAAACTCTGGTCACTGCCTTGGATAAATAATTTATTAACTCATTCTCTGTGAGTGTTTCTCTCCTTCAATGCAATTATTCAGAAGGCACAGATAACTCTCCTTTAGTTTAATTTATGTAATTTTTAAGCACAGCAAAAGAAAATCTTACCTAAAGCAAGCTTAGCCATTTGCAAACTTCTGATCCATGACTGTTTGATGGCAGGTGTAAATGTATTGAACACAGCCGTAAAAAAAGTAGGCCGTCCTGATCTATTAAAATTAAAGAAAATAAGACAGAGTGCATTTTCCTCTTTCCTATATAATAAAAAAGTATGCCATATACTCTTTTGGCAGAAAGATAGCAAAGATTCATTAGCTGCAACAGCACCAAATAAATTCTATTGAACAGCATTAGTTTTTCTTTCAACATTGAAAGGAACATTTTCATAACTTGCAAATAGATTTTATTTAATGCCTACCTAAGTAAAGACCTATCAACTCTCCCAGAGTTGTGAAAGATTCCTGGTTTAGGACCAGAGGCTGACATTCATAGTCATTGTATCCCATTGTTCTGACTCCATTCATAGCATACATGATAAATGTCCTATATTGATAGCTTTGTACACCCTTTCAGGCAACTGTGGTCTCCTTGCACTGAGAAATACAAGTTATGTCATAGTTGTGATACTATCTCTTTTATCTGTGGGTTGCTGCTGATGCAAAATCAAAGCTGGCAAATTGGTAAAGTATTGGCATACTGAAACAAGGTTACAGAAATTGACTAGATTAGGATTTCTTATAACTTCTGAAATATGTTAAGAGAATAAGAAATAAAATAAGCAGTCAGGCTGAGGTGGGCACGACTATCCATTCTCATACAAGGAAAGGACATTTGATTCCTTATGAAATTCTGCTTTTTAAAAACTATCAAATATCTAGAGATGAAGGATTGCTGGCTCAAACTACAGGTAGTCTTTAACTTATGATCATAATTGAACTCAGGCCTTTTGTTGATAAGTGAAACATTCGTTAAGTGAGTTTTGCCCCATTTTTACAACCTTCCTTGCCATATTTGTTAAATGAATCACTGCGGTGGGTTAAGTTAGCAAAATGCTTGTTAAAGCTTCCCCATTGACTTTGCTTGTCAGAAGGTCGTAAAATGTGATCACATGACCCCAGCACACTACCACCATAATTACAAGTCAGTTGCCAGGCACCTGAATTTTGATCACATGACCATGGGGGTGCCGTAACAGTCGTGAGTGTGTAAAAGTCCCGTTATAACTTCAAATGGTCACTAAACAATTTGTTGTAGGTCAAGAACTACCTATATACACGTATACAGAAAAGACATTGAACTAAATAAACACAGCATCAGTTAGCTAGTGGGATTTTATTTCAGTTCTCTTGGACACCTAAAATGCTTCCTCCTTCTGTAGTTATGAGGTGCATACTGTCTATTCACATCTTGAACATAGTATAAATGTTGAGGTACCGTTTGCCTGGAGCTTATTACGCAGCAATGGAGAGCTGGAAAATTGCTGCCAGAAAAATGTCTCACACAGAAAGACAGATCCTATCAAGATCTGCTTCTGAGCACATGGCTATCATCATTATTTTGCAACACTAAACATGATCCTCCTTCCTCCTACCCAGAAGCTACATTTTACTGCGTTGGCTTTCATCACAACTTCCCCTCAAGTGCTTTCCAGAAAATGTATGTCCTCTGTAGTTCAAGGTTGCTACTAACTTGTCCTGTTTTCCTGGAAGCTGAAGTTGAATTCGACAGCGGTCTGCGGCTCTAATTTCATCTTCTTTTTTCAAAATGAGTTTTTGTAAACCTGAAGTCCAATCATGAGCCACTGACTGATTTAAATTCTGGTGGAACAACAACAACAAGAACAAATGTTGAAGTTCATATAATGTTACATTAAGTTTATTTTTTTCCATCATATCAAAAACCTATGAAGCTGGACTACAAACCATTTTAAGATACACCATCAGAATTTAAGCTGAAATATCTTTTGCAGATGCAGTCTGGAAAGACCTGCATTAAATAACAAAAATCTACTGCCATTCTATGTAATTTTTATTTGAAAGGAACACAGGCACAGACATACTGTACAGCATGGATTAAAACAAAGAGGGGAAAAAACCATGCCAGTAGGATTAAATAATACTTAAATAGACCTCATGGCATAATTCTCTATGCTAAAGAAACACTGCTATTAACTCATGATACAAGCGTATGACATTTTTCTTAACATCACTGAATAAAAATACCTTATTGAATATCCTATGCTTAGACTGCATTTACACAAAAAGGTTAAGTACAACTAACTCAGCAAGGCATCACTAATCTACTTACAACTTTACAGTTTACCATTTAACAATAATCACATTAGCATCACATAAAATAATATAGGTGTTTGCTTAATCTGAAAACTTAATTCTACATCCATTACTTGTTACCTGGTAGTTTCCCTTCAGGCTGCTTATTAGTTGACTGATTTGGCCAACTACATTCAAGTCATGTAAGAGATTCTGCAAATCATTGTACAGTTGCCCTGGTCCCATATAAAGCTTATCTGAAACATAAAAATATGCTATTAAATGTATGCATAAAGTAAGAGTTATTAGATATTGTAACCAAAATTACAAGAATAGTACCTAAAGTGGATATAAAAAGTCTATACACCCTTGTTAAAATGCCAGGTTTTTAAGATGCAAAAAAAGAAAGAAAAAAGTCAGACCAAGATAAACCACTTCAAAAATTTTTCCACCTTTTAATACAATTATAAGCTATACAATTTAACTGAAAAGCAAACCGAGATTTTGTAGGGGGGGAAATAACAATAAAATATTGTAAAAAATGCGGTTGCATAAGTGTGCTCATTCCTTATAAGTAAACATGTGGCTGTGGCAGAAATAACCAATCACATTCAAACTGATATTAAATAGTAATCTGTACACACCTGCCACCAATTAAAGTGACTCTGATCAAGCCCATATAAAGCTCAGCTGTTGTAGCAGGGTTTTTCTGACATTTACTCAGTTGCCTCTTAGAGCAATTGGACAGTATCAGACAGGAGAAGGATGCAAAAAAAAAAAAAATCCAAGGCATTGGATATACCTTGGAACAGGAATTGAAAACAACTTGATGGCATATAATCAATCTATGCACTTGCATGCTTAATTATACGTTGATTCAACACAAATGATTAAGCAATCTATATATGTTTGTGCATATACACAAACTTAGGAACATTTTGCCATGTGATTTTGTGTACCTGTCTCCTGAAATGGTACAAATTGAGAAATCCTATCCCATACAGCTTTTCTTGGTAGGAAACCTATACTAATAACTTGCAGAAATAGGGCAGGTTGGGATTTTCTCATTTCCAGCCATATTTCAATCCATCTGTTTCCACTCTGTTAAAATAGGCACCACTGGTGTGAGAACTACTGTGAATATACTCAGGTGTATACATGCTCACGCACACAGATCAACAACGGATTGACGAAGCAATGTAGCCTGTCCTAATATGAAGCTCTGTGATCTAAATAATATGAAAATAATTGTTGTTAGTGACCCAACCATTGGGTAGATGTGATCTACCTATAATCCAACAGCAGAGTTAATAGCAACATAAGGTTATTTTTTTTTCACCTTATCAAACGTTCAGAAGCAAGATTTTTATTACAAAAAAGAAAACAAACCAAGAATCCTACAGAAACAGATTTCAAATAAAGAAAAGCTTTCATTAATGATTTAGATATTGATCTCCATATTTTAGGTCAACAGATTGACCTAAAATATCCCTTATTAATATTAAAGTTGGGGATCAAGGAACTATGTCCTTTTAGATTGTCTTACTCTATAAACTTTCTGCATCTCTTTTATATGTGTGTGTTACATAAGCTCAATTGTTGCCATTAGCCCTGTGCTTTTCCTTGGTTACCTCTGAAATTGCCACCCACTCCTGGTTGTCATGCCCAGTAATTGAACAACCTGAACAGCAGAGGAGATTCCAATGTTTTCTTGGCATGATAAATCCAACTAAATTTACAAAACAGAATCACAAAAAAACCCTGCATTCTCAGTTGGAATGAAACATGATTATGTACTAAACAAGTTCACAAATGAGGGTGATGAGAATTAAAGTGACACTGAAATTTGATCAAATCCCGTTAATTTTACAGAGGTAAATACAGTGATTTAGGGGATTAAACATTGTTCTAATAGATATAAAAGCATAATCTTTAACTAATCTTCTCAATTAATCTATTATGTAAAACTCATGCATTCCCCCAAAATTGGCAAAGTGAATCTAAATCAGTTTTCTCAGAAGTAAGTAGAATTAGTGATGTTAAAACAGTACATAGAACCATGGAGTAAAAAGGTACTTCAGAGGTCACCTAGCCTGACCCTTTGCTTAATGCAAAATCTATTAAAGCAGATCAGATGACAACACAGCCTCTGTTTGAAGATCTACAATGAGAGGAAAGAAACCATTTCATTAGGAAACCTGTTCCACCATTTGAAAACTCTTCCTTTTTTTTTTCCATATCTAATCAAAATCTATTTTCTGAAGAGTCTACCCAGGGCTTTTAGTCCTACCCTACAGACCAACAGAAAACAGTTCACTCCTTTTACAAACCTGATGATTATTGTACAGGCAGTACTCGACTTACAGCTATTCAGTGACCATTCAAAGAAATGGCACTGAAAAAAGTGATTTATGACCTTTCTCACACTTATGACCATGGTAGCATCTTCATGGTCACATGATCAAAATGTGGATACTTGGCAACTGGTTCATATTCATGACAGGTGCAATGTCTCAGGGTCATGTGATCACCTTTTGCAACCTTCAGACAAAGTCAAAGGGGAAGCCAGATTCATCTAACTTGTTACTAACTTAAGTGTAGTGATTCACTTAACAATTGTGGCAAGAAAGGTTGCAAAATGGGGCAAAATTCACTTAACCGTATCACTTAATTTTTTAAAATTATGGTCCTGAGTCAATGTCTACCTGTATACTTCCTCTCCCAATTGGGAGCATCAATATGTCTCTTAATACAGTTGCTAGAAAATAAAAGCAGAAGGATCTTCTTGTATTAAAGTATTGGTATTAAAAGCATCTGGGCACTATTAAAATAAATTAGATAGGCCTTTGGTTTGAGCCAATTCAGCCCTTTTACATTCTTATGTACTGAAACCAACACATGCACCATGAAAAGCCAAGCTAAATTAAAACTTTACCACAACATCTACAGCATATCAAAAAAACAAGTACACTTGGAAGCAGTGAGCTTGAAGATGTGGCAAGCATAATGTTTATATTATTTCCTAAGAAAATCAACATAGACAGGCAGAAAAAAAATAAAGAGGAAATGAAAGCATTAAAATTAAAATCTGATTTTTCATGTTAAAAGAAAGAGGATATAAATCCTGTTCCCATTAGTTAGAGCAGTATGAATTGGGACTATATGATGTTTCAAAAGAGGTGCTTTGCAACATATGAGAAACAGTAAGGCAGCTATGTCTTTTGCAAGTCTGCTGCAGCTTTCAACTATCTCCATATTTTTGCATATGCACAGCCATTTTGCTTCCCTGGGCAAAGATAGTCAGAAGGAGCCAATAAAGCAACCATGTCAGCCAGGATAAAGATGTAGCTACTTTAATGATTCAAGCAAGCTTGCTTTACCCGCATACCCCCACATTGCAAATACCTAATTATGAAGGATTGGTACTGCCTTTCAATGTTCTTTTATAGAGATCAAGTCAGTATTGTCACAATAATATATTTTGTTTATCAGTAGATTGATATTGTTGGATTTCAATTTAATTCAGCAGGACAGTTTTAAGGTGTCCTGGATTTAGAGGGGATCTGCATGCTCGATCCATTTTGAATTTACCTCATTTCTGAAAGGAAGGGACCAATTAATATGGGGTAAATAGCAATAGCACTTAGTTTAGTTTAGTTTACTTTATTGTCATTGCACCTCGTACAATGAAATCAAACACCACTTAGACTTATATACCGCTTTATGGTGCTTTACAGACCTCTCTAAGCAGTTTACAGAGCCAGCCTATTGCCCCCAACAATTTGGGCCCTCATTTTACTGACCTCAGAAGGATGGAAGGCTGAGTCAAACTTGAGCCTGGTGAGATTCGATCTGCCAAATTGCAGGCAGGCAGCAATCAGCAGAAGTAGCCTGCAGTACAGCACTCTAACCACTGCGCCAGGTCAGAATTTGGATCAAAATCATGGTGTGTGTGTGTGTGTGTGTGTGTGTGTGTCTTAAAGCTACTTTTATCTTGTTATCTTTAAAAATGCCTGACTATGTTTGCAAGCCTCCTGCTGGACCATTACTTTTTCTTAACACTTCCTACTGCTTCCAAATAAGCAAGGGCACTTAAAAAAAAAAAGACAAAGGAGTCGGTCTTTTTCTGTCCCCCTTCCTCCATATCCTTGCCAAAAGGCATAAAACAATTATGTCTCTTTCAGTGGGCTAAGTGCTTCCAATAAAGGCCAAGTCTCAAATTCTGCTGGGCATTAACCAAAGTATAAACTGAGCCCTTAAGTGAGCTTCCTACAAAGTTACTAAGGCATTACATAAAACCAAACATAGTTATATATATTATTGGGTTCCTGATTGCTGGATGTGCATGCCTTTGAGTCAGTCTTGACTCCTGGTGACTGCCTAGAGAAATCTCTGCATTTTTCAGAAGTAGCTTCCTTGGCCTTCCTTCTATGGCTAAGAGAGAGTGACTGGCTCAAAGCCACTCAGAAGTGCTGTAGGAAGGATTAGAACACACAGTCTCCCGGGTTTGAGCTCAATGCTTTAACCACCACAGTACACCAAACTTACTGAAGCTCATCTATTCATTGAATATATCAAAGTCAACCAATATGTTAATTTACATCTTAACAAACAGGCTATATCTGATTATAATTTTTTTTTTTTTAAAAAAATGAGATAGCTGGATGCTTTATATATTTCAATCGGTATAGGGGATCTGATCTCAAGAAAAACCTTTCATGTTGAGGATATTTTTTTTTATTTGGAGGCCCATCTCCAGTGTATTTGCCACCACATTATAAATAGTGAGAATAATAACATAAGACTTTCTGTTGCTCTTAAACTGCTTAGAGAGGGCCATAAAGCACTATGAAGTGATATATAAATCTGAGTGCTACTGCTATTAAAGACTCTCTGCAGTGGTGGGATTCAAAAAATTTAACAACCGGTTTGCTCAGGGTCGTGGGAGTCATGGCCCAACTTGACCCTGGGTGAACTGGTTGTTAAATTACTCCCCCTCCCCGCTATCAAAATGGATACTGGATGCTGCATTGCATTACAACGGAGTAACGGGCAATGGAGCTGCCAACACGAGGGAAGGAGGAAGAGCAGGGAGAAGAAAGAGGGAAAGCAGCCTTCTCCTTCCCTTGCGCCAGACGCTCCTTTGCCCATTTCTCCAGAGCAGCACCCAGGATCCACTTTGATAGTGGGGTGGGTGGGTAATTTAACAACTGGTTCAACCTGAACTGGTGAGAACCGGCTGAATCCCACCACTGTCTCTGTCTTTATTAAAGCGCATCCTACTTCTCTAAGTGTATGCTCTCTTTAGGCTCTTTAACAAAAACAAAAGCTTGCTAGGTTTTCACAAGTTACACAGCAACAGCACAAATTTCAAGGGGGAAAGTAATGATATTAAATGTAGGTGGGTGGAAAGATTAGTTAAAGGAGGCATAATCAGTCTGGGAGCTGTGAAGGCACCATAGAATTTAACATGTTATGAAATAAAGAGTACACATGTACTATTATACACATTTTTTTACTTTGTAAAGATAAATGACCACCCCTTCACATTTCTTAGCAAATCTAACCATCTCTATACAAGAAGTATAGAGCAGCTAGCTGTCTTTTCTCCAAGAAACTGAAGTGTTTGCAAATGGTGTAAGGAAAAAAAGCTAAATATTTACTGATTTGGTTCTTACCTCACAGTAAGCTACAAATTGCTTAACAATGAGCATAGATCAAAATTGGCTTCAACTCAGTGTAATAAGCTAGAACCATCATTTACAAACAAGTCATACCTAGACTCAGTGCAATGTGTGAACCCAGCTACTGTGTACACTTAACAACGAAAGCTGATTCAAATATCAAAAGTGCTGACAAGATTTCTTCTGACTGTTGTTCTTGCAGGTGGAATTTCTGGGTCATGTGGGTTCCATGCCAATTGCCTACTGTGTGATTACTTGCTGTTGCTTCAGCAACTAGAACTTCCTCTTCTGCTTTTTGAAATGAGTTTTTTTTTTCTATACAAGAGTTCATTCATAAGACAGGCCAAGGGAAAGCAATGACTCTGGCTGGGGCATTCTCTGAGCTGAAGTCCACACATCTTAAAAGTTTGAGAAACATTGCTCCAACATTTCACCTTGATAGGTTCTAAAGAAGAATATAGCATGAGCTGTGGTGGCATAGTGGTTAGAATATAGTACACAGGCTACTTCTGCTTCCTGTTGGCTGCCTGCAATTTGGCAGTTCGAATCTCACCAGGCTCAAGGTTGACTCAGTCTTCCATCCTTCTGAGATCGGTAAAATGGGGACCCAGATCGTTGAGGGCAATATGCTGACTCTGTAAACAGCTTAGAGAGCGCTGTAAAGCACTGCGAAGTAGTGTATAAGTCTAAGTGCTATTGCTATTCTTTTTTTAAATCGCTTTCCACAGAAGCATACTTCTAAGGTAGTCCAAATAATATCATAAAGTTATTAGCAAATGGAATTGGTGCTAAGGCAGTTTTTGTATATTTTCCTTCATTGTAATAAAACTGCAACCCACCAGTTGCATAATTTCAACAATAGCTAAATTGTACAATGTGCCCTGACTGCCATATTTCATTCAATCTGGATACTGATCAGACAAGATTTTTATTTTTTTTATCTTTATCTTGTCATTATTTAACCATTATGTGCTTTCTCTTTCTCTCCTCTCCCTATAGCCCACAACTCCATTTTGTATCTATAAAGCACCTATTCTTGTCATCACTATGAAATTTAAAAAAACCTACACAAAGAGGAGATAATGAACAAGAACGTGAACAATATGCTTATAGACAATAGTGCCTTCTAGTTGTATTAATAGTATAATTTAACCATTCTTAGCCAGTTTGGTTACGATAGCTGGGGATTTTTCTAGTTTTAATACCCAGAGACCACCAGGATGGAAAAGCTGGATTGAACAATGTAGACAGGAACTGTGCTCAATTCTAGACTAAAATGGAAAAAGACAGATAAGGCTATATTGTTTCTGGGGGGGGGGGTTCTTAAAAAAAATTGCAAACTTTTTATATTATTTACGCTATTTTAGGAGTACCACGGATAAACATATGCAATGCAAAAAGAAAATTCTCTTCAAGTTGAGATCTACTGTTGAACGAAATTACAGGCATGTAGTTTTCTTGCCAGCACTATGGAAGTGGTTAGCTACTGGCTTCTTCTGAGATTGTTTATTTTCTACTGAAATTTACAATCCTGGAGATTTCCCATCTAAATACTAACTGGCAGCAACTCTGAGTATAGATTAGGTAAACCTAGTGCTGCCACCTGCTGAAGCATTAATGTAAGTACCAAATTAACTTTAATACTTCAACAAAGAATTATTTCACTAGCCCAATACCAAAAATCAACCCAGAGATCACACTTCTTACACTGTTTTTTTTTATTCTGGCAACTTTCTAACAAGGATCAAGATGGATTATCCTTCAGCTATACAGTAAAACCAATTTTGCAACAAGAGTAGAATTTTCTTTTTATTGAGCTTTTGAGCTGCGGTGGTGTAGTGGTTAGAACGCAGTACTGCAGGCTACTTCTGCTGACTGCCAGCTGACTGCAATTTGGCAATTCAAATCTCACCAGGCTCAGGGTTGACTCAGCCTTCCATCCTTCCAAGGTGAGTAAAATGAGGACCCAAATCATGGGGGCAATATGCTTAGAGGGGGCTGTAAAAGCACCATAAAGCAATATATAAATCTAAGTGCTATTGCTATTGTGGGAAATAGACTATGCCTACCAGAAGAAGATATATTCCCCTACCTGTCTTATTTATGGATTTCATGTTTAAAAAATTAAAAATTGGAAAACTGCTACAGAGGTTTGGAGAAACACAAGATGCAGATTAAGTGGATCCATTTCAAAATGGGAAATTCTCTAAATTCTACTAGATAATCCTGATTAATACACAAATGGCTACTAAAATAGAAGCTTAAGAGCCCTGTTCTAGTTGGAAGCTTCTTGTGTGAACGAATGCCATGTAGCTCAAGTACAAAACAAAAAATCACTAAACAAGATGCCCAGCACAGTATGTACTATAGGTAGTCCTCGACTTACACTAAACCATTTATTTAGTGACCGTTTGAAGTAACAATAGTGCTGAGAAAAGTGACTCATGGCTGTTTATCATAACTATGACTGTTGCAGCATCCTCATGTTCACCTGATCAAAATTCAGATGCTTGGCAACTGGCATGTATTTACGATGGTTGCAGTGTGTCCGGGTCATGTGATCACCTATTGCAAGCTTCTGACAAGGAAAATGAATGGGGAAGCCAGATTCACTTAACAACTGTGTTAACTTAATAACCATAGTGACTTACTTAACAACTCTGGCAAGAAAGGTCATAAAATGGGACAAAACTCACTTAAATGTCTCAGAAATTTTGGGCTCAATTGTAGTCATAAGTTGAGGACTACCCATACTGATATAAAATACGTGCATGCCGGTCTCATAACAAATCCTTCAGATGCTTTCTGAATACAAGTAGTCCTCGACATACAACCACAATTGAGCCCAAAATTTTTGTTGCTAAGTGAAACATTTGCTAAGGGAATCTTGCCCCATTTTACCACCTTTCTTGCCAAAGATCTTAAGTGAACCACTGTAGTTGTTAAATTAGTAACGCTGTTGTTAAGTGAATCTGGCTTCCACATTGACTTCGCTTGTCAGAAGGTCACAAAAGCTGATCACATGACCGCAGGACACTGCAACGGTCATAAATGTAAGTCAGATGCATAGCGTCTGAGTTTTGATCAGGTGACCTTGAGGAGGATGCAGCGGTTGTGTGAAACACAGTCGTAAGTTACTTTTCTCAGTGTCACTGTAACTTTGAACGGTCATTAAATGAACTTTTGTAAGTCGACAGCTACCTGCATTAACCTTTTTTAAAAAAAACTAGTGTAAAGATCTTCGCAAGCACTTCAAGCCCATCTACAATAAAGAAGTACATTCACACATAATAACTGGCTGCGACTTACTTGGCTTGGCGTTGGTAACCATCATCTCAGAAGTTGGCTGCAAAGGGAATCTGCAGTTCTCACCTTGGCCATCATTACTGCCATACTCTATGACGTCGACATGCCCAAGTGGCACGCTCCATTTTAATAAGTACCTTTGGCCACTCACAACACCACTACTTTCATGGGAAGAGCTGAAAATAAGGCCACAAAAATGATGACAAGAGGTCGTTTTTTTCCATATATTTTCAAGCTTTTTTTTAATCTTCTCATACAGAAATCTCCCTGGTGTATAACGTTTTGCTCTAATTCTACAAGTACTTCCCAAAGAAAAAGCCCCACTGAGCCAAACTGGATTTAGAAATGCTACTACCTTATTTTGTTTTTTTGGCATTAACAAAAACCACAAGGTAAATTGCAGATGTCATGAAGATTTTTCTCATTTTTAAAACCAAAGTAAACTTCCTGTAAATGTTTTACTACATTACTTGTTTGTTAATGAGCAAAAATTTCCAGAAAAAAAAATTGGGGATTTATTTCTAAAATGAAGTACAAAATGTTATCATCATAAAGGAAAAGGCCACATTTAGTTCCCATTGTTCCACAGGACACTGCATTTTGAGGAAACACATTGATCTTGAACACAGATGGGCTATGGAAAGCATAAAAACATCAATATATGTGTGTGTAATATTCCCAGATCACACAAAGCATGCAAGGAAGTGAGAGGAGAGTGTTAATTGAGTGGGTTAAAAACAGAAGCAGAAAAATATTCCCAAAATCCAAGATAGGCAAACAGCAAAAGGAGAACTGCACTCCTGATAATTAACAATATGATTAATAATGACTCATGTTTTTCATAACAGACTTTTTAAAAACATATTTATTTTCATTTATCACCAAAAATAAAACAGAAAATAGAAAAACAAACATCCAAGACTAACAGTGGAAAAAAAGAAAAATAGGAATAGCACTTAAAACTTATATACTGCTTCATGGTGCTTTACAGCCCTCTCTAAGCAGTTTACAGTCAGCCTATTGTCCCTAACAATCTGGGTCCTCATTTAACTGACCTCGGAAGGATGGAAGGCTGAGTCAACCTTGAGCCAGTTAGGATCAAACTCCTGGCTGTGGGAATGCAGACTTAGCCTGCAATTCTGCATTCTAACCACTGAGCACCATGGCTTTTGTACGCAGAAAATTGTGTGCACAAGAAAACCCTCAAACCCCAAGTGTCTACTCTAATATCGGACATAAAGAATCCACACCAGGTGGATGCTGAAAAACGGATAAAGAAAGGAACTATTCCGGAGAAATTTTACCCTGGCAAGGCCTGTTTACTTGAAGACAGTGGAACCAAAGCGCATATTCAGTTGCCATAGGAATGCTGCTGGATAAGAGCTTCTGTGTAGCAAGAGACCGACTCAGCCTACATTTGCAGATATATCCCACCCACATAATTACATTAGAGACTATGAAATTTAGAACAAGGCATTTCACAGGAGGGATGCAAAATGCAGCAGATATGTAGGACTGTTATAGGATCCTGTCCGTAGGGAGAGCTCTTTCAAACCTACTACTATGGATACTGAGGGTCGGTAGTATTACAGCAGGCAATGATTTTATCAGAGAGATATTTCATTTAGGCATTTAAGCAAAATGAGAAACAGCAACCATGCATTATATGTGACAATTTCAACCCCAAACTGTGGATTTTTAAACTTGTGCTTTTCTCGTTATTGGCATAGACGAGAGGTCTCCATACTCTTCAGTTCATCCATCCCTTCATAAAGTTTCAGACTGTTCATCAACTCCCAAGCATTTATTGTATGAAGATAATTTCATACTACTTTAATTAACTGTGTGATGAATAACAGTAATGATAACAACAACCTGGTTACATCTACTTAACCTACCAGAGAGGGGAAGCAAGGAATGTGGCGGGTCCTCTCTCCTAAGGAGGCACATCTACTGCGACCAAGAAGAGGAGCCTTCTCTGGGGTGGCTCCCTTCCTATGGAACATAATCTCCATAGAAATAAGACTGCCCCCCCACCCTTGACACTCTTTCACAAGGTCCTAAAGACTTGGTTTTGCCCAAAGTAGGATGGAGCCCATCAAGTGGCTTATTTGATTAACTGTTATCACCAGGGGGTGGGGGTTATTGCTTTTTATTCTTTTATATTAGGTTTTTATCTTTGTGAGCCACTTGGTGTCACTGACAATATGTCAATTTTTCTTAAATAAAATAAAAATGAACCGACTTTTTGGATAGCCCTATCTATCTATCCTTGTAGTTCGATCCTGACCACTTTAGGAGACTATGGCATAGACCTTATTTCTATAATATTACTTCTATGAAAACAATAGCAATAGCATTTAGACTTACATACCACTCCATAGTGCTCCACAGCACTCTGAGCGGTTTACAGTGTCAGCCTATTGCCTCCAACAATGGGTCCTCATTTTATCGACCTCAAAAGGATGGAAAGCTGAGTCAATGTTCAGCTGGTTTGAACTGAACTCCAGAATATGGGCAGAAGTCAGCTTGCAATACTGCATTGTAACCAATTTGTCACCACAGCTCATTTTAATACTTTAAATAAAGTGGCATTTCTACCTGTGAGGATTTTGAGTGCAAAACAAATAGTTGAAAAATAAAGGATGTGATCTAACAGTTTTTTTTTGTTTTTCCTTTTGTTCTTTTACTTCCTTCCTTATAAGCATACATTGTGCATTTTCCTTCTTGAAGAAAAATGAAGGGGGAGAAGTCCGTAAAGATGCACACATATTGCAACAGTGCAAAAAGTAGCAAGCTGAGTTGCAAAATATTTGATTGACATTAATTTCACAATTCTAAAGTTGGAAGAGTTTACTGTTTACAAAAAGACTTTTAAATGAAAAGGCTTTAGTTAAAAGACTAGATAAAAGACTACACTTTTGCTTTTTGGAGATAACAGTTTTTAAGAAGTATAGCATCAATCTCCTCTAAATCTGGATATTCCAGATTATTTTCTACAAAATTTTGCCAGCAATAAATACTGGAACACTGTACGGTGAAATGTTGGCTCTTATCTCATCAGGGCCTTCTAATCCTACATGACCGATGAATTTCATTTCTGTGCACAACTGGGAATTTGGCATTTTTCCTTACTTTTCCTGAAGTTAAGAAATTAATAAAAAGCTTCTAGTTCTTAAATTATCTCTAACGCATCTCACTGTCTCTACAACAGTTTTATTTAATCAGGACCCATCCCATTCTGACCATTATACCACCTCCTTTAACAATGTTATTCAATTTCCTAGTATGCTGAGTATTTGTTGACTAGGAAATGTAATGATGGGGAGGAAAGAAGTGGGTTGCAGTAACAATATAATTTGGGGGCAGGGGGGGGGGGAGGAAGTCTAACTCAACCTAAATTACCTTAATACCACTAGGCAGAGAATCAGGGGATGTTAAGCATCCCCTCTCTTAAGGAAGTCTATCTACTGGAAAGGGCTTCTCTGAGGTGGCTCCCTCCATGTGGAACATCATCCCTGCAGAAATAAGGAGGTCCTTACTTTGACACTCTTTCAAAAGGCTTTGCAGACATGGTACTGCCAGCAGGCCTGGCGACCTCAGGGTCATGTGGATTGGTTTTATTGTTGTCACCAGGAGGGGAGGATGAGGGTTTATTGGCTTTTGTATTGGGATTCGATTTCTGTAAGTTGTCTGAAGTTACTCTGGGTTGGGCAGCCATACAAGAAATATTTATTCTTAAGAAATAAAGTATCTTCATTCCTTCCAATCCTTGTTTCCATGAGGTCCATGCACCCCTTTATATAACATTTTTGTTCCTTCGATTCAAAATCCTTATTTGGGGAAGGAGTGGAGAGAGCTAAGTTGCAACTTTTCAATCTTTGATCTCAATATTTATTTATTAGATTTGTGTGCCATCCATCTCATCTAGATATCCTACATATATTGCGTATATATCCTACAGTGCAGCTTTGCCCAAAACCAGAGATGATTTTCTGTGCACAATACAATGAATGTGCTCTGCCACTAAGTAAGAGCCCTGAATTATAATCCATTGTATACATGCAAGCGATAACCACGTAAAATGGACTCAGAACAACAAAAATAAAAAATTCCTAGTTCATGTGTCTTATCTCTTATGCTTTAACAATTATTTTATAGCGCGTGACTAGAATCTTACCGAATATGCACAGTAGCACACATGAGAACATCATTTAACATAAACAGACGCCGTTCTTTGGTTTTCATGATCTCTCCTTTGTCTGTATAAACAGTTTCTAGCATATCATCACTTCGGATCAGGTACCGGTTGCCACTGCTGAGTAACTGAATAATACAAAAATATTTAATAACATAGTATTTTTACACCTGAACATATTCTGCGTTAAAAATATATGAACCAGTTTCATGAGTCTGTAGAATTTTGTTAATTCTGTAATGTAATAAAATTCTTTCTTTACAATTTTGTATCTACAGCATCATGATAATCAGGTATCAATCAATCCTTCAATTTCAAGTCAGGGATCAACATAAAATACAATCAAGGAAAAAAATATTCACCCATTTCAGTAATAACTCTGACACTTTTAAGAGATAAAAGTTAAGTAAAAGCCTGATTGCTAACATCATACTACAACATTTAAAGTGTAAAAACCTGTCTAGATAAATTCTTAACGTTAAGAGTAAACTACAGACTAATAAAGGGGCGGGGGGTCTGAAGGTCCACAAAAAAAGATGTAAAAACAGATGAATATTTTAAAAACAGGAATTCTCAGTAGGGTTACCCATACCCTTTACTGTTAATTATTTGTATGAAAATGTTAATTGCCATCAGGCAAAATCAGGCAACATTGTATATAATCAATGGTTCCTTATCTGAGAAGATAAAATCAAGAAGAAAACTTTCATCATGACCTATAACAGTAAAGAAAGAATTAAAGTTTCTCAACTACATATATAATGGGGGCAGTATAAAAGATGTGGTGATCTCAACAGCCTTTGTGCTCCAGGAAAAATTAATATAAATATAGGGGCTCTAATTAATAGCAATAGCATTTTGATTTATATACTGCTTCATAGTTCTTTATAGCACTCTAAATGGTTTATAGAGTCAGCATTATTGATCTGGGAAAGATATACAGATGAGTCAATCTTGAGCAGGTCAGGATCAAACTCCTAGCAGTGGGCAGAGTTTTGTCTGCAGCACTGCCCTTTAACTATTGACCCACCATGGCTCTTAAACCTCCCATTAAGAACTGAGGAGGGTCAAACAGCAAGCCTGGCTTTGTTCCTATGTAGGGAAGGTTAACATATACAACTATCTGCCTAGTTCTCGCCTAGAATAAATTACGTGAGCTCCTTTATGGGCTGGAATGTGAGTGACCTAAATTCTTTTAGCCCGAGTGTATCCCAAAAGAAACTATCGCTCAAGTGGCAAGCCATAAGGCTGTCTAGAATTGTTTGTTGCCGAAAAAATTGTAATTGGTCAATCAGGACTAATGGGATGACTTCTGATGGGGAAAAAAACTGGCATAGAGTTTACTCTGTTCATTCAATAAATTGCTCATGATTCTGAAAAACATTAAGTTAATAATGGTGTAAGAAGGATGCTTAGAGCCTTGCACATTTATCCAATGAGCAAAGCCACTCTTGTACCTTCATCACACATGCTCCTATTTTGGCTTTTTCCTTTTTCCCACTTGGGATAGAAAACCAAATTCAGTACTATCAACATGGCGGCAATTAATGTCTATGAAAGAAATGGAATGTATTTGTATAAAATACATATTGGGAATAATTAGTTAAGAAAGCCTAAACATTTTAGAATCCATCAGAACTGGCAAAGTTGCCCTGCTCCAGGATTCTCTATTATTCACTGTCATTCAGTGGGACCAAAGAACTTACGCCTTCTCTGTCACCATATCTGCACCTCAAGAGAGTTGGATGGCTTTGATCCTATTAGCCTTCCACAAGACATTAAAGACCAGGATGCTTGCACAGTCATTTGGGACCAAAGGTGGGCGGGGCCCCTTTGTTTGATTGTTTTGTTTATTGACTGGAGGGGAATGGATTTTCAAACCCAGCATGGTCACCATATGGTTTGTATATTGACTTCATATGTTGTTTTGGGTTTCAATCTTTGTACATTGTCCAGAGTCCCCTTTGTGAGCTATGCAGTTGTATACATTTTTCAAATAAACAAGCATTCTTTACAAGAGAAATAAGGGAAAAACAAGCAGTGCAATTCTCCAAACCTTGTTCAGATAACGCTCATTCATGGCTTTGGCTATTTGTTTTATTTCACAGCGCTGATCTGCATCCCTTTTCCTTTCATTTAATTTCTCTGCCAGTGTTTCAAGTTCTGTGAGAGCCATCTGCAGAGGCAGTCTGTCTGGGTGGCCTTTAGTCGTGTTCTTCAACATATCCTGGACAGAACAAAGGGGAGGGAAAAGTTTTGCCATGCTCTGACCCAGCTAATTCAGATTATTTTTCTTGACTACAAAAAGGAAGTAATTTAAACGTATCTGTCTCATAGCTACCATTTCCAAAGCTCCAGATACAATCCTTTTTAGGGTTTGTCTGCTATGTCAAGTGAGAAATGCTTACCTAATTTTAGAAAGCACCATACTATCTATCCAGTTACAAACTCTTGGGCAATTGTTTCCAACATCAAACTGCTCGTACGAAATTAATTTTTTTCTTATGGTCACATGAAATTTGCCCTCTTGTAACTTAATGTCATTATTCCAAAGCATGAGAAAGAACAAGTCTTCATCTTCTTTTGCATAGGTAGTCCTTGACTTACTCTTCTCATTTAATGACTATTCAAAGTCAAATAGCACTAAAAACAGTGACTTATGACTGTTTTTCACCCTTTTGACTGTTGCAGCGCCCCCATGGTCACATGATCAAAATGTGGCCGCTTGGCAACTGGCATGTATTTCTGATGGTTGCAGTGTCCTGGGGTCATGTGATCCCCTTTCGTGACCTTCTGACAGGGCAAAGTCAATGGGGAAACAAGATTCACTTAACAGCCATGTTACTAACTTAGCAACTGCAGTGATTCACTTAACAATTGTAGCAAGAAAATGGGGCAAAACTCACTTAACAACTGTCTTCCTTAGCTACAGAAATTTTGGGCTCAATTGTAGTAATAGGTCGAGGACTACTTGTATGACATTCTTTCAAGTCATTTGAAGAATATGATATCTTTCCCCACAAGCTTTAAAATATCTAGCTAATAAAGGAAAATATTTGTAGCTCAGGAGTGAAATGAGGGGTCTTTGGTGCTCTGTGAGTTTGTTTTCTTGCAGATGTTTCATTACCCAAACTAGGTAACATCATCAATTCTCTGATGATTTTGTCTAGTTTGGGTAATGGAACATCTGCAAGAAAACAACCATGCTCAGGGAGCACTAAGGACGCCTCAGATATCTAGTTCTTTCAATCTTTCTTTGAAAGATTTAGTTTCCCAATGCTCCTCATTACCTTTTTCTGACCAAACAAGAATAAATGTTTCCCATAATTTGAAATTAACCAAGGTTGATGCAGCCTAATGCTCCCTTTGCCTTTTTTACAGCCACATTACACTGCTGGCTTACATATATTCACTTAATTATCATGTCAACCACGCCTAATTAGCTTGATGATCAACATGTTATGGAAGACTGTGTAAAATGATTCATTGCCATCAAGGTACATTATGTTTACAACAGTCTATTAAGGAATTGCCCAGTCAAATCACAAGAAAAGAATAGTCTGACAAGCTTTAATCTTGGCAAATCCATGTCTTATTCCATATTCATTTCAAGGAGCTAGCAAATTCATCTGTTTATTATCTGATTTAGGATCTTCCCAAGTACTAGCATCAGATCCTTTTCCCCCTTCATTTTGGAATGACATGGACAAAATTTGCCATTGTCCCATAGTTTGACATTTCATCAGTTATATAATGTTTTTCAAAGATAACATCTAGGGGTTTGGCCAGACAAACCAACTAATTCACTCAATCATTGAAGTCCTTCATTACCAAAGAATGCACTCTTAACTAGTTTTGCAGTTTTAAACTCATTTGTAACATATTTGTTGACCACATTTCTATTATTCTAAGAATTTAACTCTGCACCTTCAATCTGCCCTTCACAATTTCCTGATGAGACATATAGGAGACCAAAATAAAATAATTCAGGTTTTTTTTGTTTAAACATGATTAAAAAGCCTTATGTTTTGTATCCTTTGGTAACCTCAGCCCACTCTTCCCTCATACCAGCTCCAAAATATAGATCCATGTTCTCTCCTTGTGACCTGATCTTATTTCCATTCCTTGTGTCCTACTTTGTTTTCAGATCTTCATTAAGCTTCTTGGATTGTCTATTGCTGTTCTTGGGGATTTTTCCTTCTCATTGGAAATGATTGTAATTATGCTTCTAGTGTCTCATTTTTTAAAAGATATCCCCACCCTTATTGAATTCATTTTTGTGGACTTCTCTTCCCATAGCATCCTACTCTTTTCTTTTCTGACAACATGAAAATCTGCTGTCATGCAACTTCCATTTCTGCAACTGATTTTTTCATCATCTGCAAAGCTGGCACTTTGGTGTAATAGCCAAGAAATGAAAAATTTTTAGGGCTCCTTTAATAATAACAGTAATCAACTTAGTACGAGCAATCTTCATAGTTACACTAGAGATATGCTTCATCAATAGGATGTCATTCCAGGGGCCAGAAAAAGTAGAAGACAAAAGGACTGAGCTTTTATATTCTTTGCTCAACGGAGTCTGACATTGGTCTAATCTGCCAAGAACTCATTAGGGTATTGTAATTTAATGTGACCAGTATAAATATGTAACTATCTGTATTTCCACTGCTTGCATTGTAGCTACTGGATCAGGAGTGTAAGAACATTTGAGAAAAGCATTCCATTCTTCTTTTCTTACGATTTTCAAAAATAACTATAATTTTCATGCAGTTGACAACAGGGCATAGTAACATTTCTTGTCATAGGATTTGGCAGGTTAATTGTTTTTTTTATAGCATTCAATTGCATTAATATCATTTAACTAGGATCATACAACAGCTGAATATAATAATTATAGATTATTGGGGTCCCCAGAGGGATGATCACTGCTGGAGGTAGCTGATGAGGTAAGAAGACCTCATCCTCGTCTAATCCATCTCTTAGTTCTGGTTTCAGTATAGTTTTAAAATCTGAACCTGTGTAGTTTTAATGTTGTAATTATTTTTATACTTGATTTATAAGTTGTAAGCTTCCAGAGTCACCTTATGGGGAGATGGGCAGCATAAAAATTTAATGAATTAATAAATATATGAAGGAATATGCCTAACATTAAAAATTAAAATTAAAAAATTTAAAGCTTTCTAAAGCTGTTTAAAATAATCTACAGTTGAAGCCTCCCACCTGCCAAGGAAATAATTCTATTGCTTAGCTCTAGTTCATGCACATTCCACCCAATGGCAAAAAACAATTGAAGGTTGCCTTGGTTCATAAAAACTTTTATATACGGTTAATAGAACTTTGAAGTAATTTTTGAATGATTATGCACAATGGGGCAAAAGAAAAGCAGCAGCAATCAACCTGCTGTATTCTTTATTGCCTGAAGTTACTAAAAACTTACTGGAAAGTTAACATAAATTGAGGTAGTTTAATATGATGGCTGGCACATACATGACATAGCACTTAGCAATAGCACTTAGAGTTATATACCACTTTACAGTGCTTTACTGTACTCTCTCTCTGTACAGTGCTTCATTTACTCTCTAAGTGGTTTACAGAGTCAACATATTGGTCCCAACAATCATTTTACCTACCTCGGAAAGATAGAAGGCTGAGTTAACCTTAAGCCGGTGAGAGTCGAACTGCCAAACTGCTGATCAGCAGAAGTAGCCTGCAGTATTGCATTCTAACCATTGCACTACCGCAGTTCAGCGACATGATGAGATTAGTGTGTGGAAGAGCAGAGTAGGCCTAACAGAATTGCTTCAACTGACTGAAGCAACTCTGGACTCTTATCTACAATAATATGGTAAGGGACTAAAATAAAACTCGGCTCTCAAGCTTTGGACAGAATCCTACCCTTGCTTCCTAAGAAATAACAAGTTACTTGCATCCATTTTCTCAAAATGTTTCCCCCTATTTAACACCAGAGTGTTCAGTGTTGAGCGTAAGGGAGCTCATAGTCTTCTAACTGTAAATGTCAGTTAGTGGACTCTTGTGGAATACCACAAAGGGAGGCCTACGAGCTAAAAATTAGATGCTCATCATTATTTACAAACAGGATTGGAACTATATAAAAGCCTGGCCATCTAGACGAACTAAAATCCAAACAAGCCTCCTCAGAAATAACCCTTGATGAACAGTATCAAAATTGGCCAACAGATCTGACAAGAACAGAATGGCCCATCATTGACAACAGAGAGAACTGTCTTTATACTGCATCCCTGTTCTAAACTCAAAAGTGATATTGATTTTAAAGAAATCCTAAAGTTCCTTTCAATGTTTTATAAGAACACTTGCAAATACCTAATATCCAGGAAATTCATGGCTAAGAAGTTGTGAGTGTCATATACAAAGAGCAACATGGGTGATTTTAAAACCAAGCAATCCTATAAACTAAAGGATACATTCTGCACTTTCAGGTACAACTCAGAAATTAGTCCCAGAATTGATTTTCAATGACAAAACAACTAACACTCAGATCCTATTACCATGTTAGTGTTAGCCATTATTATTTAGCAAATAACCAAGGAAGATGGCTAACTCAAGCAATTTTAAGAATTGATACATGACTTGCCTGTAACAGAAGGATGAACTGAGGAAAACGTTGTATGGGCTTCATCATTAAGCCATAAAGAGTGATTCTATCAGGACTAGATTCTTGACATTGCTGTAATAAAAAAGGGTTTTTTTAAATATTAGCCAGAGATTTTCTCGAGAGACGCACAGATAAAATATATGCCTCATATTCTGGCTACTTAACGAGAAGAGGGGACTCATTGGAAAAGACTTTGAAGTTAGGAAAGACTGAAGGCAAAAGGAGAAGGGGACAGCAGAGGATGAGATAGTTAGATAGTGTCGTTGATGCAACATTAATTGGGCAAACTCCGGGAGACAGTGGAGGACAGGTGACCAGGTGTGTATAGTCCATTGGGTTGCGAAGAGTCTGACACGACTTAGTGACTGAACAACAACAACTGTATAAACATATACACATGTACATGAATAGTTTTAAGGCTGAGCTAAACACTGGATCTCAATATTTGTCAAATGATCAATCTCCCAGATAGTCATGGTTACTCTAACGGTTTACAAACAATCACAAAGCAACCAAAATCCAAAATGCTCACCTTTAAAAACTCAAGGAAGGCAGGTTTTGTAGCACATGTTTTTTTGAGAATCCCCACAGCTGTGCTAAAATTGATTACATACTCACTGTAGGCATCTAGTACCATGGATTTAGAGAACTAAATGACACAATAAAATAAATGCACATTATCAGTTAGTTACAATATAGAACACATATTGAGTATTCAATATACTCAGTATATAATCAAAACCTGTAACTTTTATTTAAAAATATTTGCCACTTTTTAAGGATCTCCACAAAAGACTAAGGTTTTACCAAGAAATCTCAGACATGCTATTTCCATAAAATATTGTTTTGGCATTTGCCTTTAAGATTATATCTCATAATTTCAATGTCACTTATACTATGATACTGTGTACAATGTCACTTATACTATGATACAGCCTGGATAGAATATGATAGCAATAAATTTATTTTATTTATTTTTATTTATTTGTCAAGCATGTATAACAGATAAAATTAAAACATGATTATGATTACATGAAATGGGTATGAATAAAAGGGGACATTAGGACAGGGATGGTAGGCACGTTGGTGGGCTTATATATGCCCCTTACAGACCTCTTAGGAATGGGGTGAGCTAAACAGTAGACAGTCTAAGGTTAAAGTTTTGGGGGTTTGGGGAAGAAACCAGAGTCAGGTAGTGCATTCCAGGCACTGACAACTCTGTTGCTGAAGTCATATTTTCTGCAATAGAGTTTGGAGTGGTTTCCCTTAAGTTTGTATCTATTGTGTGCTCGTGTATTGTTGTGGTTGAAGCTGAAGTAGTCATTGACAGGTAGGGCATTATAGCAGATAATTTTATGTACTACACTTAGGTCAGACTGAAGGCAGTGTAATTCTAAATTGTCTAAGCCTAAAATTTCAAGTCTGGTGGTATAAGGTATTCTTTTGCAAGCAGAAAAGTAGAGGACTCTTCTTGTAAAATATCTCTGGACTCTCTCAATTGTATTAATGTCTGATATGCAGTGCGGGTTCCAGACAGATAGGCTGTTGAGAATTGGTCTAGCAAATGGTTTGTATGCTCTAGTTAGCAGTACAATATTACCAGAGAAAAGGCTACACAAGATTAGGTTAACAACTCTTAATGCTTTTTTAGCAATTTGTTACAGTGGGCTCTGGCACTTAGATCATTAGAGATGAGTACTCCAAGGTCCTTGACAGAGTGAGGGTTGTCTACAAGTTGTGTCTATCCAGCTTGTATTTTATGTTCTGATTTTTTTTTAATCAATCAAGAAATGTTTGATTAAATCCTGTATCATTTAAGCGAGCCCATCCATTTCTTGAAGTGAGCTGCAGTTCATAAAGCCTATAATAGAATATGTTAGTCTGAAAACATGATACAATAGGTCTGGGAAATCTAATTCTGAAACTTGTTTTATACCGCTGTCACTTTTAACTACAATACTTGGATAGGAAATGAAAAGAAATCTTGGAATTGTCAACTAGATTGGGAAGTTCAAACAACGCATCAGAAGGCAACAAGAGGTGAATTACTTCGATATCCTTGCCAGGAAAACAAGATGGATGTGGAGGCTTTAGTTTTAGGATTTGCAATACTTGAATGATATGCAGTTAAGATTAAAATAAAAATAAAAATGAGAAGCCCAACTTTCTGAACCAATTAGCAATGGGAAAATATTTTCAAAAGTATGTCTGATATTAGAGTGAGATGGCTTCTGAGTTTAGTTACCTTTCATTTGAAATTGTTATCTACATTATCAAAGACTTAATAACCGGAAAGGTTTAAAAATGTAGCTTCTGTTAAGATCTTAAATTTGAATGCTTCTTGTTGCTAGGATACTATTAGCACAAATTCCAAACTAAATCCATTTAAAAATAGGTTCAATAAAAGAATCAATGCATTATTTCACTGTAGGGATTTTATGGTGCCCTAAATACTGCAAGTACACACTTAAAACACTTAGCTAAGTTTAAACTCTCCCAAACCAAGTGATAGTGATAGCAACTGGGGATGACATTGTTAAGATATTTAAATTCAGCAGCTGGAGCAGTGGGGTTGTGCAGTGAGCCAGAACACACAGTTGTGATTGATTGTTACCAGACTGCTGACTCCTGATGAGGCAATCTGCACTGTGATTGGTTGTTCTGGGTGTGAAGGAGTTCCCCCCCCCCCCCGCCGCCTTTTTCTTTTTTGTGTCCTGTGCACTCTAATTTACCTCACGATGCTCTTGTTTGCCTGGCTCTCGTTTGGTGCTCATATTGATGTAAAATATATTTATTTATATAAAACTACAAGTTCATGTCAAGCGTCTCTGAGTACATTTGGACACCTGCTGCATAATTCCCTGACAGACATTAACTTTATTTTCTTCACAGTATTTATAATTTATCCCAGTGCCAAAGGAAGATAAAATTAAAACCAAAATGGGGATACAATAAGTAAAATGTTGCCACCACTTGTCTTTAGGAGCCCAAAGGAATTTGATCTGACCTTGGGACAAAGGTTTTTGTTGTTCTTTGGAATTTCACTTGTTCAACCCATTTATGAATTAAACAGACTTAAGTGACCCCAAAGCTATGATCATTCACGTACTGAGGCAACAAAGACATCCCCTATCATTTCGACAGAATCCCACTCTGAGACACGGCTTGCCAGGGCCATCTGAAACATTGAATGGCACTGAATAATTTCTTTAATTCGATAGAAGACCATCTTCAGTTTCCTCTCACTCAGTAATTTGGGCTCCATCTCTGAAAGAGGTTTTTCATATTGCTAAAATTTAAAACAAAAACAACAAGTAATTATCAAAAGCTGCTGATAACATTTCTACAGAGGAATTATTGAGTCTATTATCTGCACCTCTATAACTGTCTGGTTTGGTTCTGCAACCCAACAGGACAGATACAGACTTCAGAAGATAATCAGGACTGCAGAAAAAAACAATTACTACCCACCTGCCTTCAATCGAGGACCTGTATACTGCACGAGTCAAAAAGAGGGCTGTGAAAATATTTACAGACCCCTCACATCCCGGACATAAACTGTTTAAACTCCTTCCCTCAAAATGACACTATAGAGCACTGCACACCAGAACAACTAGACACAAGAAAAGTTTTTTCCCAAAAGCGATCACTCTGCTAAACAAATAATTCGCTCTACACTGTTCAACTGTTTACAAAGTGTACACTACTATTACTGTTAAACTTCTCACCACTCCTTATCACCCATCCCCTCCTACTTGACTGTTTCCAAGTATGATTTGATTGTTGATTGTACCCTATGACTATCATTAAGTGTAGTACGTTATGATTCTTGATTCTTAACGAATGTATCTTTTCTTTTATGTACACCGAAAGCATTTGCACCAAGACAAATTCCTTGTGTGTCCAATCACACTTGGCCAATAAAGTATTCTATTCTATTCTATTATCAAATGAATTATCTTCACAACTGTAAATGAAAACATCAGCAATAATGAATTACATAAATGAGATTCATTCATCCTCGTATTTATTTGGCTTCAAAATGACAATTACTTACCTCTAATATTCTTTTCAGGGCATCTACATAGTTTTTCTCACTGTCAACCACAGCGCCTAAAATGTACCTTCGTACAACCTGTTAAAATATAATATTAAATATGGCACAATCATACACTTAATTTGCCATTCGAGGACACCGCTGCACAAACATCAACTTTATTCTCCCTCAAATAATCTTTGTCACCTCTGTCTGATAAAGCGTGGAATCTGGTCAGTTAGAACTCAGAAAAACCAGAAGGACAATTTCATGAATATCCACTATTTCAGAGACATATTCCTAATCTTTCAACTTCATGCACAGGTAGGCCTCCACTTACAATCACAGTTTGAACCAGAATTCCCATTGCTAAGCAGGGCAGTTACTCCCAATTATGTGACCTTTTTTTGCCATTGTTGTTAAGCGAATCACTGCAGTTGTTAAGTGACTTGTGTGGCTGTTAAGCAAATTTGGCTTTCCCCATTGACTTTGCTTGTCAGAAGCTGGCTGGGAAAGTTGTGAATGATGATTACATGACCTGTGATGCTACAACCACTGTAAATGTACGTTGGTTGCTAAGCACCTGAATTTTGATCAAGTAACCATGGGGATAACTACGACGGTTGTAAGTTCAAGAACCGATCATAAGTCACTTTTTTTAATGCCACTGTAACTTTGAATTGTTGCTATATGAACAGTTGTAAATCAAGGACTACCTGTATATCATTCTTGCAACAAGTATCTAAATAGGACATCCAATTTATGAGAAATTACCCTATTTAAAAAAAATACATGGAAGAAACCTTCAAGAAAAAAAAAAGAAAAAGAAACAGGGAGAAACAAAATGTTAGGCTCAAGAAGAAAAAACCCAGTCAGAAGCTAAATCATAATTATCTAGCAAACGGACATCTTAAAAAGTATGGAAAGCAGTTCATGTTAAATGTAATAGGGAGTAAGATTTATCTCCCTTTAAATATAGAATTCTTGCAATTTAACAATTTAAAGATATACTGTCCTTTAAAATGATTTAATATATGCCTGTCTCACAGTGCAGTGCAAAAATTTTAAAACTCATTTACACTGTTAAATACACTTTACTTATTCTAACATGATGATGACACCCAGTCTTTTTTAAAAGTTGTACTGGTAATAGCAAAAAGAGGTAAGCTATATTATTTAACTTCCCTCCAGTCACTCATACCCAGAATTACCTTTTGGTTTGCACTGCATTGAATAAAAAACTTTTTCCTACAGTCCCACATTCACAGACAACTAAATCTGCTGCTTTGCTTAATTACACACCATTCTGTCCACAAAGATGAAAATAGATGGAGAAACTGCAACTCCAGAACAAGTGCCAGTAGCTATTTTAATCCTATCTGCAAGAAGATGGAGGGCCCCTGTAGGATTTAAAGTGCTCTCAACTAAAGCTGCAAAATGGCAAATGTATTTACATGTTTGGAGTTTTTATACTTTTAAATAAAAGAAATATACATTTTGCACACGAGAAACAAAATAATGGGTTGGGGGAAGAGTCTTCATTCATAGTTTCCACATCTGTAAATAGCAGCAAGCCATGTTTGTTCACTATTTTGATCAAACAACTGCATACAATTTAAGTAAGCAATATGATATGAGATCTATCAAGAAGAGTTAAAAATAGTTTTAATAGTAGTTAACAAAAATAAATCTTTCTGAACTTAAAAAAAAGAGTTCAGTAAAATCCAGCAAAATATATAGACATGTGGCTGATTTTGCCACTCTGAAGGTACAGCAGATTTCTGTAGCACAACGTGAATAATATTAGGATTATAAGACAGGAAGCATATCTAAATGTATCTGCCAGGATGTTGCTAAATGTTCTGGGTTCATATACAGGTAGTCCTCAACTTACGACAATTGAGCCCAGAATTTAAGTGAGAAATTTGTTAAGTGAGTTTTGCCTCATTTTACAACTTTTCTTGCCACATTTGTTAAGTGAATCACTGCAGTTGTTACGTGAATCTGGCTTTCCTATTGGCTTAGTAATCATATGACCCTGGAATACTGTAACTGTCATAAATATGAACCAGTTATCAAGCATCCAAATATAAATCACATGACCATGGGGATGCTGCAATGATTATAAGTGTGAAAAATGGTCATAAGTCACTTTTCACAGTGCCGTTGTAACTTTGAACAATCACTAAATGAACTGTTGTAAGTTGAGGACTATCTATATCAGAGGAAACTCAGAATAATCCACAACAATGACTTAGCATTATTTGTGAAGCAGGTTTCTATGGTCTGTAATAACAGCTACGTATAGCTCAGTTCCATAAGCAAAAAAAAGCTAAGATGAGAAGTCTACAAAGAATGGAGTCAAGAGATTGACAGGTCTACTTTCTAGTCTCTGGGATCATTATTATAATTCTCCAATCACACATTGTTTTGGGGCAATCCTTTGCAGCACATATAATCTCACTCTACTCTCTGTATTTTATGTTCTCTATGAAACTGGATTCATTGCCTCTGTACAGAAGGCCCGCAGGTTTATTCCTATTCTGCTAAAATAAAATCTTAAAAAACAGTGAGGCCTTCGTGAACTTTCATATCAGCTAAAGAAGGTAGAAATCTCACTTTGAAATCATCCCCCAATAAAAGTCAAACTATCTTCTAATGTGCTAAATTGAGCCCAGTCAATTCATACTTGGCCTAAATTGTTTCATCTAGCATTTCTTATCTAGGGAAGGAGCAAAAGACACACACAAGTGATTAACTATGCCACCTGGTGGCAAACAGCAGCATGCTCAGAATTAAATCTTTTTCATCCCCACAATATATTGACTTGTCTGTTACTAATTGCAAGATTTGAAGAAAATCACCATCAGGAAAGAACATGTCAAAATATAAGTCACAGAAGTTCATGAAATTAAGTTGTATTTTAGTTTCTCTTCAAAGACTCTACTTAAGGGATTTATCACGTCAATCAATTTAGTAAGACAAATGTTCATAAATTAAGATATAAATGGTAGCAAAGTGAATTTACTGCTAGAAATTAAGGTATCTACAAAAAGACTGGGGAATTGATTTCAATAGTATCCAACACACAAACCTGTTGTTGGGATAATCCATCTGGCATTGGAGTCATGATTGCTTCTGTGTGCATGCAATCTACATCAATAAATAGCTCCTCTTCCTCTAGACAGGTAGCTCTGTGTTCTAAAAATAAATCATATTAGAATTTCATCCATATGTATGTATTTATGTATGTATGTACCATATGTTTGTAATCAGTCCTAAAAGTATTTATTGGTCAGATTAGATTTGCATTTGTTTCACCATTGAGTAAAAATGTTGAATTAATGGTTCTAAAAAAATTCAATATACATTTACCAATATCTTTATACAACAGTATTTCTTTTGAATAATTAATTCTCTAAAGTAGGAGACCTTTATACTCTGTCCATGAATCCACAATGCACAGAATGCTGTCATTCTGTCAGCTCTACACATGCAGGGGCTTTATGTAAACCACATATTTGTTCTTCATCAAGTCATTGGTAAATACATGAATGAGAAAGGAGGTTGATTGTACATTTGCTGGTTTAGGGATAGCAATGACAACATGAAAAGTCTTAAATTACAGAACTGAAGATTGTTCTGAATGTGATAAACAGTGGCATAAGGTGGGAATAGAGCATATGGAAGAATAAGTGGAATAGTTAACAACTGTTTTAACATTAAGGGCAAGTTAGATGGATATATGATATATGTTCGTGGAAAAATGGATTCCGAGTTGTGGGAAACTCGGAATCTCGGAACTATGTGGGTTTTGTTTTTGGTTTTTTTGTAGATACATTCAGATTGCTAACTGAGATTCCTGGCAATGAAGTAATGGTTTGACAAGGAAATGGAGCAAAGAACTCCTAGTTATACACTTAAAAGGCAAAAACTTAGAGGAAAGAATATTTGTGTATCTTAAAATGTTTTCCAAAGATGCAGAAATGGAAACATACATTTTTAGACTTGCAAAAGCTACTATAAATGTAACAGTTAGTAGCATGCAGTTCATCCTGAGGAATGTTTCACAAAAGAAGCAAAAATAAGCACATTTAAGATATTCTTCTGATCGCCATGTAATATGGAAGGCAGCTTTGGATATATCAAGAAAAAAGTAAAAATAAGTTGAGTGCAGAGGGAACAGGATATTTAAAGACCATATATCAAGAATATATTACTTTTCTTCTATCCAATGATATCCAATTGTCAGAGATGGCTTGGAGAAGTCTGCAGTTTTCTTGGCAAAGTTTTTCAAATGTGACGTCTCCGAGGTCTAACCTGATGCCTTAACAATTATACAAAACTGTTTCTTTTCAAGAATATATAGATGCTAAATAAATGTATACACAACACAAAAAAAATGAATGATCAGTATGAAAAAAAGTACACCAAGCTATTTTGCTCAAAGATGGGGCCAAAACAAATATGTGAAGAGAAAAGGGAAATCCAAAATAGTTGTAGTTGAATATCTGTCATTGATGAGATCCTAAAAAAGAGAAACTTTAAAGTTTTCTTTAAAAAACATTTGTTTAAAAAAAGCAGTGAGGGAAATGGCAACAAACCTGGTAAGAACACACAAGGAAGGTTTGTAAGGACAGAGAATGTGGGGAGGCAGAGTACATGGTGTTTCTGTAAACTATAATACCACTTTTTTTTTCCCCTGTGCCATGCCTTTCATTTCTTTGTCTTACTCCTTTTGATATTCCGTATAATATTGCTTGCCATGTGTAGCAAAGAGATCCATTAATGAAAATTAAGTAGTCAATCGTATGTACAGTATAAACTTTAGAGGATTTGATTTGATTTGTGAAACTGCCTCAACTGAATTGGAGAGTTGACCTATCATTCTTTTCACATCTTCAGTCAAAATTCATAGCATGTTCATCTGGAGCATTATAATTTTAACAGCAGAAGTAACCAAAGTAACTTTATAATCCCAGTCAAGATAATCAATGTCTTTTCCATTTCTGAGAGTGAAAGTTAACTTCAATTATTCAATTATTAACTTCAATTATTCAGTTAATAAACTCAATTTAATTGCACACACACACATACACACACACACTTTTTAAATCTTAAAATCAATGCTATTTTTTCCAAAAATAAGTTCAGTTAATATTTCCTTACCTGAAAATCTACCTATGAGCTAAGACCGTTTTCTGAAGCAATGTGGTTTGAAAGATAAACAGTTAAATATTTCAATGCTATTTTGCTTTAAATGGTTAATTAGTATATCATCTTAAAAAAAGGAATGGATGATCAGTGCATACCTTGACTGATAAAGGACTTGGTTCTGATGAATGACCGACCTTTCTTCACAGCCGCTTTAGTTTTTTCAAGCCCGTCTTTGGTGCCCTCCCTTGCTGCTTTCATGAGCTTCTGCATCTGCAAGACAGGGACAAACAGATCCTGCATGTTCAGTGAGTAATCAGAGTGGAATTCAAAGTGTTACAAATGTTATAGCAGACACTACATGACAAGCATTGCTTGTAAAAAGAACGATGTCAGGTTGTGGAGATCAAAGTCAACAACCTATGGTAATGTTTCATGCCTGGTCATTAATATCTTCCATATTTACACATACATTTATATATTGTCTCTGGGACAATGAAAATATACACACATTATTTTCCAGTATTTAACCTCCTTAACAGAATTTAAATAAGCTTTTCCGCTTTGCAATGTTTATACCAGCCTCTTCCATCTTAACATCAAGATACCACATCTCCAAGTTAAGTCTAATATGCACATAAAGAGATCAGAACGTTGGACTACAATGTTCTTCAAATACTGCTGCAACTTTTAATCCTCATTTTTATGGAACTTATATCTCACTTGAAGTAGGATGAGCAGAACAAACTAACATTTAGAGAAACCATCCTACTCCTTCTTTGATTGTTCAAATCTTCATATCCAGAAACCAGGAAAGGGGCCAACCAAGTATGAGATTTTCCTTGCATAGCTCACCATGCATGTCCAAATTTGGAGAGAAAGAAGGACAGTGCTCTCAATTTTCACTTGCATTTGCAGTTTCACTCTCTCTGCTCCTTCATGGAAAGTGTTTTCCCCTCTGATTCCATAACAAGATAAAGTAATGCTGGTATCCCCAATTAGACGTTAACTATTTAATGCTAAAGTAAACTTATACTGAAAAAGAAAAACGACAACCACATTTATTTAAATTCAAACTCTTCCAAAAGCTAAAATCTACATGACCTTCCAAAGAGATAGAATCAGACTTTAGTAACAATGACTCATCTAGGTGAATTAAACTGCAACAGCATAGCCAAAAAATCCAGAAAGAAAATCAACTGTATTTTTCATTCTTTAAATATTGAAACAGCAGTCCAAAAAACTGGCATAAAACCCCTGATAAAGTTCTTTTAAGGTGAGAGCAATACAAACAGTACAGGTGAACACGTGCTATTTTTTTCCCCATCAGCTTCATTTACTAAAACGTACATTCATTGTGTCTGCAGAACAATCGTTTTTACATTTATCTGGTTAGAAAATCAACAATGTTACCTTCAGCTCATGTTTTTGCTTTAATTGCTGAATCTCTACTCCTCCCACTGTGTTGGTCATCAGATCTTTCATCTTTTTCTCATAGTGCTCCTTGAAACGGGTTAGGTCATGAGAGAACTGCAGCATACAAAAGGATACAATCTTAAAATTTTAAGTGTATGGGCACAAACTGAGGGGGAGAGGCAGACGAGAAACAATGTCAACGTTAAAAAAAGGATACATTTTGCTCCTAAAGTTCATATACAGGTAGTCCATGATTTACGTTGTGTTGCTAAATGAGTTAGTAACATGGTTGTTAAGTGAATCTGGTTTCCTCATTGACTCTTGCTTGTCAGAAGGTTGCAAAAGGTGATCACATGATCCTAGGACACTGCAACCGCCAGAAATACAAGGCAGTTGCAAGTGTCCAAATTTTGATCATGTGACCATGGGGATGCTGTAAGAAACAGCAGTTGGATGTAGTAGAAATGGGTTATTTAAGAAAAGTATATAGCATATGGTAGAGAGCCAACTTGGTCTAGTGGTTAAAGCAGCAGGCTAGATGACCAGGAGTTCAAGTCTCACCTTAGCCAGCTGGGTAACCTTGGATCAGTCACTCTCTCTCTCTCAGACCAAACCATTTCACGGGTTGTTGTGGGGAAAATAGGATGAGGAAAAAATTAATAGCCTGTGTTAGCTGCCTAGAGTTATTTATAAAAATAATAAAGGTGGGATGTCAATAAATAAAAATAAAAACAGTCTTTACTTATGGCCTTAGCTCAATTATTAGAGTGGCATTACAGCAATGCATATATTATCTCTGTCACTTCAATTTGCTCCAATCTGGACTAATTTGTTCTGTGGCTATGGTTCTCTTTCATAAAGAAGAAAAACATTCAGCTTCGCTAAGAAGCAAGCTCCGTAATGTAATGCACAGCCAACATTAATTATACAGTTAGCAGGTATAGAGATCTCTGTTAGTCTTTTGCCATGAAAAATAAGGGTTATGATATAAGAAAGGAAATTGTGGATAAGAACTACTTTAGACACTGCTTTCACTAGAGTTAACAAATGAAAATCAGTGAAACTAAAATGCACCTTGCCTGACCCTTTTTAAAAATAAAGTTCCAAGAGACAAGTGGATTTGGCTGTTTCATCTGATTTTTATCCTGGGATCATCCTAAAGTATTTTAATTAGGAATTAATTATTACCAGTCTCTGGAATGTTTTAATCGCCACTGAAGCTTTTCTTTATGATAAATTTGAACACTTAAGATGCAAGAATGCAGAGGACAACTGGTAAACTTCTCTGCCAGACAGCATAACAGAAGACCTTAATCTCTCTTCTGTAAAACTAATTTGCTTTCCAGGCAGAATGCTGCATCATTCCAGTATATGTGTGTGTGTGTGTGTGTTTGTGTCTGTGTATAGAGCACATTGTCAGCGTGACTCCTGGACTTTGCTTAGAGAAGTATCTGCAATTTTCTTAGCAAGGTTTTTAGAAGTGGTTTGCCCTTGCCTTTTTCTGGGGCTGAAAGTGACTGGCCATAGTCACCCATGGGACTTCATGAGCATGATAGGATTAGAACTCATAGTTGCCTGGTTTTGAGAAAAGTACCTTTTCTCAAGTCATTCACACAACTTGTATGTTTTCTTTTCTATTTTTCAACTTCAATGAATTAATTTAGGATTCTCGAAGCCATAGAATTAGAGAATTGAAATTATTTTCTGTGTGATATAATTACACTTTATTCTTATTAGAGTTTTATTCAGTTTATTAGAGTTTCCAGAAGGAGTCATAGCAAGAAGTTAATTACTGTCCTTATAAATCCTGAACACTGCAATCAATTTGCAATCAATCTGGCTTTAGTCCTGCAATAACCCTACTCAAATTATGGTTAACGTTGTATTATGGCACTGTTTTAACACTTTGGAGCGCTAACTATTCTAGCTATTTAAACTTGTTCTATATAAACTATTCTAATTATTTAAAGTTACAGTAGTTCTTGATATACCGGTTGTATTCAATTTTAAAACTATTTTTTTCATATCTACATTCATAATTTTAAATATGATTCTCCTTTGCATCACTGTTTAATTGTTAAACTATTAACAGTAAAGTATATTTACAAGCCTCTGATCTCTCATTTTCCCTAATATTATTTCTTTCTTCACTTAATTTTCAGTTCTTTCAGGCCAGACCTGAAGTGTACTGAGTTTTGAAAAAATAAAACAAAGTCTACTTGTATGATAGGGTTGTCAAGCTAGAACATTTACTTACAACTGAGGGTTCATCTGGTGGTTACACAGAGTTATAAAGGAATGAATTAAACACTATATTAAATATTAGGATTCATAATAAGATATCAATGTCAAGCTCAGCCCAAGAATGACAAAGAACAATCCAGCCAAAGTTCAGTTCTTGATTTCCTCATACCAATAGACAGAATCTTACCAGACTAAATTTTTACTAACCTATGTATCCCGAGAGGTTCTAGGAAGTGATTCTCTAGCCTCAATCTGTTCTTCTGTCTCCTATTCATCTCCTATGGGCTGTGTTGACTGTTGACATACACACTCCCCCTGCAAGGCCCCTCCTTGCTGAGAAACAGCCGCTTCAACTAATCCATCACACCACCTCTCCCTTCGTAGGTACCACCCATCACACTGAATAACTTCTACTGTACAACTGCATATAAACTATATAATGGGATATCCGGAAACAAGAACATATGTATATTAGGGTGGAATCTAATACTTCCTGAGTACAAATCCATTTATGCAATGCCATGGGATATTCTACCTCTTCTTTCAAAACTTCTTTAACATTTAATGTACTTGTTTTGGCTTGGAATTATGTAATGCAGCTGGATGATATAAACATTGACATACTACAACTCTAGGAAGCACAAACATCCTAGAAAAAGCCACGAGAATTACATACTTGTCTTCTGTGGTTGCCACGCAGAAAAGAACTGGGTATTCCATTTTTACTCTCTGAGTCGCTCTGTTCTTCATAGCTTTCAAACTCACTGGAACTCCATCCATATTCTAGGGAGCTATTTCCACCTTCATCTCCATTCTCAACATCATCATAAATCATCTCCCCTACATCTATTAAAAAATATAAATATAATTAAGGTCTACTCATGGAAAAATTATATCTCAAATATGACCATAAATGAAAATCTTTTTTTGCTATTTTCAGTCCAAGGAATGAAAAACAAGAGACTTATAAGGAAAGGCCTATTATCAATGCACCAATTTTAAAATTTGGACCTTAGACATAGAATTTCCTACAAAATATAATCTCTACGAAATGCAGCTTAAATTTAAAAAGTCATAATTTATTTTTTTAAAATCTGGACATAAATTAAAATAGGTTTTATTGTATGTTTATGAATGACTATTTCCTTCCATTGCTAATTCTCTTACAAACTCCATTTTCATTTATCTATCCATTTCCGTTCACAGTTCAAAGGCTATTAATGATTTATAATATTGGAACAAAAAATTCTCAGTTAAAAAAATAAAATATTTAATATTGTAAAATCATAAAACTCAAAAAACATGACATCCTAGGTCCACCAGGACAATTTTTCTAAAGACAAAAATTTTAAAAGACAACCTAAATTCAAGTGGAAGGCTATTCTGAAATACAGATGCTACCATGGAATAGCACACCCTATGCACCTCCATGAAATACCAGTTTGGTGTAATAGTTAAGGGCTCAGAAACTGGGAGACCATGAGTTCAAAGCTAGCTGTGTGACTTTGGGCCAGTCACTTTTTCTCAGCCCTAGGAAGGAGGCAATGACAAACTACTTTTGAAGAACCTTGCCAACTTCAGGGGCCTATCCAGGCTACCTCTGAGAACTGGATATGACTGAATGGAATAAAAGGGGTGGGGTGGGGGGGAACATGCTTCCATAATATGTAACTCATGAAAAGTGGGATTATCAGATGTTTCTCCCTGGGAAAATAAATATCCCCGATCAAGCTTAATTGGATAAGATGGCCCTAAGGATAGTCTGAAACCAAGTCATACTAGCACTTGGAACTGCACTTGGAAGCTAACGGGAAACTAGTTCAGACCTCCTGTGCCTGCCCTGAGATAGAGCCCTTTGGGCTGCTGCACCTGCAGAAAGGTAGGCATCCTGCACTCGTGCCTGAGCCAGCCCAATCCTCTTATCTCCTGGGTCTGTCTTGACAGTGAGCCACTGTCCCTGCAGGAAAGCAGGCACACCAGCAGGGGGAGTCCTGGTATAGAGGCCTCAGCAGAGTCTCCGATTCTCTCTGATGCATCTTTCACCATCTGCTGCTCCTCCCTCCTTAGCTCCCTCCTCATCAGCTGGCGGTTTGCTTACTTCATTGCTTGCATGTGCATTCACCATGGTTGGCAAACGTTCCAGTGGATCAACCCAACATTGGAGGCTTTTTGTTTGGTTTTTGTGTTTTTTAAATAAATCATGATCTCCCAGGGAACCCTTAGTGACCTTCTAATGGAACTAAGGATCTTAGTCTGCAGAATCACATCCAGAGTCATTCAAGAGTGAGGAGACTTCACAAATTTTATAAATAAATAAAAGGGGTTGGCTGAATTAAGATAAGTAACGCTATAAAAGAACTACCTGGCAATATAGAAACAGCTGATTTCAGTCAAACTGTATTTATATAATATATATATAATTGTGTATTTTTCCCCAGTTAGTAAGCCCTAGTGGCATACCATATTACCATATATAGAATTTTGGAAAAAAAAATATCTACGCTTAAATGTAAAATCAAGGAATCTTTATCCTGGCAATGGTTTTTATCATGGGTGGCACAAAGTATGAATAGGTTGCAAATAATCTACACATTCTAAAAGATTTATGGCAGGGGGCAACAATATTAAATATAACTGAAATCAAAACATTCTATATAGAGATGAAGGATCAGAAGAAAGATCTGGACAACACATCATGTCAACACATCAGATAAGTACTATTCCTGGGGGGAAAATTATGGGTCACAGCAGACATAAACTGTATATAAAGTAAAGATAATATACAAAAGCATAAAACAACAGGTTTAAGATAACACTGACTTTTGGCAAGCCCTTCCCTTGTTTAGAAAAACATTACCCATCTGTCCTAATGCAAGAAAGGATGGGAGAGAACATAAAATGAACAATGAAAAGAGAAGAAAATTATCTTATAACATTCTGCTATACTGGTACATATTCAATCTGATTTATGCTAATGACAAGGAGAGGGGAAGCATCCTTTAGAGTGAGGAGTTTGCATATCACATTGTTTACTGTAGTGTCACAACAGCATCACACCTCACAGACATAAACATTTGGCGGTCTTCTAATTGTCATGGTGGCTCAGCTGCTGGGAATTGTATTTCCAACAACTTCGATAGAGCTCCCTCAACCTTGAAAAAAATATGATACTTGATTTGAAGGAAAATGTGCAGTTTGGAACAACATCAAGTTAAAAAGGCATATCACATCTCTAATAAATTACCAAAAAAATCAGATATGAACAAAACCATTCTGGGTGATGTACAACATCAACATCAAAGACACCCCTTCATAAAAATAAATTAGATCCAGAATTTAAAAACAAAACCACACACCCTAAATAAAGCCCAACATAGGTGTCTACAGTCAATCAGCTGAGACCAAAAGGATGTTGAAATGGAAGAGTTTTTATCGTTTATGGAATTGCCCTCAGTGATGATACAAGACTTAGCTAGGATGGCCAGATTCCTGGTGTTGTGTGATTTAGGGTAATGATTGCTCCTTTGTTAGATATCATTTCTAGGGAAGTCCATATAGAGACAGAACATTCCAGGGAACATTTGAACGTTCCACATTTCTTCTGGACCACAAACTATTCCCTGGAAGTTACCAACTCTAGCAACAACTTCTGAAATGGATGGTATGTGTAAGTTGGGTAGAAAAACACAACACTCCAGTGTTCTTCAGAACATAACTGCTACTCAAAATCACTGTTATGGAATGGGCAGACATATAAACTACCGTGTTTCTCCAACAATACACCCCCTCCCCAAGAAGACCCAGCATGTTTTCTAGGCATAAAATGAAATTAAGCCCCTCCCCCCAAACTTAGGCCTATTTTAAAACATGCGAAATTGGGGGTGGGAGGTGGGGGGGAACTTGCCATTAGGAGCGCCCCGCAGGCAACTACGCCTTGCCATCAGCCGCTCCTAACAGCCGATCATGGCGGAGCGCAAAGGGCTCCCTTACCCCCACCAAGCACCTTTGCTGCAGACCCGGGTTAGCAGGAGGGCGGCATCGGCATGGATGTCTGCCGGCAACATTTCAGCCGCTTCTCAGGCCTCCGTAGCTTCCATGGTTCTCCAACAGCGGCAGCAGTGGCAGGAACCGTGGAAGTTACGGAGGCGGCTCCCCCACCCGAGAAGTGGCTGAAACGCTTCCACAGTTCCCGCCGCTGCCACCACTGTTGTTGGAGATGGCACTGGTGAGAGACGGACAGCTGCAGCTCGGCCTGGGCGCGCTTGGAATGCAGGAACGGGCTGCACACCGGGACTTTTGGAAACTTGCAGAGCCCGAGGCTGGAGCACCAAGGGTGGCAGCAGCAGAGACGCTCGCTCGGCTCTTCTCACGCCCACCCAGCCGCTCGGGATTAAACCAAAACGCAGCGTGCGGCATTCCCAGGTACCTCAAAATGTTTTTTTTTTCCTGTTGTTATGGGGACGGGGGAAAAGCGGGAGCGACTCAGAGGTTGCTGTTGGAGACAGCGCTGGTGAGAGAGGCGCCAGCACTGGAGGGAACCGTGGAAGCTATGGAGGCCTGAGAAGCAGCTGAAATGCTGCCAGTGGGCATCTCTGCCCGCTTGCTGACCTGGGTCTGCAGCAAAGGCGCTTGGTGGGGGTAAGGGAGCCCTCCGCGCTCCACCATGATTGACCGTTAAGAGTGGCTGGTGGCAAGGCATAGCTGCCGGTGGGGCACCCTAGGCAAGGGTGTGCGGGGCGGGGGGAGAAATTAATTCACCCCCGAAAAGACGTCCTAGCTGTTTTTTCGGGGCTCAAAAAAAAAAAAACAATGAGACCCGGCCTTATTATATGAGAAACACGGTATTTAAACCAACCAATCAATCAATAAATCAAAGCATTCCAACCTTAACACAGTGGGTTTTGTATATTCCTAATTATTTTCCTGGTCTAAATCAACCTCAAACTAAATTTTTAACTTTGGTAAGGTTTGATTGTCATGCATATAAGCACAGATTTGAAAAATAGGTACACAATCCAGAATCATTTGTGAGGCTTCAAAAGCCTCCACAACTATTGAATTATTAAATTCCTGGAGAGTAATAATCTTTATTAATTTTAATTATATGGAAATGAAATACATTTTCATTTCCGTATAATATTTTTTAGCCCCAGTCATCATTTTAGGTGCATAGTCTCTAGCATGCTATTATAAAGCCAAACAAAGACTTTGATCTAGATCCCCATTCTATACGACAACAGCCTAAAATATAAGAAATGTTGTAGAAGGACAGCTAGGGAAAATTAAACATTTCTTCCACTTGGATCATCTATTGTTATTTTCCCCTCTAATACTGCTAATTAAAATTGAATTTAAATTTATACCTGGTTCAGAGTCTGAATTTTCTCTTGGTACATCATCGTATATTACTTCATCAGGATCTAAAACCAAAAAGGAAACCCTCAATTCATTACTATTGGAGAGATTCTTTTAAAAATAGTAAAAATGTGTAATATAGATTTCTAAAGATTGCAATAAAATAATGATACACACACATATATTCTGTTTTTTGTCTAGTCAGAAGCATATTATTCATTTGATACCGCTTCACAATTTCAAGTGAGTTAACAAGATCCAAATAAAAACTTTCAAAACCAGTCTCTTGATTTTCTCCTGCACTACCCAAATTTCTGCTTTGCGTTAGAAGAAAACTCTTATTTTTACAAATAAATCTGCAAAGACTTGTTTAATTCTTAAAAGTGCACTTATGTAAATGCATTCATTAGAACACATTGATGGTTATGTATCTACATAAGCATTTAGATACATGAGCTACATACGCTTCTACTGAATGCATTTGCATAATTGCAGTTTGTAAGTAGTAAACAACTGAATAAGCATTTTAGATTTGAAAGTCCATCTTCTATATTGTGATTCCTCACGTTATACAATTGCTCATGTGACAATTTACATTTTCAACACCTATTCCTTAATATCTAGCCTGAGTATAACTACTAAGGCAGCAATTCCTTTTTATTTTACATCCTTCTTAGAAGCATTGTTCAAACTGTAGCACACCTGCTCAATTCTTGTCTGTTTCTAGTACCCTTTCAGATGACTATTAATTCATATCTGTTCTTTTGCATTTCTGTCACAGAATAAAGTTTTTTTTAATGAACAAATATTCACAAAAAGCAGGTGAGATTTTGAGCCAAGAAGTGAATGCAATTAAAACAAGAAGAGAAATTAATATCCATTGCATATACTATTTCAGAAAGTCAATTCAAATTGGTATTTCCAAAGTTTAAATTCCTTGGATTTCCTTACAACGAAGAGGTTTTCTTCCAGATTCACTGGAGAAAGGAAACACACATCAAATGCAACATCTTGTTTTTCAGATTTTGTTTATACCTTTGAACTTGTACAAAATATACGCCTTTCAATTTATTTGCTTCATCTAACTCACATATGTAAATAATTTCCTTATCAAGCAACTAACAAATATTTTTTATGAGTGCTAAGATATGATTGGACATAAAACAGTATTTATTTTTGTGAACTGCTGTAACATTTCTGCAGAGAGACAATCTCTGAATTCGGGGCGTCCAAAACATAATCTTTCAAACTGTTACAAGCTTGAAATGATATGAAATTTCCCACCCCAGTAGCAAACAGACTATTCAAAATTTTAGAAGCCTTTCAATCTTGGAACAGGATGGTTCTGAGATTAAAAGAGTGCCAAGTTACTTGAAACAGTTTATTATATACTCAAACTGACACGTTTTGCAGACAATTTTGCACTGCCTTCCTGGAATTTATAAATATCATCTGAATAATGAAAACAGTCCAAGCATCCAAAAGACGTTGGTCCAGAGTGTAATTAATCTGATAAGTGCAGCGATCTGAGACATTGATCCAAGACTATCAAATGCCTTCAGAGGAACTGTTGGTCATCCATACTCACTCTCCATCCACTCTGTATTTGCAGGGTCAGCCACCCATTTGGCCAAGGCATTCTCATCTGTGCTCCCCTGATTGTCTTCACTATAAATTAAAGCACACACACAGAAAATAAATATGATTTTCATGTATTCAATTGACTTGAAGCATAATCTTATTTGCATCTTGACTTGGAAACTCAATTAAGTTTAATGGGAGCAGGAGAATATGAAATTCCATTAATTACTACAATGTTAATTACTGAATTTAAAGAGATCTTCCACGAAATGTTGTACTCAACACTATATTATGACTTAAAAATATGCTTGTATGTTTATGAAAGAAGGCTGGATGTTTTTATGTTTTGTTTTTGTTTGTCTTTAAAAACCAATAAAATTGTTTTAAAAAAAAATCTAAATTGCTTCTGAGTGGCAAAGAATCCTGAATCTAAAGGCTTACAATTGTGCAGGAAAAAAGTGAACGCACAAAAGAATCTTCCTTGGTGGGGCACAAGTAGTGCTCCGTTGGGCTTCAATGCAATCTTTTCAAGCAAGACCTCTGACCCTGATCTCCCAAGTTACCTAAAGTAATGCTAAACACAGCTTCACTCCTCCTATTCAGAAAATAGTGGTACATTTGCATTAGAACCCCCTCCCAGCCCCTCATTAGTCTGCTTCTCTCTCTTTGAGGCATCTCCATAACCATACAGAGGGAGAGTCTTTGTATCTCCTTGCCTCTGTCTTGAGTCATACAGATTTTTGAAGAACAAATAAGGTATAATACATGTTTTCCCTCTCCTCATTTGTCCAGGAGGAGGAAGAAAGAGTGTGAAAAATGAAGAAAGCTGCTTGCAGCAATTCCTAAAGTCTTCTCTTTCCTCTCCTTTCTGCTGAGGCCCTGCATTTTGGGGTGCCCCCTAATAGGAAAGGGCAACAAGATGAAGAAGAATCTATTTGCCACCATCTCAAGGTTTGTATTTCAGATATCACAGTTCTGCCTCACAGGATCAGGTATGAAGTACAGGACAATGACTGGGTGAAAAGGGGAACCCAACAAGCCTTAAAGCAGCTGTCAGCCCTGGAAAACAGCAGCGGTCATCAACTAGTGGTCTGTGGGCCACTGATGGTCCATGAGAAAATTTTGGACATTTTACATTGCATTTAAATACTATTTATCTTTTTAAAAAATTAATATTGCTAGTCCGCAGGATTTAAAATTATGAATTTAGTAGTCCCTGAGGTCCGAAAAGTTGGCAACCCCTGCCTTAAAATGCCTTCCCTATATTTATATTACTATTCTTTCCGAAATTATTCATCTAAAATATAAAGAACGTTCTCAATTCATCTTAAGGTTTTGCCTGTACAAAATAGAATATTTTTATTGGCCAAGTGCGACTGGACACACAAGAAATTTCTCTCTGGTGCAAAAGCTCTCCAGATACATACAAGCACCAAAGTGATAAATTATAAAGCATGAGATACAGGTAGTCCTCCATTTACGACCACAAATGAGTCCCAAATTTCTTTTGCTAAATGAAACATATATGAGTTTTGCCCCATTTTACAATCTTCCTTGCCACAGCTGAATCACTACAGCTGTTAAGTTAGGAACACAGTTAAGTGAATCTGAGACCCCCGTTGACTTTGCTTGTCAAAAGATCAAAGGGTGATTTTGTGTCACCTCCCCAGGACACGGCAACTGTCATAAACATGAATCAGTTGCCGAGTATCTGTATTTTGATCACATGACCACCAGGATGCTTCAACGGTCATTAGTCAACGGTCATTAGTGTGGAAAACGGTCATAAGTCACTTTTTTCCATGCCAAAGTTGTAACTTTTAACAGTCATTAAATGTACTGAGAGAACTACCTGTACAGTCATAAATCATACAATACAACCAACAGACAGGTGATAGTAATAAGATACCAATAGAGTAAGTAATGACCTATGCATGCTTCATATTTCATCTCCAAATTAGAAAAAAAATGCGGCTCCTGTAAAGTTTTGACAATCAGTTCCATGCTTGCAGAGCTGGGCACTCTGAAGCATCTCTTGGAGACCAAATCCAAAGCACTGGTAAAAAAGCAACCAGTTTAATAATGGTCAGGGCTACATTTCTGCTTTATCTTTACTATCCACTAGCAGGTGTGAAAAATCACACTCAGGTTGCCTTGACTGCCCAGAAGCTATTGAACAAGCAATCCCCTTCACAGTTTCCTTTCTCTGATACAGTCTGATAGAGTGGCTGTTTTTAACACGGACTCCTTCACATAGAAACAAATGCCGAAGATGAACTAACACGCCACTCTGCACCAACAGCTATTTTATTTCCAATGTCATTGGGAAGAGAGAGGGTAAGGACAAACAAAATCTCTAGGCATTGCAGTAGGACTTTCTCCCATAAATGTTTGGGTTGTGGGGTGGGTGGAATGGCCTTGCTTTCATGGACTCAAGAGACTTGGTGGCTTTTGTTCAAATAAGGCCATATGGATTATTGCCAGTATGTTCCCACTGGCTCTAAATTTAGGAATCTGAGTTGGTCCATGCTGCCTAGCAAATGTTTACCTTTCATTCCCTACCCGCCAAAAGCCCCGATTTGAAAAACACAGTCTGTGGCTGTCTATAAACGGGTAATGTCCACCTGAACTGCTTACAAAAGACATTATAAAGGGAAGGTTTGGGGAAATGACTCAGAAATGAGTCACAATAATAATCAGGCAAGGGGCAGGTAGTCAGGATGAAGTATAAAGAAATAAACAGATATTGAAGTGAAAAAGCATTTGCTATAGGAACGAGAAGGAAAAAAAGGTTTTAAAAATCTATATAAAGCAATGAAGTTCATTTAGTGCAGCATCTTGCTTTGTTCAATAGATGGTTGATGGAAAAATTATAGGCATGACATTGCTACAGCTTGACTACCCTCAAAGTAGTAATAAGGCATTTGTAGCACTAGATGTACCAGCCTATATCTAATAAGAACATAATCAGACATCAGTGGTCTTCTGGAACAGATTTTGGAGAAACTTGATGAGGAGCATCTATTTCGTAGATGGATGTCATTCCATCAACAGACAGGTATTATTAACCATGGTCTGTATTGTTCCAAAGGTGCTTTTTTCAAGAGGCAATTATATTTTCTTGTTTTTCTTTGAAGACAGTTCGTTTCTCATCCAAGTAGCTTGCTTGTTCAGCTCTGAGCTAAAGAAGCTTCTTAGATGAGAAGTGAAATGTCTTCAAAGAAAAACAAGAAAGTCCAGTTGCCCTTTGAAAAAAAGCACCTTTGGAACAACCATGACCTGGATGATTGAGAATTTCCATAGATAATGGTCTGTATTGTTAAAGAAGCGATATGATCCTTTCCGAAGTCCTTCTTTTCATAGACATTATTCAGCTATAAAAAGGCGGACTTGTACAAGGATCTTATCACTTTTTCCTGAATATGTATTAATCCTGTTGTCCTCAATTTAAAACACTGGCCACCTACTTTTCTACTGAATTCCAGATGCACTGAGACTATAGTCTTGTTATACTTTCACAATAAATGTCATTAAATATTTGACTTACCAATTTGGAGGCTCTTCTGAACTCTGAGAATGACCATCCTCAGCTACTATATGAATATTTGCTAAAGAAATGATACAATCTCTCAGTCACAGTGACATTAAAGGGAAAGCATTTTAAAGTAACATTCATCATAGTAATTTGTCAAATAAAATTTCCTGCTCTTAAATACTTTCAATGGGCTTCTAAAGGCCTCCATTAATAATGCATTTTATGAGCTCCTCTGAATATACGATTATAAATATTTAAGTAAGCCAAAAGGGCATGATATATCCTTCCATGCATATATGTAAAACCCCTTTCATTTTATAAGCTATGAATAGAATTCTTTATTGGCCAAGTGTGGTTAAACACACAAGGAATTTGTGTCCAGTGCATAAGCTCTCAGTGTACGTACAAACAGCAAAATGATAAATTATATATCATAGATCATAGTTACAATCATCATAATATACAAGTGATAAATCATAGATATCAATAGGAGAAGGTAATAGGAAAAATAAGAAGGATAATATCAATACATTGGGTAAATATTTTTAGGCCTAAGACAGTGGTATGGGTCATATATTAGCACATATACAAGATAGTTTAGAAATAGAGACATTTCGAAGAACTGATAATAATACAGATAAAGGTTTCTATAATTCAATATAGAACAAACAGATTTCTGCTTCCACAAAAGAACTTTTTCTTCTTCCCAAAAATATCCCTTTGCACACACTCCAAGTTTTACCAAAAGCCAGACAAACCAGGCAGAGAGAATTTGAGGGGAAGAAAAGAGGGGAGAGTCCTATTAATAATTTATTTTGTTTATTAAAAACACAATTCTAATAAAATTGACATTTTCTAGAATAAAAATAAGTTGTCAACACCACAAAATTATCATTAACAGTCTAAATAAATCTTATTAACAAAGATATTTAAACTATGTCGCAAGTCCAACCCACTGAGCAACGTGCATATCTTTGGATTACACAGAGGATTCAAAATATCCAAGAAATTAAAGGACCATTGACAGGAAAATAATTCTATTTTTTAAAAAATATAATTATGCATAGCTCTAAACTACCTTCTTCATCCACAGAAGGGTTGCGGATTATAACAGGACTGGAATACGCCGGCAATATCAATGGCAAATTGGATGGCACGGCATAGCCACAAGGCACCGGAACCGAATAGCCACTTGAGAGGGTGGGACTTATAGTGCCATCTTGTGTGCTTGGCTCTGGTGACAGCAACAGCTCCTTTTCCTGCATTGGTGAAATGGTTATGACAGAGTATGGGTTTACCCGTGGTAGGATGCCCTCTGCATTGGCTTTGGAGTTTTGCATTTTCTCAGCTTCCTCTAGGTTTTCTAGATTTTCATTCCCTTGAATACAAAAGATACACATTTCTGTCAAATAAACTCTTCTCATAATGAGAAAAAAAAATCACACTTCCTCCCTTGCAAAATGAATATTCCTCCTCTTCAAAACCAAGCTATTTTCTATGTATTGCACTTCAGATCTGAGGGCAAAAAGGTGCTTGGAGCACATATGAAGTGGTTATATATTATTGGTCTTTGACTCCTTAAAGATGGGGTGTCAAACTCAAGGCCCGTGGGCCAGATTTAGTCTGCAGGGCCACCCTGGAAACAGCAAAGGATGGGCCCACGGTGCCTCTGCCAGTGAAATTGGAGCTCGGGAGGATTGTGCTCCAGTTTTAGCTGTGACTGCCTCCTGCAGCCCTCTACTAGCAAAAACAGCTTGGGGGGCTGCTCATGCTCCCCCAACTCCGTTTTTGCAGGCAGAGGGCTGCAGGAGGCCGTTGTGGCCGAAAACAGAACTCGGGAGCCCATTTTCAGTGGCAGAGCACTTGAGCCACCAGACACCCCCGATATGCCCACCCTGGCCTCCTGCAAGTCAGATACAACTCTGATGTGGCCCTTAATGAAATCAGTTTGACACCTCTGCCTTAAAGCAACTGTCTTTCCCAGAATAATGCAGCTGACTTCTTGAAGAAGAAAAGCCTTACAATGGTCAGCAAGAGCTCTTCCCCCCTACACCCTTTGTTTTCTCCCCTGGGATTTTAAGGCAATCTTGAGAGCACTGGACCACACCTGGTTTCCAATTCTAAAAGGGAAAATGCTGAGAGCAGGGTTATGTTTGAAGGAAAAATTGTTTCAGGTGGAAGAACAGAAACGAAGAATTTGCAGCTGTCAACTCGACAGGTAGGTGATGGGGAAGGAAGAGCAGGCTTGGACTTCAGCAAACCAACAGGAGGCAAGCTGAAAGGGGAAGCAGAGCTCAGCAGGCGCATCACTCCTTTAGAAATGGTGAGAAACTGCAGCTAGTCAACAGGTGATTAAAACATCTTTTTCCACCTCAACACAGACAGAGTATCTGCAAAGCAGCAGAAAGAAATTCTGTTTCCCTCTTGTACCAATACAACAAAAAACACCTCCCGAGAGGCCTTTGGGGCCTGAAAAGAGACGTGGGACGTGGAGGCTGGCTACAAATATTTCCAGGGGTGTTATAATAGAGGCTCAATAATTGTGAGATAGAATGCTGCGTTATTTTAGATTAGCTTGCATACAAATAGAATCCACAGCTTGAGTGTTTAATCTGTTAGGCAAACTATTCTGCCTCAAGATTTAGAACAGAGTGGAGGTGTTGAGTGCTTCAGATCAGAAGGGGAAAGGATGTTTCAGAATGTACAAAGGCACTTATCTGCAATTCCTTAAACCTAATGTTCCCCCTCCCCTGGGACTGGTGACTGTTGAAGTATAAAGGGCGGCGGGGGGGTGTCTTTTGGGAAATAGTACAAATCACCAAACGTTTTATCTTTCCTATGTTTTAAAGGAAAGCCTTTAAAAGGCTTTTGCTATGGTATAAATTTAATAAACATGCTTATTTTCCTAACTTCTACCTTGACACTTAAAATAAGTATAGTATAATATTGCATAGGCATAGTAATAACACTGTGTCAATATCTATGTGTATATCTTAATCCAAAATAGTTGTATAATGATTCTCTTCTCCTTTTTTGCCTGAATTTATACCAAGGTTTTCAGCCACCTTCATGTTGGTCGGCTTCAATTGCTGTCAGCTGCTATTCTAAACTGAAGAGTCTTGTAAACCTCTCTCCACTGACAGCCAGGCTGACAGATGGAAAAATTTAGCAACGCAATCACTGTCTTGTCCTGAATTATACAACTTGCACCATTCAATGTAGGAGCATTAGAAAAGGGGCGTTGGTCCTACCTGACACGCCTCTTCTCGAGGAGTCAGGGGGAGAATATGACAATTTTATACAGTAGTCATGTTGGCCTGCTCTTGCAAATTGTTATGGAAAGCAGGACAGAATTTCAGAAAGCTGCATCTCTTGGCACTGGAATAATCTCTGAATCTATACGTTGAGAGCGTCATCTCGCAGTGGCTTAATTTCATGGGTCCCTAAGAGTAATTTACATACACCTTTTCCTGGGACAAAGCTCATTTAGGCTTTCATGCAATGAACAGTTTTAATTTTTGAGAGCCCGAATTAGTTCAATCTATGATTCCTAGGAGTAATGATTTGCAAGGACTATAGAGTTACACTCAAAAGGCAATTAATATTCACAAAAAGTAACATTCTCATTATTTATTTTGCCTGGAATCATGTACCTATACAATTTGCCTCTTCTTGAATTGGCAAAATAGTTTGTCTGTCTGCTTCTGGAATCTCATCTCCACTATCAAAGTCAAACTGTTCTCCTTCTTCATCCTCTTCTTCATTAGCAGCAGTGATTGATACGTCATTTCCTAAAACTAAAAAGTGGAGATCTTGAAAAGACAAACCAAACCCTTGACAAACAATGGGTATGAAATGAGATACAATTACATTTTTAACACTTAGCATTAGGACTTCAGTATGCTTCACATTCAAATCCTATGAATATCTATTTTCAAAATTATAACATATATTGATTACTGTGGAACTTGGAAGCATATGATAAAAATTCAGCAAATACATGAGAAGAAATGCCACTACTTAGTCGGTAGCTGTTATTGCTCAAAAGTAATGTATGCAATATATTATTTTGATATTCATGCACTCAATTTATCCATCATTCTTAAGCAAATTAAAAATATGGAGCTTCCAAATAATCAATGCTGATAAAAAGAAGAATGCAGACAATCTGCTCTTAGTGATCAGCATCCTTACGCATCCACCAAAAGGTGTATAAAGCCAGTAAGTATCTCCAATACACTTTTCAACATTTAAATCGTTCAACATGTACAAAACCAAAATGAACTACCTGGGTTCAAACAAATTTATGTCAGGAAACATTTGCAAGCTTGTCTTTTTATTACTATATATAGGTAATCCTTGACTTATGACACGTTGCTTAGTAACCACTCAAAGTTGCAGTAGACCCCCCCCCCCCCAAAAAAAAGCTACTTATGACCTGGTTTTAAGTTCATTGCTAGTCCCCATACTGTCATTTGTCCTTACAATCAACTGCAGGGACAGAAAGGAGAATACAGGGTGCCTCATGAGATAAGGAGGCTTGGAAGGCCTGGGGTGTGAGGGTCGTGAGGCAATCATGTGAGCACTTAACAGCTGTCACAACTTCTGACCATAATGACTGTCTTGAGTTGAGGACTTTCTGTACTCCTATTATATAGAACATGTCTCCAGTATGAACAGGGGTGTTGTGCATTGTTAACTTATACATGAAAGAACGTATTCCTAATTAAAGAATTTTTTTTTTCATTCCTGCCTGTAGTTTATCGTTCTGATAAACTACACGCAGGAATGAAAAAAAAAAGAAATCCCAGTATGGCACTCCCACTTCTGTATTCTTGCCAAAGAAACTGACTAGGCATGTCCATGAAATCACCAGAAGCCCAGCATGACTTGGGAGATTTATCTCTAATTAGGAATATGTTCTTTCATGTATACGTTAACAATGCACAATGCCCTGCTTACATTAGTGGGGGGAAAAGATTTCTGTTCTATCTCTCTGTTGTGAAGCATGGCTGTTATATAAAAGTAAATAATTAAAGCTGGTTTACTTAATTTTATTTTTCTCTGATTTTTTTAAAAATTAAATACGTTGGCTTTTCCCTTTCTTTTTTAAAAGACTCTTCTCTTTTAAAGCAGAAATTCAGACACCAAACAATCACCAGCAGCTTCCACAAAAAGGTCTATTGATGGCTACAATTCAGAAGCTGTTCTCATTCGATTTAAATCTTGGCTCCATTTGTACCATCTTTTGTAACTGTCTGTGTGCATAAATTGGCATTTCTCACAAACAAATGCCATATAGTACAAAGTTCAGTTTAAGCAATATTCTTACAATCCTCAAAGAAGGCTCTGTCAGACAGACTTCCTATTAAATCCTTTGTTAAACATCTCACCTTAAATTACATGAATTTTAATAATCCATAATTTACAATATGACCAACATCCAGTGCGCAAATTATTTTAATTATTTCTTTGCGATATGTAGAATTTAATTCTGAAATGCCATAAATAGGATTGCAGTCTATCAGGCGTTTTTCATTAATTTATAAAAAGGCTACCATCTTTTTTTTTTAATAAAGTTTTATTTGGGTTTTCACACATACAAAATACAAGTAAAACATCTTTTTTGAAAATAGCATGGTCCCGGGTTGAACATCCTTATACAGACACAAAACTCAATTTCCTGCTCCTTTTTGTGTCCTATTCCATATCTTATACTATTCTACATTTTCTATATAGTTTTTCCCTTCTTTTAATTTTCTCAATTTTATTTTGATTATTTTATCTCAATTCAAATCATTATATTTATACTTTTGTCTGTTCTGTTTCAATTTCATATTATCTTTTCTCATTAAACAAATTTTCTCCTGTAGTTACTAACTGGAGTATGACACCTTTATATCTTTTAATTATATCCATGCAACTCTTATTTAAACTTCAATATATACCTTAAGGTTATGACCTTCAGTATAATACATAATACATAACTTCCAATCGAATTCTGCTTGGTACATTCTTATAATACACACTATATTCTTTAAAGAAAAAAAATATATAAATATATGTAATTATAAACCCTCATTCTATTCCAATTCAGTTCTATCATTAATAATCATTAAAATCTTGACATCTTTAACATTTCTTTTCAATTAAACATTATACTTCCTTAAAGACACGTATAATCTCCATAATTAATTTTTCCCTTATTTCTCTTCATATATGTTTTGTAAATCATTAAATATTCATTGTTACATTTGTTTATTGACAAGCATTCCACTGAATTACAATAGCTATTTTATCAAACATTTTAATCATACATTGTTTCATATTTTCTAAAATTATTTCTGTTTCTAATATAACAATACTATCTTATATATCTTTACAGAATCCCTTTTTCCATTAAATTTTCACCCATTGTCTCTAAATAGGCCCTGTTTCTCTATATTTTGTTTCTGTCCTTTATAACTTCCTTTCTTTCTTCCCTCTCATTTTCTCCCTCCCCTTTTTACCCCCTTGTCTCTCTACTTCTAATTCTCTCTTCTGCATTTTCCTCTTCTGTTGCTTTCTGATTTTATACTTATTTTTCACTCTTTTTTGGGGGGGGAGTTGTTTTTCCCAATCTTAAACTTTCCATTCTCTTTCCCCCCTTTCCTTTTTTTCCCCATCTAAGATTACTTGTTCATTAAAGATGGCTTCCTTTTTGTTGCAATCTTCTTGTTCTGCAGGCATTTCTTTCTCTCATAATTCCAAATCTCCATTTCTAAAAACTGAAATACGAAGCCAAAAGAACCTCTCCCTTCTTGTGCATCTTCTTTGTACTTTTTAAGTTCCATTTTCAGTTCTTCTAAAAGTGGAGCCATTTTAAATAGTTTTAAACAACCACCCGACTGAATTTTGTCATTCAAATACAATAACCAAAAATCCAGAAATCATCAAGTAATCCAAATAGACCCAAGTTATTTCTTCTTATTTCTTTTTCCGCTTTCTCTTCCTGGGGTTTTTGTTGCGATGTTTCAGTTAAAATGTATCTTTTGGAAGTTTTGTTGAGATTTTGCTGTAAGTTCTTTTTAATTCCAGGCAGTCTCCTCCCTTCCAGTTCCTGCCCTTTTATTCTTTTTCTCTCCTTTCCTGTTTTCAAAAGCTTTTGATTATCCAGAAATCTTTATTATCCCTTTGACTTTTTATTTTCAGCATTAAAGGCCTATTAATGTCAAAGTGGATTTTTTTCCAATTTCCTGCTTAAGTCTCTTAGCTGTCAGTATAGGAAAAGGAGAAAAAAAACCCAAATCTTTTCCCTTTTCTCTCTCCTTCGCAGCTTAAAAATCTTCTTACGGAACAATGTTATTGTTTTTTTTTTTAAGTTTCAATTCCAGGGTACCTTATTTGTTGCTTTTGCTGTTTAACTTGGTCAACCAAAACTTTCTCTTCTTATCTTCCTCCTGCACATTATTTTCCAGTCGAGTTCTTCTTTGTGGTGGCCATTTCTGACCACCGCTACAACCATCTTCAGGAAAAGGAGTAATGGCCAGCTGGGAAGGAGAAATGCGGCTCTTCTCAACCCTGCAGGCAGTCTCCCCCTTCTTCACCACCTCTACGGGGTGGCTTAGCCCCGACTCGGGGCACTCCAGCGGTGAGCATGGATCGAAGCCTCGCAGAGACGAGGTTTCAGTCTGTCACCAAAGAAACTCAAACCGGAAACCTTACAGGCTACCATGTTTTCTTGTATTTAAGGGTAATACTCTACTTTTTCTAAATATACTTTCTTTAAATAATTACTCAAAGTTGAACATTCTTTACCAAAGCTTCTGAATAACATTTCTACGCACAGGTAGTTTTAGAAGATAAATAAAGCTGTATGAGTAATTCTGGTCAGAGCAAAAGGTTCAAAAAATCAGGTTTAACTTTTGATGCCTCTCCATCCAATTTGGACCCAGTCTTCCCAAATCTCCAGAGAAAAAGATAATTTTCTTTACAGGAAAGTATAATATAGTGCAATTATTAAATCTCTCAGACTCATCCTAAATATAACTCAGAAGATCTGGATATACTATCTCACATTAAAAAAGAAAGTTTTTTTGCACTGCAAGGAAGTCATAGAGACACTGGCTTGATGATATGGAACTCCCAAGAAATTGTATAATAGAGACAGTACAGTGAAAGTCAGTGGTGGCAATGTCAGAAGAAACAGCTATTTTATTTTACATTTGGGGTTAAACTATCCTTAATACATACTGGAAAGAAGTAACATTTATGCTGGGCAGCATTTTCACATGTTTTCAGCCAAATAATATTATTTATGGCTGCATTAAAAGGCAGTGTTCCCTTTCAAATACTTAGGCAAATGGAATTCTGTGAGCATACAGAACTTGATTAAGTGTTGTATAAACGACAACAGCCTGCAAAATCAAAATTGCAGTGAATATCAGGTATCCTTCAGGGAGTATCAGCATATTTTATGGAGTCCATCATTCATGAATTCAGAGTCAGCCCAGCACTATCTCCATGAGTACACTATATGAAAGATTATGGTTGAATATGTTTCATTTTTATGCTGTCCAGAGTCCTCCTACAATATGGGTCATTTCTAAATGAGGGAGGAAGAAGCACAGAGAGAGAGACTGAGGGACAGGTAGGTAGAGAGATACACATAAATAGACAGAGACAACAGACAGTAGACACCAAAAACTCTATGCACTAGCTGGGTTTTTGGTTTTTTTATATATTGTTGTTATTAGTTGGAAGATAATGGACACTGAAAATGGAGCAGAGCTGGGCATCCTGGAATGAGGAGAAGTGCCGGTGGAGTAATACCTCCTTAAAAAAACCTTGGTCCAGCTGGCCCGGCTGGTAGCACCTCGTAAGGGCCACTTTCCAGGGCTACAGGAGAAGATGGTCAACAGTTTTGAAGGCAGAAGAGGGCTTTATGCCCCAACGGCAGATAAAACAGTAGATCCATCTTCTAGGATAAGGGAAACTCTGATTTCAAACTTCTGCTGTCTTATGGCTACATCTATTATTGGAAAAGGCTTCAGGAGTCAACCTCGAGGCAAAATCCAGAACCGGACTCCTGGAAGCAGTTTATGATTGTGTACAATCACGTTCTGGTAACTCCTGCGATACAGCTGGAACTAATTGTATCAACTCTGCCGTTCCATTAGACTATTTCAGTGACGTGGAGAGGGGGGAATCTGCTGCTTGGGTAACAATTTATCCTCCATATTAAATTACCCAGCCCTTGTGCTCTGGAGAAGACACTCCAGCTTTTCATATAACACTGAAACAACATGGGAAGTGGCAGTTACCGGTTTCATAGCGTGATACCACAGTCCCTTGAGACTGAAGGATGCCAATTCAATGTTAGTTGCAAAGTCATGTCTGACTTCACAGACTTCGCGACCCCATGGACAACATTCTTCCAGGCCTTCCTGTCCTCTACCACAAGGGTTGCCAACCTTTTGGACCTCAGGGACCACGAAACTCATAATTTTAGATCCCAGGGATTGCTAACCGGTTCTGTGGGCATGGCCTAATTTATGGGTGTGGCTTGATGATCATGTGACTGGCTGGGCATGGCTTGTATGTAAATATTATAAATATTTATATAAATATTGATTTTTTTATAAAAAAAGAGCAACTTTTACCCAAAATCAGGCAAAGCAGGCAGGCAGATTGAGTTGCTCACAGAATCACAGATTCATTCAGAGATCTATCTGCTATTGGCTAGCTCAGTCTGTCACATAAAATTTGCTTGCAAAATTAACTCACAACACACCATAAATATTGATTTTTTTATTTAAAAAAGAGCAACTTTTACCCAAAATCAGGCAAAGCAGACAAATTGAATTCCTCACAGAATCATTCAGTGATCTATCTGCCATCAGCTAGCTCAGTCTCTCAAGTCAGTGAGTCTGCACTGAATTTGCTTGCAAGCAAACCTTCAGTCCTAAGGGAGGTTCGGCTGTGCTGAGTTGAAGATCTAAAGACTAGCTAGAAAGCAAGAAATCCAACCATTTCCTGCTTCCTAGCTAATCTAAATCTCCCGGCACAGAACAGATGATGGTGGGAATAAGGAAAAATAGCAATTTAGCAGGCAAATTTACTGGGTAAGGAGTGAGTGGGCGGGGAGGGTTCCCACGGGCCATGTGGGAGGCACAGCCTTGTGTTTCTGTGCAGCCTGGATTAATGGCTTTAAGGGGTACTCTGGGAGTAAGATTTCTCTGCGGCCCACCAAAATTTTCTCGCGGCCCACCGGTTGGTGACCACTGCTCTACCATCCTCTGGAGTCCATTTAAGCTCACACCGACTGCTTCAGTGACTCCATCCAGCCACCTCATTCTCTGCCATCCCATTCTTCTTTTGCCCTCAATCTTTCCCAGCAGTAGGCTCTTCTCCGGTGAGTCCTTCCTTCAGGAGTTCCATCTTCAGGATCTGGCCTTCTAAAGAGCAGTCAGGGTTGATCTCCTCTAGGACTGACAGTTTGATCACCTTGCAGTCCAAGGGACTTGCAGGAATCTTCTCCAGCACCAGAGTTCAAAGGCCTCAATTCTTTGGCACTCAGCCTTTCTTATGGTCCAACTTTCACAGCCAACTGGGAAAACCATAGCCTTGACTATAGGCACTTTTTGTTTTTATATAGAAATACAATATTAGGTTATAAAAGCCTTAAACTGACATTTCTTCTGAGATTGGAAGTTAAGAAAAAAAATATCAAAGCCAGAGAGTCTCATGCTTAAGGATCAAAATTGTGAGCAAACCATATTTTATTCATTAAATTAAATTTTGAGGCTGCCCAACTCCTCCATAACTCTGGGAGACTTATAATTAAAAGAAAACAACATATATCAAACAGAGAGTACAGCTGAAGAGAAAACCTTGATACATATAAAACCAAGAAGTCAAAGGGGCATGACAACCATCCTTTCCCAGAGCCCGGGAAAACAGCCATGTTTGTTATCGTTTGTGGAAATTCAAGCAGTGTGACTTTCTGAGCATAACACTGCAGAGGACAGGGTCTGCCATCAAGAAGGCATGCTTTCTGGGTGCTGCAAGATGACACGGTTTGCTTAATGAGATTCAGAATGTGTCCACTTTATCAGCCCTCACTGGATTGGTAGACGCATATGGAGAGAAGCAAGCCCTCAAATAAGCAGGTGATGCCATGAAGGGCTTTATAATGGTAGTTAATAACTAGTACACTAAATTGCACCCAGAAGCCAACTGATAACAGTGCAAATCGTGAAGCAATGGGGACAAACACCGTGACACAACCCTCACTGGCTGCATTACCGTACTCTATACCAGGTACAAATATTGGGTAGTCTTCAAGGGCAGCCCCCTGTGGATAATACAATTTACAGTAATACAATTGTGAGAGAGACCAAAGTATAATTGAATTCCTTGGTCCTGAGGGGCCTGCTGGTTGAAGAAAGGAGTATAACAAGCAAACCAAATGAACTTGTACAAAATTTCTTTTTCTTTCAGCAGCTGTCAGTCAAAAAGGACCTCCAGACTGTGACCAATCACACAAGGCGAACAGTAACCTCACTGAATATTAAACAGGGACTATCCCCAGAAACAGATAATGAATTCTTATCACAATTAGGCCTCTCCATCCACATCTGCACAAGCTCCAGGTACTGAGCCAGGATATGGACAGCATAATTTCTTTGGCCTGGAGGCTATTGATGATTCCTGATCCCCCAGCAAATAGACGACTTCTCCCAGTAATTCCATGAAGAACCAGTTAAAACCCTAGCCAGAACACAAACAGATCATTTAGCTAATGCAGAAAAGAGATTGCAAACTACGTTAGTCAACATTTTCCAGAAAATTATACATTCACATATGTTTTCACTGGCTCTGTCCCATCACATATATTGACTTATCCACCCTAAATAAAAACTGCATTGTAAACAACCTTGCATTAGCATAACCAACCTGTTACATCCCCCAATAGTAGAGATCCAGTTCCAGATAGGAGATAATACAGTATATAACAAATGAAAAAAAAATACTAGAAACAAGTTCTCATCTTTAATAACCAGTGCCAACAAATGAAGTCATTCAATAGAATCTTAAAGAAATCCAAAACACATTGCTAGACGCAGAATCTCCTCCCTACGAGTTTATGAAAACAAAGAATGCAGTAAAAAACAACAATGATATAATTCAGAATCGAAAAACAACATTTAATGAATTATTTTAAAAACCGCCACCCTGATATAGTGGTTAAGGCACCAGGCTAAAACCTAGGGGACCATGAATTCTAGTCCCACCTGAAGCTGAGTGGGCCAGTCTCTCTCTCTCTCTCTCTCTCTCCCTCCCTCCCTCCTCCCTCCCCCCCACTCTTCTCTGCCTAAGGAAGAAGGCAAGTGACAAACCACTCCCAAAAATCTTGCTAAAAAAATTGCAGGAAGTTTCCAGACAGTATCCAGGAGACAACAATGATTTAAAGGCACAAAATAAATAAATTCAAATGTATTAAAATGCAAGCATTTTCAATTTAGCATGAACAGTCCTTATATATATATATATAAATATAAATTTGTACTACCTTCAGGAGGTGGTGGTGGAGGGAACCCTTCCATTTCCATTCTATTCTTCTTTCCCTATTGTGTTTTCTTTTCAATGTACAATAAATGATTCTGTAATAAAATACATTTTAAAAAATGAACAGCTTTTCACATTTTTAGAACATATCATATACCATATTGACTACACAATAGAAAACTTGCCTAAATGTTTAAGAACGAGAGTTTTTTGAAATCAGAGGATGGTGCTCATTTGTTGTTTGTTTGCTTGCTTGCTTGTTTGGGCCCATTGCAGAGCCAATTTGGTACAGTGGTTAAGGTGCTGGCCTAGAAACCAGGAGACTGGGAATTCTTGTTCTGTTTGTAGATATGAAGGGTGATTTGGGGCCAGCCATTGTTTCTCAGCCCAACCTACCTCACAAGGTTATTGTGGGGAAAAAACAGAATTAGAAAGAAGTAGTACAGTAGTATGTTCACCACCTCAAGTTACTTATAAAGTAACAAAGGTGGGAAAAACCTAACAAAGTAGCAGAAGACATTATAGTACAGCAGTGACTTCTGCCAACCTACAATGACAGTGTGTTTATAATAGGTAGTGCTTTATTTCAGAAATAGATTTAGATTTATTTATTTTTCAAAAATAACTTCTGTCCTCTATTTTGGTCATTTAACTTTTACCGTCCAACCTGCACCTCTTTCAAATTCTTGTGAAAAACCATGCAAATTGAATTGTCTTTTTAAAATGAATTTAAATATACTGTTTGATTTTAGATATTTTTTATTAGGATATGCATTTTGGTAAAGTTTTTCTTGGTTTTGTTCTCGAATTTTCCTTTGTAAACAGTTTGAAAATTTCATCCTTGTGAATTGCTTTCAGATCAGGTGTGTCCTTTATTTTTTTCCCCAAGAAAATATGATCGCCGCAGCCATTTCACATCATGAATCCATTCAATTCCATTTTGCTTAACTTTCATTAAGATTATTGGTGCAAGACACTTAATAAGTGGTCCTTAAACAAATACTGTGCCACAAAATCTATCTTTATTATACCAGCCTAAATTCTCCTTCATTTGTCCTAACATCTTCCATTTTTTATGCTGATACAGAAATGACTGCCTGTAGTTGAATTGTGCTTGGGTTATCATGCTATACTAACTCAGCAATTAACTCAGGCACTCGGCCAACAGCCCTTACCAATAGCAAAAGTGTAAACTCTTGTCAAAGATACTGCTAAGCCTTCTCTAAGCCTATATTATGGGTTGGGGCTACTCTGTAATAAAATAAATCTTTCTACACATAATTTGGTAGATTTATGATTAAATGGCATGAGACTTAAATCCATATAAGCCTAACTTCAAATTCATTTATAATCCTGAACAACAAGGAATTAAGGATAGATTTTGTAAGTTTAGCAACAAGAAACACAGGGTTTAAAAATGACATCAATAAGCTTTAAACCCAGAAGCAAAACTAGAACACCAGACCTAATAATGTACAGATGACCCTCAACTTACAATAATTCATTTAGTGACCATTCAAAGTTACAACCACCACAGAAAAAAAAGTGACTCATGATCATTTTTCACACTTACAACTGTTGCTCATCCCCATGGTCACATAGTCAAAATTCAGACCCTTGGCAACTGGCTCATATTATTGATGGCTGCAGTTTCCCAAGGTCATTTTGCAATCTTCTGACAAGCAAAATCAATGGGGCAGACAGATTACCTTAACAATCATGTTACTAATTTAAACAAATGAAGTGATTCACCTAACAACTTTAGCAAGAAAGGTCATAAAATGGGATGAAATTCACTTAACAACTGTCTTGTTTAGCAACAGAAATGTTCAGCTCCATTGTGTATGTTGTGAGGACTGTGCATACAGCTTGCTTGTTCTGCATTTCCATGCATTTTCGCAGTACATTAGCCCTGCCAATAGTTTATACGGAAGAGGCACACTGCCAGTACTTCTCTCCAATTTGCTTATGACATCAGCAACTTTTTGCCAGGACTGCCAAAATTTCTTGCTGGCTTCAGATTATTGCTTTACTAAAATCCTATTGAGAAACTGACACATCCACATGTTAAATTGCAAAGGAAAGGAACCACATTGCATGATACAGCCTTAGAACAGGCCACTATATGTACGGTAATACTTTTTCATCAGTTGTCGTGTGTATCGCATAGGTTGGGAAGCCTACTGAATTCATGACACGGAGATGAATAAACAATAGTAAAATGTGTTGAATTCACAAATTCAAGCATTTCATTATGGGAAATACCCTAAATTTAATATAATAAAATTTTGATCTAACATGTCATGGGCCTCTATTTTTGTTTGTTTGGGGTGTTTATCTCAATTACCTGTGAATCAAGGAGAAAAAGCCCATTGTTTGTTGAATAATTACCATATGGAATGCATTCTTTACTAAGGGGTTGCAGAACTGATACCCACAGTGGAAACTTTAATTAAATATTCCAGGGGGAGGAATTTGTTTTGAATTTCAAAAGAATACTCTGAGCAAGCTAAATATGTTTCAATGGCTTTTCAATGTTGTGATATCCATCTTACAAATACCGGGCTGTCTACAATAACATGTATGCAATCAAGTCATCTCAAAGACATGGCTATTGCTATTTACAATGTGTATAATTTAGCAATTAATTTTCTAAATCATAGATTATGATTCCATTATTTATATTCTACTTTTCTATTCGTTATCTTATTATTTTAAGAAAGAAAAGCCAGCATCAATAACTTGCTGTGTTTTTATTACTACATAATACTACATTGACATCATTTGAGACAAACCTATAAATAATTTGATTCTTTTGTATTAGTTTTCTCCTAAGCATATTTTGATTGTGAAATATTATTACAAACTAAAGCAAGTTCAAATTAAGCTTGAAGGATAAATGTTATTATTTTCTCCATAATTCAAAAAACAAATTTTAACTAACAGTTAATTAGTTATGTTTCTGCAAATGAATAAACTTAAGTACCGCTCTTACAAAGTGATATGTACTGTTGTGGTAATAAAGTACAGAATTCTAATTCATTTATTTTATAGATCCTAGTCAACACATTTTCTCTACATATTTTAGAATAAAATTAGGTACTTTATTTCAAACCATTCTCAACATACTAATTGCCATGAATATTCCTAAAATAATATTGCAGACTATCATTTATTTTCCTTGTGTTTTGTGCATTCAAGTGAGGGAAAAGCATTTTAAATTTCTGGAAAAGAATTCTAAGCTACTTTTTGTATTGTAATTCAATTATTCCTATCACCAATATAGAAGAGTAAGCAGGACAAATTCTTAACCTTGAAAGTTACCAAGTAAATTCAGAGGTTTGGCAGATAAAATACAAGCTTTGTAACAACTGAAACAAACAGATTTTTCTAAACAGAACTTCTGTGCTGCTTGTATGGGTTAGCTGCTTATCCACTCATGGACTAAAGGATTAGTTAGTTGTTCATTAGAATTACTATTCCCTAAATTTGAATCGGGACTATCAGGTGAATGATGATGTATTAATTTAATGCCCTTGCATTTCTGAGGTTGCAGATTCCAGTTTATTTGCTTTTAGTTAGTTCTAACAAGACAGTGTTGTTTTTTTTAACAGATCTTCCAAACCACCACAAGCAATGGTTTGATGTGTGTTTGTACATATGTTTTGCTTCTCGTTTCATTACATTTCATTCCTCTTCCAGTATAGTCTTTCTTACCAATTATAATTACAGATAAGATAGGCCACCTTTAGCACAAGTTTGAATGATGTGATATTCAATTTAGGACAGATTGTAAATTGATACCAGGTTGCCCTCTTGTCCTCCTGTCTCCCAGAGTTTGCTCAAATTCATGTTCCTTGTGTCAATGACGTATCTAACCACCTCTTCCTTTGCCTTCCCTTCTCTTTTTTGGTTTAAATTCCCAATCTCAGGGTCTTTTCCAATGAGTCCTCTCTTCTCATTTGAAATGTGTGAGTAAACTCATCTAATTGTGCACATTCAATAAATGAAAGTTAAAACAATTAGAGTTAATGCAGTATGCAAATCTCATCTCTACTTTCCTATTACAATCTACAATCATCCTTTCTGTAGCTTCACAATGGAGTCTATAGTTATTCAGGGGCCTTAAGGCCATTTTTCTTCTTTAAAATCTTCCAAAACAATTGTTCTGTCTTTCTAATACTAATCCTTGTGACAGCCTCCAAACTCTTGTCTACATTATACTAGATCATAAATATTAGTGCACCAAGTCATTTATTCATTTAAAGTTGGATCTTTTTGAGTGATCAACCAATTTTCTTGCTCTAATCTGCAACATAAAATGGAAATCTGGCTCACTTACTGAGCCATGTGTGAAAAAAGCAGGTTTTCCTTCACTGCTGGTATCAAATGCAATTCTGCTCAGACGGGTTTTAAAAAAAGAAATAAAACTTAGAACTCTGCGTGAATAAAAAATATCTCTCCATTGATAGTTTCTCTACAAAGGCTGCTTTTCTTTTCCTCAAGTGTTCATTATATAAAATATTCTGGGAATTTCCTAATTCATTTGAATGTTGAAATACACAGTGAACTGCCAGACAAAGTATTTTAACAAAGTTTTCCAGTTCCTAAAATTCTGTCAAGTGGATATACATACAAAGATGAACTGGACTGAAAACAATGCTTCTAAATATTTTATCTAAAATATTTAAAGTTCATCTTTCTGCACCTGTGGCACTCAAGAGGAGCCTTCATAAAGCCATATAATATTGAAAGCAGAATTTTTAAAAGTTATTAAATATACATAGACACAGGTCATCATATGTAATATAAGTTCTTTGTTTGGTGAATTATGAAATATTGGAATAGCATGATGAGCACACCATGTTTTATACCATACAGTATCTTACAACAGTTATTTCTTAGATTGCATTACAGTTTTCTCAGCTTCAAATAATCTCTTGAAAAATAATGTTGACTTATCTAAAAGTTAATCAACATTTCAAATAAAAGATAAACATTATATTCTGTAATTCAGCATGTTGAGCTTTCTTCAAATTGATGCATCATTATATTTTCAAGGTCTATCATCAATTATTCCTGAAAAAAGTGTCTAAAATCTAAAGTAGTATTTGTTCCTCTCTACATTATTTCTCACATTTTCAGAATATTTTCATGTTAGTTAAAGGTGATAACTAGTTGTGGCAGAATGCAATTAATCATAAATAATCATTATATTGCTAGAAAGCTGTTGAGGATATGGCAAATGACTTGTCCAAGATCTGAACACATGGGCAAAGCTAGGACTGAGCCACAAAACACAAATCATTCATTTGAAGTCAAGAGTTTTTTCATACAGAATTACCCTTTCCAAATCTTCTCAGCCATTCAGCATTCTAAGCCCAAGAATTCAATAATTTTAAAATCCATCTCAATTCAGCAGCTGACAGGTTATCTAAAACAATGAGATTTCCTCCCAGTCTCTCTAAGTTAGAGACTTCAAGTAAGAATTATGCCCCACAGCCATATTCCAAAGTGTTGGTTGGGTCAAGGATGAACACTTAACTAAAACTGACATTTTATTTCAACTGACTTACTTATACTTAGTGCATGAATACATACATTTAGTATATTTATTATAAGTAATATCTATACAATTAACACTTTCTTCCTTTTCTTGTTCAAAATTAACAATTCAGAGGCTTCATTTAACATTGCAAACTTATCTTCTGCACTCTACCTAAATGCTCCCATTGTTCTTTGAAAGTCTTTAGAGTATTAACTACAGCCTTTTAGGTCCCTCTTTCAAATAATTCTCCAGCAACTCCCATTTTTGTGCCATACTCCTCAAGATCGCTTCTCATACCTTATAGATGGAAAAAAATATATAAAGGAAAACAGTGATCACCACCTCCACACACACACACCATTCTCTTGACTCTCAAAGTCTTCAGAAGATAAATCTGGCAGGTGCATAAATTTATTTATTTAATCAATTTATCAGCCAGCCCTGATAACATACTTATTTTCACTTTCCAGCATTAGTGGAATCACACAGAAACTAGTTCCAAAATAAATCACAGATATTAAGGGACAGAGAGATGTTGATAGGTCCCACCACAAGAAATGACTTCAAGTTGGCACAGGTAAAGTCTCAAGTTATTGGTAACTTTTTTTTTTCAACAGAAATTTTTTTTTACAAGAAATTCCAACTTTAAAATTGCAGGAATGGTCTAGATGTGCTGATAATTCAATAATGGCAGCAAAGGTTTTTTTTCTGCAATCCCTAGGAAGGAAGGAATCATCCTAAATGAATTTTCTGTATAAAAAATTACTAATCAGTAAGATCTCTATTACACCTCTTCTTCAAGAGCTCAAGATGAGTTATCTGGAAATTTCCCTTTATTTCCACAACTACCCTGTGAAGCACCGGCTCAGATAACCACACCAAAACACCTGTCAATCAGTCATCTAACTACTGCATCCCCAATCATTTCTATGTAAGGTGATTTTTTTTTTTTTGCTGGGGGGGAAAGCCACCTCTTGCTACAGAAGTCAAGAAAGCATTTCTATAGTCCCACACAGCATCTTCTAGCAAGTCCACAACTGGGCAAGTGAATAAAACTGAGCAGTGAACAGGCCCTTTTCTGCATGTAATCAACTGATCATTTTCTTGTGCAGATTCCATCTCTTTTGCCATACCCCTAGTGAGCCTCCCTCTTTTGCAATAGACACTGGAGAGGATTAAGGAGGAATCAGGATGTACACTTGGCACCACCACCCTCTTTCCGAAGGAACTTTTACACTTTGGGAAGCTACCTAGCTGACCCCATTCTGTGTAAAGCAGGCAGCCGCAGACACCAACATTTATAAATGAAGAAATGCCCCTACAGATTGCTCTCCTGCACAGCTGGTTCACAACTCAATTCCATAGTTAAATTGTTTCATTCTTAAAACATGCCCAACCCCAGAACATCATCATCCTGCACACAGACAGAGAGAGAGAGAGAAATGCTGAGCACCAATAACTCTAGACAGAACTCAAACCCACAGATTTAATTAGATACATTTATTAAAGGACAAACACATCCAGCATTTATGTTGGGGAAGAGAAAACCTCCCCTCTCCGTGCATGTTTACTTTTTTTTTTTTTTAAAAAATGAGATCCTCCCAACTCTCTTTTCCAAAGTGTCTTGCTGAGCAAAACCATTCCACAGAAAACTCCTTTGAACAGTTCTGGCACCCAAAGCCTATGCCTATATACGAATTTTTTCATCGTGACACCATCAGTTTTCTGGATCCAAGAGGCTGCACACCCAATACAACACACACACACACACGCACGCACACAGACACCCCACATACCCCGCTGTGGATGAACCACGGCTCCATAGGGGGAAGGAGACGAGAGGGACATACTCGGTGGGGCTCCCCATAGGGAACAACAAGTAAAACTTCTCTTTCCCCCCTCCACCCCACCCCACTCCCTCCGCCCCTGAGCCAAGCGCCTGCAAAGGGTGAACGGAGAGAAAAGGCGCGCGGGGTGGGGTGGGCAGAATTTAAGCTCCCGTACTCGGGAGCCCATTTCCACACGCGCCTCAACTTTCTCCTCCGCAAAAGCCCGTCTCTGTCCCGGTCTCGCCTTTAAGGATGCCCTAAAAAAGGAGCTTTCAAACCCCCTCGGCCGAAAGCCAAGCCCGTCCAGCCGGCATCGCTTTGGTCACCTTTGCAGCCTCCGGGCACTGTCACCACCGCCCTCCACTCCTCCGGCTTTCACCGATGCTGAGGTCCCCTCCTCCGAAACAAGCAGGCGGTCAGCATTTCGCCCGCACGCTCACGCAGGCTACCCTGCCGAGCCGAGGATGTCGCCGAGACCTCGAGCATGATTGGAGGAAGCCGGGGAGGATTCGCCCCCTCGGGTTGGCTCTCCCGAGTGCCACTCCAGCGGTTGCTCCGGCTTTTGCAGAGGAATAGGGCGCTGCGAGGAGCAGAGCTGCGCCGCCGCCGCTCCAGATCCTTTCTTTCCACCCCCGTACACGCATGCATCGCATTCCTTGGTGCCCACGTGACCCGCCTAATTGCTCTCGATTGTACAGCTGGGCTTGCGCGGAGTAAGGCGGCTGCTGCAGCCAGCGTATCCACTCTTGAATGCGGTCCAGGTTGTCCTGGCTAGTTTCTCTTTCAGCAAAGGAGGCTGCTTCCAAAAAAAACCAAAAAAAAAATCATGTGAAAAACCCCTCAATTGTCACTACAAACAACACATTTGGCATTTTCACCTCGTTTTCCACAACTTTCGGTCGCCCTGAGGAAAAGTTCCACACCTTTCGGTCGCCCTCCTTAATTCCAGTGGAAGCCTTCTGAGGTATCCCCGCCCTGAGGAGTCACTCAGTCCGCCTTCTTACACAGGCGGTGCGCTAAATCTGAATGTCTTTTTAAGCAGTTTTGTTGGCTTAGACCACAACCTGGCTGAATTATTTATACAGAGCTTAAAGTTTCCTGACGGCCTCTTTCCAGTGATGCTTCCAGTCCTAGATAGGGTGGTCTTCATAGCCACTTTAAGCGACACTTTTTGTAAGATGAATAGAAGCAATCCGTTTTGTGTCTTAAAAAGTTGCTGAACGGGATATTTTTTTGGTTGCTCTTAACAATAATTGCTATTTGGTAAATGTCCCAACAATAAATCAAGGTAACTTATTGTGTAATTCTATAGTAGTGCCAACAGGTCGCTGGGCAGTATATAAATTTAATACATGAATTATGGACTATAGAAATAAACCAACATTAGGCCCAGGCAACAGGCCAATCGGTCAATTTTTTGTAGCAATCCATGGATCTGCAGCCAAAATGCAGACATGACTCTGACACTGTATTTGATTGTGCAAGATAGTATTCACTGATCCGAAAAGCAGACCCTGCATCTGTGGGAATTATGCGACAATGACAATGATAGAAATGATATGGTAGTTTGGTCTAATGCTTTAAAGCATCAGGTTAGAAATTAGGAGATCCCAGGTATAAGAGCCAGCTGGTGACTTTGGGCCAATCACTCTCAGCCCAACTCACCTCACAGGATTGTTGTTCTTGAGAAAATAGGAAGAAATATTAGGTATGTTTGCCACCTTGAATTATTTATAAAGTAATAAAGGTGGGTTAAAATTCTAATAAATAAAAATAAAGAGCATTGTCAACTTTTTGCCCACTTCATAAATAGGGTCCTTTGAAGATTGATAACATGGAGTTTACAGTTCCACATTGTTGCATCTAGAAGCTAAGGAAGCTGCATCATTTGAATTTATATATACCACAGGTATCAATTGTTCAGGGCCCTCAGAAAACTGGATTTCACTTTTTTTAAAAAAAAGCTTAAAAGCTTGCTTCGTTCCCAAGAAAGTATACATTTCTTCCCTTTCACCATGCCTTTTTTTTCCTGGGCAATAAAATTAAAATACACAATGAGATACCATCAGTTGTCAACAAAAGTAATTCAGACACAAATCATTTTTTATTGTTAGTTCCATATTACATTAGCACTGAGGGGTGGAAACCATAGGGCATCAGCAATAAGCACCGTTGCCACTTTTCATGTCTAATCCTCCAGTCCCAGCAAGGCAGCCTGAAAACTTAGCAAGAGAGATTAAAATTATTATTCACAGAATTCCAAAAATATAGCTTTTCTTTTTGAATCAAAATCTCTAAACCTAAATCTTTAAACTACAATGCTTCCAAACACAAGGGGATATGGCTTCAAACATAATACTATAGAAGCAAAACAAATGACTAGATAAGAATGGTTGAATATAGAGATGGGGCTTTAGTTTTTTCTTAAAACACAGGAAAAGGGGGGCAGTCAGAACTGGAAACAGCTGTTGGCACCATGGGTCTTCACCTTTTGTACCTGCAATAAACTCTTTAGAGACAATCAGAAATCTCAGCTTATGAAATAGGGTAGAAGCCTATTTATATACAGATAGGTTCCAGGCTGTTTAGGAATTTATATATAATTTAACTTAAAACTTTTTCAAACAGGAATCATGTCAGGAACCACCCAATAGAAACCTAGCTGCCACATTCTTTTGAGTGGTGGCCCCTTCTTTACAGATCATCATTCCCTATGAGGCACAGCTGGCCCTCACCCTGTTGCTCTTCCAAAAGGCCCCCAAAATATTTTGTTAGCAGGCCTGGGGACCACAAATAGAGATGGAACTGATCAGTGGATGATTTGATTGTCTTATTGCCATGGGAGGATGGAGTGGGGTGATTTTTTTGTATGGGTTTTTAATACGAGGTGGATTTTTTTTAATGTTATAAGCTGCCCAGAGCCATCTATGTGTGACTTGGGTGGGTGTATACATTTGTTTAATAAATTAATAATTCTACATCCATAATCATTTTTTTTTTAACTTCCTTCAATTGTCTAATTGGGAAGGAACTGGAACATGGGTAATAGTAGCCCAATTACATTTTTTTCAGAGAAGGGATGCCATTCATAGATCGTCTGCAGATGGAAAAAAAGTATTCCTTGATACTATACCAGCCTGAGGATCAAGAGCAGAGGATCAAGAGGCTGTGTTCCTGTTTCTTCAAGTTGGATGGGGTGGGGACAAAACTTAGAAGTCATTTAAATGATATCTTAGGCTGGGACAACTGATCATTTCAGTCAGCCACCAAGAATTCAACAAGTTTAATATGAAAGCAAACTTCCTTGCTAGGAATGAAGGTGTCAGCCTTCAAGATTTTCTCCCTTTGCATCTTTTGGCTATCATAAGTAACGGGGAGGAGGGAGGAAAATTATGGGAAGTGAGCTGGAGGTGTTACAACCTAGAACTGTATAAACTGGGGGGGCGGGGGAGTACATTCTTGCTTAGGTTTCTATTCCGTGCTTAGCTTTCTCTTCTATGCGCAGCTGCAAACCTTTATCAAAGTATGCCAAGGTCAACGGACAGAAGCCTCATCACCACCTGGAGATGTCCACATGATATTCACAACTTAATTGGAAGAACCATTTGAAATATTGGGGGTGGGAACATTGCCATTGCTTTGTATGTGATTTACGCGCCCATTTTCTCAGATTCAGAATTCTTTTGTTGCTACCACTTGATTTCCAGTAAGATATCTTTTCTCTAATTAAAAGAGTCTAAGTATTTCTTTCTTGGATTTTGCATGGATCACCAGCTGACAGAAGGAAATGAAAGAATGCTGTCCCTTCTTTCCTGTTTTATTTTTATTGGGACGAGAACTGCAAAGAGGATATGACAGGAAGCAAATTAATAAACTACTAATATAAATGAAAATTATATGCCAATGTTGTTGTAGTAACATACTCATCCAAGCCAATAACAATATACAATAGCAATAACAGTAGCAATAACAATAACAAATAACAATAGCAATAACAGGGTTTAATATTATTGCTTAAAAAATCAGATACCTGGGAATTTACTTAACAACAAAAATAGAGATTTCTTTATGAATAACTATTTCAGATTTAGAAATGTATAAAGGGAAATATATTGTGATGGAGAAAGTTAAATGGAAGGGAAAATGTTACACATAGTTAATATCACGCTAAAAGAAACTAGTATGTTTATGTTTTACTGGTACTGATTGCAAAATATGTATCATTTCTTCTCTAAACATTGGAAATGAAGTAATAAGGCTGGGTCACTTTTTTAACATTTTGTGGCAATGATATAAAGCCCCCAAATTTGGAAAATGATTTATAATAAAATGAAAGAGATTGTAAAAATTTAATTTTCAACCTTCTATTTTTGAGTTAAACTAAACGTTATCACAATGTATATAACAAGCTGCTTTTCTTGGGCTGTGTTGGCACAGTGGTTAGAATGCAGTATTGCAGGCCAACTCACTGCTCACTGCCAGTTTGATTCTGACTGGCTCAAGTTTGAGTCAGCCTTCCATCCTTCCAAGATTGGTAAAATGAGATCCAGATTGTTGGCGGAAATATGCTGACATTGCAAACCACTTAGTGCTGTAAAAGCACTGTGAAGCGGTGTATAAGTCTACTGTAAGTGCTATTGCTATTGCTGTTTTATACAAACATAATCACCAAACCGACATTACACCGTTTGAATCCCACCCCTGGTTTAAAGTGTTTGTATTCTGGCCTTTTTGCTTGAGTTTTATCACAACTGGACCACAGCAGGTTAGTAAGGCTATCATAAATAGATCACAGAATAAGTAAACTGATAGATTTGGGTAGTATAAAATAGAAATAGAAACAACATTCAGCAATGAGAGACAATTCCTTCCTTGGATAATTGTGAACAAGATTAAATTGAACAACTAACATCTTGATGTAAATATATAGTAAACCACATTTGAAATGAAGGATGCAATTCGGATGGCATGGTACCATTCCAGAAAAGATATAGTACTTGAAGATTACAAACCATGACATGGATTCTGGTTTTTCCTTTCCACGAATGGGCAAAAATATTGTACTGTGTAATTTACTAAGAGAGGGAGAGACTAAATGGAAATATGATAAATGTTTATGAAGCACAATAAACAACAAACAGCTCCCTAGACTTCAGGTAATATGAAATAATCCGGAACTAGTTCAGATTAGACAAAAAAAAGTATAGTTTCTTACAAAAAGGCAGCAGTTGCTACTGGCTTAATTTGTAAAATCACAGAGGACAAGACTGTTAATGGCTAAGTATGGATTTTGGTAGCACTGAATGCTGTTGCAGATTGAATATAGATTTTCCCATCATGGTGTCCTCCAGATACTCTTAATTTCCAAACTTTACAGCTTTACAACTTTATTATAATATTTGGGAATACCGGTTTACACAATTAATACCTCCAAGTAGTACCACAACTAAGTCCATGTCTTTTTTTATTCCACATACAGATATCAAAGTATCTCAGTGGCTATTGTGATTGACAGGAAATGAAATTAGATAGGACTTCTGGGAAATTGCATTTCAATATATTAGGGAAAAAATGATTAAACTAAAAATGCTAGAAACTATTTTGTTTACTGACAAGAAAGTACATTTCACTGCCCATTATTTTAACTGCAAGCAAAAAACTGTAAAGCTTATTAATTAATCAATTTTTAAAAGGAAAGAAAGCAATACATTTATTAGCACAATCAATTACGGAGGAGCAAGAAAAAAACAATATAGGAAATATATTTGCTGCATAAAATACTTTAAAAATAAAGTTCTTATTTTTAGGAAGTAGTTATCCTCCATTTGCAGATGATATGTAACTGGGGGCGGGAATCAATATAAACACTTTTTTTTTGTTAACTGCAAGGAGATGTAGAGGAAAATAAAAGCATGACATCTCAATAGCAAAGAGTATAAATAACTATCTCACGTTCGACCTTATCAATATTATTTATGTAGGAAAGTCGTAAACCACATTTTGTAATATTTCATAGTGCCAGTAGAAAACAGAAAGGTGCTTAATTCCCTCCCACTCCTACTTTTCTTCATTACAAAGTGCACATGATGACTTTTCTTCAAACTGAAGCATATTTTAAAGGTCATTTGCATGAAAAATAACTTGTAGCTGCTAAGAAATATTTACAAAATGCAAATAACCTAAACTGGCTTGCAATTAAGAACAAAGCATAGCTGAAACACCCAAATTTCTCATATGATATCTAGTTCAGCTCTCACATTTGAATAAAAAATGAAATTCTATCTATACATGTGATTTCATTAAACTACTGCAGATGCCCAACGCCTACTATTCTTCTTTTAGAAAGTACTCTACTCTTAGGGGGAAAAAAGAGAAGTCTTATTTCTGTTGCAAATTTGTCCAACTGCCCCAGCAAAATTCCCATTTCTATTATTTGGACCTACTTATTCTTTTGGTGCTAAGCAGCAAAGAACCATTGTAACAGAGATCTTTTATATTTTAGTCAGAATGCATAACCTGCAATCACAGAATTATGAAGCAATGCATAAGTTCTTCCCATCCATTTCTTGGTGTGGTGCTCATGGTCCCCAAGGCTGCCATCAAATACCAAATATGACAGCAGGATAAACTATTACATGTATACATCTTAAATATGCATAAGGAATAGAAAAATTAAATCAAATTTAATGGAGGTGTGGCCTGACCTCTTTTGGAACAGAAATGACATATATTCAGGAGAGGGATTCTAATCAAAATAATCTTTAGCAGCAGCATTCCTAACTAAATCACAGTACTCAGTCAGGGGAAAAATATAGACTGAATTATTGAAGGCAACTGAGATAAATGAAACCTCAAGGGTCCAAAGTATGCAACTTTTTCAGTGGCCAATAGACGTATTTGATTGCTTCCATTTTTTCAAGCTGCAAATGTTTAATAAAAAGTTTTTGTTGTGCAAACTGCAAGTAGTTTGCTATTTCGATTAAAAATAAGCAAACTGCTAAACCTCTGCTATCTAGAAACAGATCCAGTGTCTTGGTCACAAAATAAACTGCGACTTCAATATCAAAAGTATATCACTATCCTTTTGAGGGATTGCAAACGAACATTTATCGCTATATGTTCATTAGAGAAATGCTAATCATTATGACTGGGAAGACCAGTCATTTTGCCCAGACCTCAAGGAAAATGCAATTAAACAGAATTTTTCTGTGATTTTTCATAGAAAACAACAATGGGCAGGTCGTTATCCTCCAGAAATGATGTATCAGTAACAATTCTAAAATGTCTCTGACTGGATTTTGATCCCAACCCGATCTATATTAATGGCATTTAACCTTATTTCAGGGTCTCTTTTTGACAGGTGACTGTAAACATGGTCACAACCATCTTCAGAATGCAGATTTTCAATTTTTCATCTCGTACTATGCTGCTACTCAAAAATATAAGTACAGTCAAGAAAAATACATTAGTCACATTATTCCCAGTAACATTTTAGCTAGAAATATGGCATAATTCAAAATATCAAGAATGAAGAGTAGTGAAGATAATTTAAGATACTACCTTAACTTAGATTATTATTATGCTGGTCATTAAGATTTGATTGATAAATGGATTACAGAGGTTCAAGCCAAGTTTTTATACGTGCATGTAGATTATGCAAAAGTTTGCCTCTCTGAATTGTTATTCTTTCCAAATAATGACTAGAGCAAATGTTTAATACTTCTTGTATGCCTAACTTTCACAATTGTAATACTGTTTCCTAAACAGGGGAAAAATAGAAATTGGAAAAAACTTTAGATGCTAACATTTTGTGCAGTTTTATCACTTTTACTAGGTTGTTTTATCAATTTTACTAGGGTGGAAAGAGAAAGAGATGTTTCAAAGTATTTCATTTACATATTTCCATACTGAGTTTGAATATAAAGCATTAATCTCATATTCTCATGCATTGTATATTACCTGTCCTATACTAAAAGAATATATACCAAACTCAAAGTATTATCTTTTATAGTAGTTGTATATTCCAAATAATTTTATAACATGCTGGGTCACAACTGCCATTAGGTGGCAGTGTTCAATAACTTTCCATTGAAATACAGTATTAGGTTAAGGATTAGTTTCAGCAATCTTCACAGTAACTAAATATTGGAATAGCTAATAGCTTCTTTTAAAATGCTTAGCTTGAGAAAAGTTTTAAGATTTATAAATTGATGTTGGATTTTAGGGCCTGGGATTAACAGAATAGAACAAAACTTAATAGAATTTTATAAATTATTTGTCTAAAACTTGGGGATGCAAAAAGCTGGAAGCTCAACCACCTTCAATATTTCTCATAATGAAATGCAAAACAGCAGCTTTCCGGAGGTGCCATATCAAAATTTGAATGCGTTATGTATTGGAAATAATCTTTAAGGTCTATAGCTTTTCTACTGGCCACTATAGCATGTTAAAGAGAAATATTTTTTAAAAATGTTAAACCCAAGTCATGATCATATTTTCAATGTCCAATTACTCTCTAAACTAAAGTATATTTCATAATGTTCTAGCATTGGTGTTAAACATTTGGATGTTTTTCTAGGAAGAAAATGTAATGTTACCCCTCCCTTCTCATATTAGATATTAAACTGGATTGGCATTTGGCATTCATTAGATAAGGTAGCAAAACTGTACTGGACATTCTTTGAGACAAGACCTAGAATCTTTTCTAGACTGTAATCTGTCTGACAAGCTGACATGTTCAAAATAGCAAGTCCTAGAAGCAGCAATGCAGGTTCTAAAGACAGACAGACAAGGCAGTTTGTTTCCTGCACTTTGCTGGTTTATAAAATATTTCCTCATGTGACTAAGAATGTCCGACATTTAGGACACACCTGCAATATTCATTAAATGAGGTTAATAATATTCCCAATTAGATAACATTACTAGAAACTAGTAATTTAGATCCCTTGATAGGCACAGCTTCATATTCCCGGCTCTCCGTCTTATTTATTTCTGACCAGATTTTACGGTAACCCGTAGAGATCCAAGCCAGTTTCAGAGCCCCTTCTTCTGGAATGTTTCTCCATTTACTTTCACAGATGAACCATTTTTCATTGTTCTATCACTAAAATTCCAGTCAACAGGAGAAGAAAGTTGAAGAGTCTTTTTGTATGTCCAGTACGGATTAAGTACGAAGGTAACAGCACTCAATCCTGTTAATAGAACAGTAAAATATAGGAATCCCAGATTTTCCATCACAGCATTCCAATTGGAAAGACACACCCACCACATATGGTAGGTAAGCATCATGCGGCAGTGAAACATGTGGATCATTATCCACTGACTTGCCTTCCATAAGAAAGTATTAGCTCGGCCAGCCTAGAGAAAAAGAAAAAAGAAACGCAAGTTAAAATACCAAATAGATAGAACTGAAACGTAGTTCATATTTCACATGAAACAAGAACCATATTTGCAAAGTTAAACCATTAAAGAACCTTACTACTTCCACATTTGTTGAAAGTTACGAAAGAAGCAGGGAATCTGAAATAAAACTAGCTTATGAGTAAGGACTTGATTAAACATCTGGATGACCTTTTGAAGGAAAAATGGAATGTCACCAAGAAAAACTATTAGGAAGTATGCTTAAGTTCTTCCAACTCGAGCGGATTTATGCCTTTTTGTCTCATGACTGAAAAGGATCACTCAAAGGAAAAATAACCTTTTGCATATGTCAAGACAACAACTTTATAATCCATGCCCTACATCAGTTACAAAACTGGAAAATGCAGGAGAAAATGTCCCAACACATAAATCTTAAGAGGACTGCTCCAAAAACAGACTTATTCCACAACAGATCTATATTTAATCTGTGGGGTTTGTCAAATCCATAGAAAATAGTACCTCTTAATTCTACTTCTTAATAGCTATACCTCTTAATTTAAATAAAAAGAGGGATGTCTCCGGCCATATTATCCCAGGCTGCATTACTAGAAGTAGAATTCAATTGAGAAGAAAGAGCCATTTTAATCTAGTAGTTAAGGCAAGTTCTAGTGAGTTCTAGTCTGAAAGCCAGCTGGGTGATCTTGGGCCATTCACACGCTCTCAGCCCAATCCACCTCACAGGGTTGTTGTTGTGGAGAAAATAGGAGAAAAGTGTCTGCTCTATTTGTAAATAAAGGCAGCATATTCATGAATCTGTCCTTTAATATTCTAAATCCATCTTACTAAACATCTTTATGGTATTCAAAGTACTCTTCTAATAAGGGTAATGTAAAATTGGAGGCTTCAGTATTCTGATGTAAACTTACTATAACATGCAATGTCTCCCACCCATCCAAATATCTCTAGAGAACAGCTTGAATCAGAAGTGGGCTGCACATACCTTAACAACCAATTCACCAAAAATGTGAGTGCATGCACGCATGCCCCCTGCACACGCAGCTGCAAAAATAAGGGAATTTCCTTCACGCAACAGCCAGGGTGAGATTGAGCAAAGTGCAGAAAGCAGCAGGGCTGTGAGGGCAGGTGCGCGAGCAAAAAGGTAAGATATATAGGACTGGACAGGTGGGCAGGCCCAACTGGTGGTCCAAACCATCAGCAGCCCACCACTGGCTTGAATCCTAAGGTAGGGGAAATCTGAGAATTTCTAACCTCTCCCTTCTTTTACTCACTCAGGACATTACTTAGCAATATAAATCATGTTTTATGTGAACTGTTAACTAGACCAGTACAGTATGTTCAATTCTAGCAGTATCTTAAGGGAAACATTTGAATTTTGAGTCAGGTTCCAAAACTGCTGTGATTGTTATTTCACTTAAACATAAACAGATGGCCAGAAGCCTTCGTGCACAAAATCTAAACAAATGATACCTACTTGACATTCATATGGAAGCAAAATAACCCACAGTGTTTAAATTGCTCAATTGTTCCTATGAATTTAATTGTTCCTTAATATTTTGAAAGAAATCCTGGAGATCATATCTGCTTGGAAACACCATGGTTCATCATCTAATATGTAACAGTGGACAGTTCATAACTAGTCAAATATAATAAAAAGTATACCCAAATGTTTTTCAATTTATATTACTTACAATTAGGTTCAAAATATTAATATTTCCACAAATGATTATCAATCTTCATAAATCAAAAGTGTCATTAACCATAACTGATGTATACCTATTCTCTTTTACTTTTAATATTCAAATCTAGAAAGGACTGGTTGGGTTCATATCATTTACTCTTTTGTTTTCTATAGTTATTTTAATCTAGAGGAGGCTGGTTGAGCTCACATAAAATATTTAGTCTAGATTGTAAAAGTATAGCCTGGAATGACAGGCACCTATCAGCATTCCTTTTACCTCCTCTACTGACATAATTTTGCCACTGCTACACCTCTGCCAATTCCCAGGAATTAAAAAAATAAAATAATGTACGTCTTATGGCCAGAGACAAATTGCCCTTTACATTCAATGGTTGGGCTCAAACAAACTGTATTATGGCCCAGCATAATGTATGAACCAACCACTACTTGGAACCATCTGTTTTTCCTTTTTTCTCTTTGGCCCTACTTTGGAAAGCTTATAGTCTTCCCAATGTTTAAGCAAAACTCCCATCACCCCCAGCCACAGGCTGAGTTGTTTTAGAGCTCAGCAATATCTAAAAGATTACAAACTTCCTACCCGTACATTAAATAATAAGCACTTGTAACACAATTTTTGACCTGGTTTTTAGATTTCAAATTTACACATAAGCATGTACTGAAATACTGTCTAAATTGTTTGCATTTCTGTCATAAATGTTTACAATACTGTTTTCAATTTGCAATCTAAAGTATAGTATCATGTATGCTGTCTAGAGAATTCTATTGCTTTAAAGGAATACTATTCATATATTCAATTTATAAAGCTGAATAACAAGTGACTCGAAGTGGCATATTCAAAAATTGTAAAACAAACTATCCCAATAAAGCAGCTTTAAGGGAGAGCTTCTGAACTATTGCATATACAACTCTCCTCTTATTGCTTTCTCTGCCACCTCCAAATGAAGGGAGCAAAAGTTTACATGGATTCCATTTGCTGTCATTTCCCTTATCTATCCTAATGACGCATTGTTCACTTCCCCTTTAAGGTCTTAGGGAAAGAGAAGATATTGTATTATGTCATGACCTCACAAACAAGGTTTTACATAACTTCCTCAAAAATTATGAACTTTTGTTGACATCAGAATGTAGTTGCAACATTCTCCAAACAGAGCTCAAGATCATTTTTATTTTCTTGGATTGGTGGTATTGTGGGGCAGTCAACAAGCAATCCACAGAAATAGCAGTTTTAATCTATGGTTCCATGTCACAGGAAAAATATTCAATTATGTACGTGGTTCACAATATTGTAAAACGGGACACTATACGTATTTCATATAGAACTACATCTCATTTAACTACTTAAAACAAGCTCACAGATAACAGTAGTCTTCCATTTAGTGTGGTAAATCTCCATGTGCCAAACCTATAATGGATTGAAATTCTTAATACAACTTTAGTTCTTCATTGGGATGCACACTAATTATCAACATGAACTGTTTCAGGTCAGATTAGAGTTCGTGTAACTCAACATTCTTATTAGCTACAAAGGAAAAGGACAGTTATCTTGGCTCCCCCTCCTTCCCCCAATAGGACCACTGAATGGAATTAACAATTACATGGCTAATTTCTACAGTGTTATTTTAAGTCTCAAATGCTTCTTAACTCTTCCAGTGACATTTCCCATCGTCCCCAAACTGGCTGGAGACAAGTACAGAAAGTTGTTTACCCTAACCAGATTTATTGATTCTACAATATTTTTCCAGAACAAATGTTTTGGATGCATTTGTATTCTAAAACAGAGTCCTAGGTTAAATTTAAAGCAGCATTTAAATTTAAAGTATGAATTATTCAATCAAGGGTTACTCCTAGCTGTTGCTCTACTGCTTAATGTTCTAGATGTGAGGATCAGTTAATCTTTTCAAGTGCATATTTATTATGACACTCTACTGTAACAGTTACAGATGAAGAACAATAGCAGTGAGGACCTCCAAGCAGCTTTTTATTCAGACATGGGCCTAGGCCTGATCACTCAGTGACTCTGAATGGAAATACATACAATAACAGAGAAGAGATGGAGAATTAGATTCTAGATATGAGATTCAGCAAGAAAAAAGAGAAGAGTGAGAGTTGTAGCCTGAACCTTGCAGAATAAAATGCCTCATTACTGAAACAAGCTGTCATCATGCTCTCAGAATTGCTGCAATTCTAGCCTGTTTTGCAATATGGATTTCCACTGGGGACTAGTCCAGACAAGAGATGTAATTTTATGTAGCAACCATAGCTCTCCTTTGCTCACTGTTTTCTCACCTTTAAAAGTATCCAAGACATGCAAGTGAAAGGTGTACTCATCTCAAGTAGCATTCCCATCAAAGGTATGTAATGTCCAGATTTTATGTTGGTTATCAGACCCAAAAAACCACCAAAGGCAAGAAAATGGTGAACAACTACAAATAAATCAAATGTTTTAAAGATAAAATTAGAAACATGAACGGCTACATTTTCTAGCAAAAAAAAGCCAGCGGCTACGAGGCAACTGAACCAACTCCAGTCCTGTTGGGAATAAACCTTGTCAGCCTGAAAAACTGGATCTAGAAGTAAAGCCCAGAAGCCAGCCACACAACTCTGAACCCCGAACACGCCTCGTGTAGCAGCCAGATTCCAAAAGACTTTCTCCTTTGCTGACAATGAGCGGTAAGTTATACTCAACCATGAAGACAAAAAATGTGAAAAACAAAATATTCCCAAGTAGAAAAAGAAGCCAATGGTCACTAGTGCCAAACGAACTTCCCACAGAAAATAATTCCAGGCAAATATGGATTTAGATGTTGCCTCATCATTTGGACGATTCATGTCTACTTATGTTGAGGTGGTTTGGGTAGCATCCACTTGTCAGGTCCACTTAAAAATCTTCACCTTTTGCCCAGGCAGTGAGCAGCAACCAAATTCTCATTGTCATCTGTAGGGGGGAAAAAAGACAAAATACTCTATACAGTATAGAAACACATACATTACACATACCTAGTTCTAAGAAGTCATACAGACTCAGTTTACACACTGCACTAAGAAGTCCTTTAGTTTGGGTAAAACTTTTTGTATAATCAAAATGGCTTAGAATTTTGTGTAACCCAATAATTATTAAACAAACTGTGTAAACATCAAATGAGAATCCAACTTTGTATTATCATGTCTTTGTGATTTACTCAATTAAATGTGTAAATATATGCTTGTAATGAACTTATTTAGCTATGTTTTTAAAAAAATGTTAGAGTTGCATGCACCTAACTAAGAAAAGGGCTTTCTGAGGAGAAAACTAAAGATGGCACGGGGGGATAGGTGGCTGACAAGATATCTATAGTCGCCTTCCTTGGTCTGGTGCCCTCCACAAGGACTGAACTTATAAAATGACCCTGAAGAAGAGCTTAGACAAAATTATGATTGGCTAATTTGTGACACAATATATTATATAAATCCAGTCAGTATAACCAGTATATGGTTTGATATGTTGTATGAATCTAAACACTCAGGTAAATGCAGATAAACATGGTTAACTAAAACATGAATAAGCAGGGACAGCATTATGAGCTAAATAAAAACATGATCAGTGGTTACTATGACTTCTTTCACTGTGTTCTTACCCGTACTGGGTTGTATTCCACACTGTCAGGAAAATGAAGTTGCACATACAACCTTGGAGGCTACTTAGGAAACACTAAGGCCCTAATAATATGTAACTGCTGTATTTTTCAGGTAATTTCACAGGTGCACATGACTGCCTTAGTCATTAGCAGGGAAGGGATGTTTTCAAGCTTTCTTCTATTATGCCTTGCAGACGATTTAAGTAAACACTAAGTTCCAGGTGCATATTTCATTCCTAGCCATTAAACATTATAAGCACATTATACACTATGATTCAGGTCTGGATCACAATAATTAACCCTTAACTGGAAATAAATATACACACAAACATAAAAGAATATGCTGTACTTGCTAATATCCTACTAGATATTTTTTATTTGTTCCTGATTTCTGACTTTATTTTTAAAAAAATTAGTATGTATTTTTCTGATGACTTTCTACAACAATGGTTGTAGTTGTTTGATTACCAAAGATAGAATTATATTTTTCCCTTAGAGTTGACAGGCACTCAGTTGACAGACTATCTCCCATTTACACAAAAATCAGGTAAGCCTAATTCTGAGTTGAATTACCAATTCCATGCTGGTTGAGGATGAAAGCGGAACTCCAACACAGGACAGAAGCAACAGCTAGCTCAACATTATCTGTCCCACCCCAAAATATTTTTAAAATAAATTTCTGCAGCCTGATCTTTTTAACTTGGCGATACAAAAAGGTAAGTAAAGCCACTGTCACTAGATGCTCACCATATAGTGTTAGTAATTTCATATAACATTCTCCTGATGATTGTCTTCCAAAATCCTGTCTTCCTGAGTCCTTTCTCTGTGCACCTCAGTGCTTAAGAATACCTTTCTGGGTAATGCAGACAACCAAGCCATCCCAAATGCCGAAGGCTTCCCAGATTAATTCTTGCCTAGCAACAGATTTAATAGCTTTGTGACACCCTCGTTAAATGCTTAAAACCAATAGAGAAAAAAAAAACTTTTTAGGAAGGGTAGCTGCCCTAACAATTCTGAAGAAACAGAGGGACAGGAAAAGTAATACCATATCCTGAAAATTACACTTCCAGTTACAGGTAGTCCTTGACTTACAACCATAATTGAGCCCAACATTTCTGTTGCTAAGCGAAACATTTGCTAAGTGAATTTTGCTCCATTTTATGATCTTTCTTGCCACCATTGTTAAACGAATCTCTACAGTTGTTGAGTGAGCAACATGTTGAGTTGTTAAGTGAATCTGGCTTCCGCCTTGTCAGAAGGTCACAAAAGATGACATGAGCCTGGTATACTGCAACCGTCATAAAGAGGAGTCTGTTGTGCCAAGCCTTCCAATTTTAATCACAAGGCTATAGGGGTCGTAGGTGTGAAAAACGGTCATAATTCCCTTTTTCACAGCGCCTAAATGAACTCTTGTTAAGTCGAGGACCACCTGTACTTCCTTTCAGGCCTCCTCACCCTCGTCCCTCCTGTTCTTAAAGGAAAAAAAAAAGGAATCCGAATTAGCTTCACTTCTGCTTAAAAGAGTCATGCGGAATTGTAAAACTAACGAAGAAAAACCACCACCCAGCACACCGAGAGCCACGAGCTGCCTTCATCCATGGCGGGTGGGAAACGGAAACTGAGGCTCTTCGGGGCTTAAGAAGCACGTCCGTGTTCCAACTTCACCCTTAAAACAACGCGGGCAACCGAGAAGGGTTGCGTGTATACGCGCACACACACACAAACTTAAATGGATTACCACAGCCTTCTTTATCCGTGTCGGCTGCACTTTCGGATGATGAGACATATATAACATCCAACTCTAAGTTTAAAAAAAAAAGTAAAATAAAAACCCAGAAGCCAGCCGGCCCCCACCCCCCCGCACCCGCGTGGTCAGAGATGGCCACAGCGAGGGAGGCGGAACAGACAGTTCGCCCAAAGGAAACCGCGTTCCTTTCTCTCCCCTCAAGGCTCTCCCTAATTCCGCGCAGCCACTACTATTCAGAAGCGGTCCTTACCGGTCGACGCCAAGGCCTCACGGGTCGGTCGGCTTCCCTTCCTCTTTTGCAACTAACCCCGTCTGACTTCAGTTATGTTACTGTGGAAGGGAAGGGGTTTGGGTTTGTTTGTTTTTTAAATAGACGTTGTCTTCGCGTCATGCGCTTAACAACTCCCCCTCCCTCCCTCCCTCCTCACGGCCAGCTGGGTCCAGATCAAGGCTTTCGGCCAAGGCCGGCCTTAGCAGACGGTGCGTGCTCGTGCACCCGGCCTCGCACCCGCCCTCGTTTCCCTTTTTTTTCTTCATTAATCAGGCGGATAGTTTGGGGCAAACCATTTGGTCGCTCGGAGAGGGGAGGAAAGAGGGAACGGCCGTGAGGAAAATTTCTGATTCGGGTCTGAGCCTGGGGGTGGAGTGGGGTGGGCGATAAGTATGCCGGCTTCATCCAAAGGGAAAATAAAGAAGGTGGGAAGGGAGAAAGGAAAGGAAAGGAAAGGAAAGGAAGAGGAAGGGAGGGAAGGCAGAAAGAAAAGGAGGGAAGGGAGAAAGAAAGGGAAGGAAGGGAGAAAGAAAGAGAGGGAAGGGAGAAAGAGAAAGAAAGCGGAAGAGAGGGGAGGGAGAAAGAGAAAAGGGAGGGAGGGAGGGAAGGGAGAAAGAAAGGGAGGGAAGGCAGAAAGAAATTGAAGGGAGAAAGAGAAAGAAAGGGAGGGAGGGAAGGCAGAAAGAGAAAAAGAAAGAGGGAGGGAGTGAAGGGAGAAAGAAAGGGAGGCAAGGGAGAAAAAGGAAAGGGAGAAAGAAAAAGAAAGAAAGAAAAGAAGGAAAGAAAAGAAAGAAAAAGAAAAAGATGCCAAGGCCAATGAAGGACGCAAGACACGAGGTGCAAGTTTTGATTGCTTTTTATTGGGGTACCCCCAGGAAAAGGGCTCCTGACCAAAATGCCAAGAGAACTAAGAACAAAGGATTAAGAAAGGTTTATACATTTCCACTGAGGGAGAAGATGGGACAAGGCGGAATAATAAGAAATATCATCTAATAAACATTTTAGTAATAATACTACAATTTGTTCTATTGATCACTAGCTGTCCCTAAGCCTTGGCTAATGAAGGCCCCAGGACTTATTTAATACACGTTTTATTTGCTGCGTGCCAACTATTCCTAACTTTTAGCTGAGATCTGCAAGTTGCCTAACTGTTTGTTACTTTTATCAACTTTCTAACTACCCAGAATTGGTACAGGCTTTACACCTGCATATTTCTTGTGAATAAGCATTCTTTGTTCTTGCCAAACAGACTCCACAATCACAGGCTTTCTGATTTACTTTCAAGTGTGTGCCATGACTTTGCTTTACTTTAGCAAATGGCCCATCATTCCCCTCCCCCTTTGAATCTGAAAATGATTTAATTTTCCAAGATGCACCCAACATCAGTATCCATGTACTGGGCGACCCCCGTAGTTTGCTTACAGGTGGAAAGGCAAAGCAGAAGGCATTGTAAGGCACAACAGGTGATTAAGAGAACAATGATGATGCCTGCCAAGGTCATTACTAGGTTCTTAACCAGCTGAAATCCTCCAGCCACCCTGTCAGCCAATGCCACCAGCCTTTCCATTCATCCCTATGGGGGGGTGGGGTGGGTGTTTGCAGCTATTTTTGTGGTGTGTGTTGGGGTTCTTTTCCTTGGTAAGACTAAATTCCTGGAAAGAGGGATTTGCATTCTCTATTTAACGTGTTTGCACATGCCTGCATTAAATTTTTGGGTCAAGTACAATCCCTAAAAGAATAAGGGCAGGCATTGGGAGACAGACTTCTATATTGACTAATGATGAAGCTAATCTTTTCGGCTCCTACCCTTGGCTGCACCTACTTCTCTGCCAGGGTTCACCTCTAGCTTTTCTCCTCGGCTGACAGTCCCTTAGCTGTTCACCCTGGCCAATGGCCCATGGCCCGTCCATCCCATGCACTTTGGCGCGGCCTGTTCATTGACGCAATGTTCATCCCTGCCTTTTGGCTACCCATGTCAGTTTCGCCACCAGCCAATCGGCTAGCTGCCAATGCTGGCAGCCAGAAGCCATGAGAGATCGATTGCAGAGGGGTTGGGGTTGGGGGAGGTGCTGCAGCCAAATGGTGTCTCTTGTTAGCAGAAAGAAGGAGAGGGGGTGGAAGATCCCCTGTACCTGATCGTGCCTCCCTGATAACGAAGGGAAGAGCGGGGGTGGAGTGGAGCGGTAAGTAGGCCAGCTTCATCCAAAGGGAAGAAAGAAAGAGAGAGAGAGAGAGAGAGAGAGAAGGGAGAGAAGAAAGAAAAGGAAAGAAATGAAAGAAAGAAAAGAAAGAAAGGAAGAAAGAAAGAGAGGGAGAGAGAGAGAGAAGGAAGGGAAAAAGAAAGGGAGAGAAGGGAGAAAGAAAAAGAAAGAAGGAGGGAGGGAAAGGAGAAAAAAATAAATAAAGAAAGAAAGAAAGAAAGAAAAAGAAAGAAAGAAAGAAAGGGGAGGGAGAAAGGAATAAAGAAAGAAAGAGAGATTAGGATTATGATAGGTGAGGCATTTCTCTCATGGCTCCCTAACATCCAGTATAACCTTAACCCATGATATCATCTGTTCAGTTTATACTAAGCATTCCTAGCCATTATGGCTTGTGTTAGGCAAGCCTGAATAGTGACCTAATGAGAAAACTTTGGATAAGCATCCCTAATAGCTGAAATAACCTCATGAATTCCAAAGCCATGATCTAGTGTTGCAAAAGAAAGTGTGAGCCTCACACACATTCAATCCAGAAGTGGTATTCAGCAAGTTCTGACCAGTTCTGGAGAACTGGTAGCGGAAATTTTGAGTAGTTGGGAGAACCGGCAAATACCCCCCCTGACTGGCCCCGCCCCCATCTATTCTCTACCTCCCGAGTCCCAGCTGATCGGCTGGGTCTTCTTTTGTTGCCCTGCACAGGAGAACAGAGCTGGAAAGCAGGTTAGTGGGGTGGGGAGGGAATGGGATTTTGCAGTAACCTCCCCCTGCCATGCCCACCAAGCCATGCCCACAGAACCGGTAGTACATTTTTTTGAATCCCATCACTGATTCTATCTCTTGTTCTCTATTTAATTTCATTACATTCTGTTTAATACAAACAGTAGCTTTCTTAGGTTATTTCCTAATATGGTAGAGGACGCAGTCAGAAATACTGTATTTGTTTTTCCCATCACAAAAGTTCCATTATACAAAATCTAACTTATTCCACTAGCTCCCTATCAATTGACAAGTGTTTTGATTCTTATTTATTCTATAAACCTCTGTCTTGATATTCTATGTCCCTATACTTGTATGTTTTCCCATCTTAGCTCTTTCTTGGATCTTTAAATCTTGTATGTTCCCCCATATTTCCAGATTTTGTGGCCAGTCTCAGTTCACATGCACATGAAAGTCCTTTTCACTCCTACAGACTTGCAAATGGCCTTTTCTCTACCTCCTCCACCCCACACACACAATCCTCAGCTTCTATGCTTGGTTTGGCTTGCTTGAGTTTGCAGACTCTGGTTTACCTTTTTCCTCCCAGTCTCTCAGGGGTCCTGCAGCTCAAGAATTGAAGTTCTTTCTTGCTGTTTTAAGACAAACTACTGAAATGCTTGCTTCTGGCTTAGAAGTTTCTCATTCCCATATCTCTGTTGTCTTCCTAGTTTGACTCCTTTCTTGACATACCCATGGACAGGCCCACTGCAAAAAAACCCCAAACCCTCTCTAATTAAGGAGGGGATGGAGCTATTTAACCCTCCTTCCCAGGTAGCATCAAAATTTTGGATTTCAGGAGAAAAGAAATGCCTGTTCACTTCAGAGTGAGCTCACTCTTCCACAAACTTATTATTCCATTAGCAAACTATGATTTGTCTTTGCTCTAGGAAGTAGAATGGTGAACTATTATATTGAATGGTGTTTGCTATGCCAAGCAGCTCTGTACAGACCTGCCTTCAGTTGGAAAAGAAGTAGCAGCCCTTTGCATTCTGCAAGGCAGATTAGAATAATCTGTGTTTTATAAGAGCGTACAGGAAATTGCTTAAGTCTAGCAATCGGAAAACATTGTTCACATCAGTTTCATTTGAAAACATACTAATTTGACATATTGACATGATCAAGATGACTGTCTTCTTAGAGCAGGGGTGTCAAACTCAAGGCCCACGGGCTGGATCTGGCCCACAGGGTGCTTAGAGCTGGTTGGCAGGGCCACTCTGGAAAGAGTGAGGGACCAGCCTGTGGTTCCTCTGCTAGCAAAAACTGAGCTCGGCAGGGCCACGTGTGGCCCTCCCAAGCTCCATTTTCGTTAGTAGAGGGTTGCAGGATGCTGTTGCAGCCAGAAATGGAGCTCGGGACCCCCGTTTTCACTGGCAGAGCACTCGGGCCACCACGGGCACCTTCGACACAAGTGACATCGAGCTGGCCACTGCCACTCTGGATCATCCACTCCGGCCCTCCAAGTTCAAGCACAACCCTGAAGCAGCCCTCAAAAAAATCAACTTTGACACCCCTGTCTTAGAGCAAGGATTTTGCATTTCCCCTCCTGACTATTTGTAGAAGATTAAGAGCAGAGGTGGGTATTCAGTAGGTTCCTACCAGTTCTGGAGAACCAGTAGCATACATTTTGAGTAGTTCGGAGAATCACCAAATACCACCTCTGACTGGAGATTTTTATAGTATCCTTCCCCTGCCACTCCCACCAAGCCACGCCCATAGAACCGGTAGTAAAAAAAATATGAATCCCACCATTGGTTGAGAGGTTTCAACTCTGCACTCTGTTTTAGATCAATCAATCAATCAGGATAGATCTGGGAGGGACCTTGGAGGTCTTCTAGTCCAGCCCCTTGCTCAAGCAGGAGACCCTATAACATTTCAGACAAATGGTTGTCCAGTCTTTTCTTAAAAATCTCCAGTGATGAAGCACCGACAACTTCTGAGGGCAAGTTGTTCCATTGGTTGATTTTATTAATTAAAGCAACAAGTGGTTTAATTAAAATTCAACAACTAATTCAACAAGAATTAATTAAGAATGATTTAGTTATTGTACGGAATGATAGACATATACATTTCAGTTTTGTCTGTCATCTTTCTCCCTTTTTCTACAACAGCCAGTCCTCAGCCTATGATCCATAATAAAGACTGGGAGATTTGTTGTTAAGTGGTATGGTCCTTAAGTGAAGCATCACACAACCTTACCAATTTTACAACTGCTTTTACCATGTTCTTCAAGAAAATCAGTGTTGTTCAGTGAGACATCACGTGATCATGACTTGTGATCTCCCCTGCCAGATTCCCCATTGAC